GAAGGGGGGGGGCGGGGGAAGAAGTTAAATATCGTATACAAAGGTACGCGCTATACCCTCCCATACTCCCATACCACAGCGTGGGAACAGTCGTCGAGCAAGCGCTTTGAGTAGCATTCAAAACAGACATGGGTGCGGTGCTTTGTCGTTGCTTCGATTATTCACACGTGACACTGGGAGAGCAGAGGGAAGATATGATGGTCGCAGGAAGAAAAAAAAGATCAAAAAATACAAAAAATACAAATGCGGTATCGTGCATCGGAGTAAATGCCGGCCGAGAAAAAAAAAGGTGTTAAGTCGGACAGAGATTGAGACGAGGCCCGTAAGGCTTCAAGAAGAAAGAGAACCAAGGACGCCTGTGCTATGCAGTAAAAAACCAGAAGTAGTAGCGATATATATCAACAGAAAATATTTTGCGGGGCGACGCCATAGCCGCGTGCATATACCCAAGCAGGTCGCTTGATCTGGCGAGGCGTACATCGGAGAGCTAGACAGCCTAGCATTATTCCCCGTCATGTCGAAACTAACGAGGCGGGCGAGGAGGTGTGGTTGTGCCAAAGGTCACCGATCCTTATACACCTTGGGTTTCCACCCTTCTTTCACTTCTTTCTCCATGGCAGCCTTGCGCTCGGCATCTCGCACCTCCATCTCGATCCGCTCGCGGGCCCGTAGGATTTTGCTCTGTAGGTAAAAGCTCCCTCCCTTCTTCGGATCATTTGCGTCAAACAGCTTCTTGAAACGTTCCATTGTGTGTTCCATGTTTGCCTCGCGGCCCATTGGAGGCTTCACATTCAGGATCTTGCAGGCTTCATCGAGCGTAAGACCCGAGGAGGCGAAGTTGTTGGCCGCGGTTCCGTTGCCGTTTTGCGCCTGGGCTGCATATTTCGACGCGGCCGAGGCTTGCTTATATGCTTCCGCAAAGGCTCTTCCAAAGACCCGACCGCCCGTGAGGACTATCTGGGTTACAATCCGGTGTGCCTGGAGGTAGCCATAATTGTTAGTAACTTGTGGGTCTGGCTGTGAGGGGAAGACAGGGTGAAGTTGTAAGAAGAATTCAACATACCATCCCAATTTCTTCAGAGAACTACTCAAAATATGAGAATAGCTGTTCCAGCCTCGGCTGCCCGATAGATGGCAGATTAGGAATGAAGGTCCAAGGGCGTGAATGGCCGTGTTCAACAAAATGATAATTTCGTCGTTTGCCCGTCGAAGAATTTCTGGTCGGAGGATATTTTCGGGCCCGATCCGGCTTAGTGTCAAGTTGGGAAACACCTTGCTACTTTAAGTTTAGTGGATCGGAAACCAATCTGCCTTAGGCGTGACACAGGTGTCAAGGTGGAGATGAAATGGCATGTCGTGAAGTTTGCGGAACAATGCCCTGGATTTAATGATTTGTGATGTTCCCTGAGGCACATATCCACATATCCTCATAAAGAAATTTAAGAGTTTCATTTCCAAGTCCCTTGCGTTGTTCCAGTGCTGGCAGACCCGTATGAACGATTTCCGTATGGGGAGTCCTATTATTTTTGGTAGATTATGCAGAGCGCTTGGGACAGCGGAGCTAGGTTTCCCCAAGGTGCAATGTCCCTCTAAGACTAGTATTTCTATAGATAATGCCAAAGAATTCGTGGGTTCTATGAATTCTCCTGAGATGCCGTACATTTTCAGGGATTCCCATCCACGAGAACCGTTAAGAATTTCCATCCGGCGGGAACTGCCTCCAGTGCTGACCAGGGTCTAGGGTTAACCCTTTCATCATTGCTCCTTTCGCTTCCATTACATATCAACACCCTCTGAAATCTTTACTCTAGACATCGGCTGCCCCATCATCCATTTTAGTAATCCAACTGGCTCCAGGTCTAGCAGCTTGACGTCACATGCGCCTCGGAAACCTGCACGTGATACTCAGCCAAGCATCCATGGAATGGATCTCCGCCTAAGCTACATACCTACTGAATCAAGAAACTGGGGATAAGCAGGGAAGGAGCTTGGGCGATCACGAAATTCCTTGCTATATATAAATACCGAGTCTGCCGGCTCAACTGCCAACTTCTCTACATCTCCTCTACCCTCTACATCTCCCGCGGCCTCAGGCCTCGCTCGTCGATACTGGGATAGCGCTATAGACTTAAAGGTTGTGCCGTGCGTTGTTCAAAAGTGTGACTTGTGACACCCCAGAATGACCGTCTGGGCAGGTGGTTAACGGGTTCTTGGTTGTATGGCAGCAATCGGTAATAGTTGTCCCCGCACCCTTCTGCGTTTTTCTGAGCATATTTATATGTAAAGGTGTGCGCACGCACGCTTGTGTGGAGATCTCGTATTCCGTTTTCTAACTATCTATACAGAAACACCTTGGGTAGATTCCATGTCCCCGACTACCTATCCACACGATGATGGCGCCCCGGCGGCCTCCTTGGCCACCACTACGGCACTTCCACCCACAGTTGCTGCCTTCTCTCCCACCAATATTTCAGGATCATCCCTAGCTTCGAGACAGCGTTCAACGGTAATAGTCCACAGGAAATCACCCCTTCTCGTCGCAACCCCTCCCCCAATCACTCGCGCACTAGCCTACTCCCATCCTTTCCTGCTCCCATTAAACCGGCTGGTGGGTTTGCTTTCATGGTCTAGCGGGGATCCTTGGGAGAGTTTCCTTCTGGTTGCTGGCTTCTGGGCAACTGTTTTATACGGAGATGTGATACTACTCTGGGCGGGGCCTATTCTGGTTGTGCTGGGATTAATTCTGGCTATGTATTCGCGACGATATTCTCCATTATCATCAACTGGCCTTACTGGAGAAAAGCATAGAGGGCTCGGGGAGGCCGATGGAGCCTCCAAGCATCAGAAGAGCTTGGATGAAATTGTAGAAACCCTGAGAACATTCACGACCAGGTGCAATATCTTGCTAGAACCTTTGCTCGAACTGACGGACTTCCTTTCCACCCAGCGGACAGCTACTTCCGCAACAACTAGGCCAGCGTTGATATCATTGACAATGCGAATAGTTCTCGTAACCCCTATTTGGATCCTTCTAACTTTACCACCCTTCCGCCTCATCACTCCTCGACGTGTCATACTCTCGATAGGCACAGTCATTCTCACATGGCACTCTAAACCAGCACGCATATCCCGTGTCATACTCTGGCGCTCATTAAATATCCGTCGCTTATGTTCCATTATAACAGGACTTCAATTTTCTTCCGACTCTCATCCGAGCGACAAAGACTCCGACGCTAGAAAAAAGTCTCCTCTTTTCTCATTAAACCCTTTCCGCCGCAAACAGGATAGCAATACTTCAGCAGCTAATATTTCAATGAAAAAACGGCGAGCTGATTCATCCGGCGTCCGTTTCACTTTCATCCTCTATGAAAATCAACGTCGTTGGTTGGGCATTGGTTGGACTTATTCACTCTTCACATATGAGCGTGCCGCATGGACGGATGAGCATCTCAATCCTGTTCCACAAAAGGACGACTTTGAACTGCCTGAAGTAGAAGGCGGAAGTGCGAGATGGAGATGGGTACCTGGAAGCGAATGGCGGATCGACAACAGCCCGTCCGATGTTCCTGCCAAAAAGTCATCGAAATCAATTCAAAACACTAGCGGGAATGGTCCTGGCGAGGATGAGGGCTGGATATACTACGATAACAAGGTGAGAATATATTCCGTATTTACCAGGCCACTTATATAGCAATAGGTTTTTATCCTATTTTGAATCCTTGTATAAGTTATGTATTCGTATGGTTACTAAATTGTCGAGCAATAGTGGAACGATGGCCGCCGTGGCCAAGACGGCTGGGGCAGGTACACAAGGCGGCGGAAATGGTGTCGGGATGCTGAGCTCGTGGAAGTATCTCCCAGCACAGAAGTCACTCCTCCACCCTCTCCCACTCCAGAGAAGGGCCCATCATCCTCTTCATCACAGTCAATCAAACCTCAGTACGAAGATAACCTCTTAGAGACGGAAAGAAACAATTGTCCGCCATGTGACTCCTGCAAGGTCCGCAAGCGGCGTTGGTTCGGCAGCAGCGAGCTCTCAAGGGCCCTAGCCTCCTCGCCAGGCTCAACCTCCAGTGTACACAATAGCGAATCAGGCTCAGCCGCCATTGCCACAGGCACAGGCGCAAGTGCAAACGCAAGCGCAGGCTCAACCGCGATGAAAGTCCCATGGCCGTCGAGTAGTAACATCACCAACGTTCGTCCCACATCCATCTCTACCTCCTACAACAACTCCCACTCCTCATACGCAAACAGTTTTGACAATGCTGGTGGCGCTGGCAGTTGTAGTAGTAGGAACAGTTTTACCTCCCGACGACGTAGTAGGCCTGGTGCTAACAGCATGACCTTGGCCGATGCAGACGGCGAGAGCCTCAGTCGGAGCATCCGTGATCAGGAAATTGAGGAAGCGGAGAATGCTGTGGACAGCTTTGGGAATCGGCCTGGTGGAGCAGCTGAAAGGACGGAAAGGGGCTGGGGCTTGGGCGATGATGCACATATGGGCTTAAGCTAAAGGCTTAAAGCAATGAAATAAAAAGAGAGGAAGGTATCAATACGTTGCTTTTAGTGCATTTTCCCCCCCTTTTGCATCTCCAATTATCACTCTTTTTCCTGAAGCGTTCCCAGTGTGGCATTATCTTCCTCTTATCCAAGGCGAAATGGAATCGGCCGGGCAGATTGGGATGTCAAAATGGAGGAAATAAAAACCGGGACGAAATTGAAGCATGGCTGAGGCGTGTGGCGTCTCTACATTATATATATATATGTATGTTTTTGTGCATGTTCGAGATGATGTGATGCATTTTTCTGTGTTTTTTTTTTTCCTTACCACGCATATCAGGGGGCCAGGGGTGCGGGCCGTCCATTATCCGATTTTTATTTATATACGACATTTTCTCTTATGTGTAAGCCACCTTTCTCTTCCCGTTTTATTGTTTTTCTAACTCCCAGGACAGACCTAGGACATGTGTTATGTTTTATCTCATGAATCTCTTATGGGCTAAATGTCATTGCCTCCTTATGTAATATGATCAGTTATATAGCTACTACCGATACCTGTAACCATTTAGGGGGTAGAGAGACGTATTCATAGAGAGCAGATTTAACCGATGGAAAGCAAAAACAAACCAACAGATAAACACTTCAGGGACAAAACTGCAGAAGCGACTGAAACACACCACACTAGCTCACCCTTACCGACCCCTTCGATCCACCAAAGAAAGAAAGTATCACAACGTAATCCCTTCACACATCTTATCCACATCCTCCCCCTCAACCGCATCCACTCGATCCCTCACAGCTCTTTCCACAGCCTCCTCAATCTCATCGTCCCCGCCCAGCAAATCTAACCAACCCCTCGTATCGTCGCGCGCCAGCAGCCGGTCCGCCACAATCGCCACGTCCTCCCGGCTCACATTCGCCGGCACCCCGCCCTCCAACACCACCTCTTTCGTCTTCCCCAACTCCACCCTCCACGTCGCGGGCGCATCCATCAACGGGCCCGGCCGCAGCAATATCGCCTGGAACCGCTTCCTGGGCCCCTCCCCCGCAGCCCCGCCCCGCGCCTCCGCTTCGTCATCCATGGCTGCGCGCTTGCGCGCCATGGCGGTGAAGTACTCGTCCGCGGCCAGTTTGGCCTGGTAATAGTCCGGCAGGACGTCTTGGTTGATGTGCTCGAAGCGGGCCCAGGTGTCTGCGGAGAGCCAGGGGGGCTGCTTGCGGCGGCTGCCGATATGGGAGATCAGGAGCACCTTGGTGATAGAGGGGTTTGTGAAGGTTGCTGTTATGAAGTGTTTGGCTGTGTCGCGGTCTATGGTGTAGGTGCGGAGGGGTCCGCCTTTGCCGCCGGCGCCTGGTGGAAGGAAGGGTTTGTGTTGTGTTGTGTTAGCTGTATGTGGCTATATATATAGATATATATATAAAATAAAGAAACAGACATACCAGCCGCCCAAACAACATAGTCCGGCTTTGCGCGGTCTACGATGGCCTTCGCATCATCGACACTCTTCACATCGTCGAGACTGGAGACCAGCACCTCGACCTTGCCCTTCTTGCCCTGGCCCAATTTCAGGATGTCGCTGGTATGATCTGGGTTGCGGATCACGCTGGTTACGTCCCAGGAGCGGTTGAGGAGGAGAGGGGTTAAGAGGCGGGCTATCTTGCCATGTCCGCCGAGGAGTAGGACACGGGGATTCGACATATTTTGGAATATTTTGGTAACTAGTGAATGGGGGACAGGATAAGCTAATCGAAATAGTTAACTAGCTGGTATATGGTATGACTATGTTGAGTAGGTTGGTCGGCAGAATTGTCCTGATTCGAGAGGAGTCACAAGATTATATGTATTTATATATTTATATATATATATATATATATATATATATATATTTTCTTGAATATATAAAAATAGAAAAGATCTCGGAAGAATCCTGGGGTTGCGGGGACCCGGGCTATGGCGTCATAGAGCGGACGTCAGATACTCGTATCATTGTGATAAATCGCAAGAAAAAGAGAGAGAGATACCTCCTCTACGAATGACCAATGATGAGTCCGCATTATTCTATTTCTTACGATACATTGCTTCTGAGTACTAAGAGATTGTGTCGTGGAGAATCTGCTGCGTCTCAGCAATCCGGGATCGATTAATCATACCCACGCCAACTTAATCATCTGCTTGCATGAAGGAATAGTTAGTTAAACCCGATTGCTTCCCGGGCACCCACCGGACATTTTACGTGCACGTAAATCGACCATCAACGCATGTCACCTAAAAGACGAGCGAGATACGTGTGTAGTGCTCGGCCACATCGACAAGGAAGGAATTGCGTTTCGGTTCCGCGATTGTTAATCTCCTGTAAAGCCTTATAAAGTTGTTGAATTGACTATAAAAGCACTCCGCAAGGTGTTTATTTGAAGAGAGTAGACAGCAGCATCCAAATGCCCACAGTTGTTTTGCCGTAGCAGACGCAAGGTGCTTCCCTTTTCATGAGGGGTGCTTGCGGCTATCGGCGGTGTGTTGGTCGTACTTGTTAGGGAACCAGTCCGATTCTTGGTGAGCAAAGACCTAAATTCGATGAGAGATGGGGAATATGTCTTTGGATATCTGGTGATTCCCTGGATGCCCTTCTCCATTATATATATGAATATATATATCTATAACATTCTCGGGTTGTACGTCGCAATGAGAACTTGAATGCAAGTCAACTAAAACTTGGAAGGCTGACAACCGCTGTCTGGACAGAAAAATCCCGAGAGCACCCCGCTCTTGTTCTAGACATCCAAGTCCGAGAGCCTTACTTACTGTGGGGGCCAGGGGCCATTGAATTTCAAAAATGAATGCGTGAAGCATACTGTCAACCACGGTCCGATATGTCAAGGTAGTCAACTTAGTTCTCACAACGGCAGGCAAGCAAAGAGGCAAACAAATCTTTTCCATGATTTCCTCCCAAAACTGGACTCACCTCACCGTCCGGAGTACATTACTGATTGATATGGGTGGATTATTGGATTATTATTGATCTTGCGGGACATTGAAGATCAATCTGCATCTCAGTTCACTTGAGGAAGCCGGTGAGTTAACTACTCCGTACCAAATTCAATAATGATATATAATATTGAGAAAAGGATCTCCTGGTCGAAATTTATCATATTTTGTTTTGAACTGCAGGACTCAATTTTTGCATCCCCCTCGTTTGTTTTCTTGTCAAATCTTTTCGTCAATTGATCGAGCACAATTGGTTCCTTGAATACATGCATGATTGTTTGTCAGTCCGAAAACCCGTATGCCCCATCTCCCCACCCCAGGAGCCCCACTCACAATCCAGATAAGAAAGATTCTGTGGCTGAGAGCTGGGGAAGGAAAACGGGGCTCCTCCAAATATATATCTATTATTGTTGACTAGTTGGAAATGTCCTATTTTTTCCATGATTTACTGGGAACGCATAGAGACCAATTTATAGCATTACGCGCTTCCCGACGGATTTTCGATTATTACTCGGTTATTTTATTATTTTATGGCGATGAGCAAAAACAAGGAAAAAAAAGAAGGTCCAGGAATAACACGAACTCGACACGACACCATTATGAACTATTGTCCTGGATGCCAGGGATGCCAGGTTGTCAGGTTGCCATCACCCATGCCTGTTCATGCTTCCTCGGCAAGTTTTTTCTTTTCTTGAAGATTGGATGGATTTTTTTCTTTTTTCTTTTTTTTTATTCGTTTTTTTATTTGCCTTGACCTTGCAGGGGCGAAACCGTTCTTACTTCTGTGCTCCGTTTTGCTGTGATGGATAGTTATGTTGGTTGCATATGGACTACCTTGGCAATTGAGGGTTAGACATGCACACAGATACACCACATGAAGCATGTTCTTCTGTCATTCTGTTGCCACAATTGAATTGCTAGAAACAGCTTCCAATAAAAAATGAGAGACTATCATCATCATATCAGATTGTATATCTTGATAACTCAGACTCAGAGTGCTCTCCTCTCCACACCTGTATAAACTAAATATCTTTATACGATTTGCTGATTGAATCTCTTCGTTCTCTTCTTTGATTCCTTTCTTAAAGTAATTAAGTTAGCTACTCTTCCTTCTAGCTAGTCAACATTATATACTTCTCTTGACACTTCATCATTTTTTTTACTATTCGATCTTCATACCGGTTTACTAGCCTATATACCTCTCAAGAGAGATAGAAGAAGGGCAATTCATATAGATTGTAGACCAAAGGTGTCAAGAGCTGTCAGGAATAAAATAAAAAAAATAAATAAAGAATAAAATGAAAATGAAATGCTGTGTACATAGCTTGCTGTAAAATAGTGAACAGGCCAATCATGAACGCCCATAAACTCACAAAAGTATCGGCGAAGATTGTCGCCAGGCTAAATGTTAGCTTATTTTCTCCAGGCACATGGGGCTAATCTGATCCACCCGCCAACTTTGTTCAACTCAACAGCGGGAAAAAAAAAAAAGAAAGAAATAAAAATAGAAGAAGATCCTTCATGGATCATGAGGAATTATCAATATTTGTTAAATAGCTAGTTATTTTTGGAGGGGTTGGATTGGGTGGTTCGTCCCCTGTAGTTAGTTTACCATTTGGCACTGGTGGTAGCTGCGCTCTTTTGCCCCCAGCCAGCCTAGAAACATCGTGGAATAGTTAAATCCAGGAACGGAAAATTAATAAAATTATGCCATCTCCATGGAGTGAGGTGATTTCGGCATGGGGCCAGGGGAGCAGGGGAGCAGCGATTACCACCAAGGGCCTGGAACAAATTCACCTGCAAATCCTGGCAACCGGGGCCCCTGAACGCTGAAACTGTGCCTCGCAAGGGGGACCTAGCGGATGGGACGTCTTCTTGTTCATGGCAAAAATGCCCGACCCTTTTGGAGGTGGATTTTGTTGCTTCTACCAACCCTTGTAAATCCGGCGTGGGTCGGAAGATGGGATTGAGAGGAATACGGCCAACTTTTTATTTTTCTTATCACCGCTGGCTGACCCGATTGTCATCGTGCAGGCCTTTTTTTCTTTTTTTCCTTTTTTGGTGATGTTCTGGAGGAGCTGACCGCCACCAGTTTCAAACTGGGGATGTATGCAGTCGGAAGGTGCCTGTGCATGTATGTAGGTAAGATCTTTATCGTGATACGGACAGCGTTCATTCCTTTGCGTTTCGTCATTATGATCAGGAGGCGAAGAGTCAGGGGGAGAACTTGGGAAGTTACCAGCCTCCCATGTCCTATCCTAGAGTTTTTTTTGCGTTTGGGATCGTGCGTAGTTATTGGAAAAAAAAAAAAAAATAGCTCACACCTCACCGACGCTGTCTGCTCTGCGCTGCGAAAAATCCAACCAAGAAGGGAGTCCCAAATAAATCATTGATGCCTGCTGGGTTTCTTGTAAAATACCCAAAAGGAACGCACCTTTTTGACTTTCTGTACCTGAAACTAAGCGGCCCGTCTCTCTGGTTCCTCTGGCGCTAGTATGATCGATACATGCTAGCTCGGCCGGGCGCGGGCAAGCGAAGAGGCAGCTTGGAAAGACCAAAACATTCGGCGAAAGTTCTTTTGTATTTTTTCACCAAAGGATGGGGGGGCTGCGAAAATCCATTCATGGCTAACATCGATCAGGGTCTATTTGATATGTCGCTCGTTCGTATTATAGTTATCCGTCTTAAAGGCAATATCATCCACAGCCGCGAAAAGGAGCAATGCTGTGAGACCTCGTTCCATCCTTTGACCATAGCGTGCGCGCGATTGTATTATCGTTGTTGTGGATCATAAGTGGCAGCCGAAATAGGGTCTCGAGTCTCACTGACAATGATGAACTCGCAACTAAGCGGGCTGCAGAAGTCCTGATAATGAAATGTGGCGGCTAATAAGTATCTCTATGGCTATATATATACACGCTGTTAGCGAGAGATGAAACTTCGTCGGGCATCCGTCGTTCGCATAATTTCTTGCATGTTTCAATTTTTGATGAGTTGGACGCCTCCGTTCGAAATCATTGGTTACATTGCAGCTGTTTATCTCCCTCGCTCATTCATTCGGGTGTATCGATGAACGACAGGAAAGAGTCACTGGACAGTATTTGCTGCGGTTCGCGTTAGAGAAGAAGAAAAAGGCCTTTTTTTTTATCGCGGCCTTCTCATCGGATCAACCATAAAATTAAAAATGAGTTCCACAATATCGAACTGCGTATCCATGGATATTTTGTTTAATCATCCCTTGCCCGCTGTTGTTTCGAAACTCGGTTTCCGCTCACAGGCCCAGACTGTGACCCCACCATGTGTGGGCCATATTTATGAGTCGACCTTCGATCATCTTTCAGGCAGCCCGCAAGAATAAAATATACTGTCTCCTTCTACGGGTAAATGCTGAAGGTACGCAGCGTACAATTTTTTTTTTTTTTTTTTACAAAAAAAAAAGGTGATGGAAATCCTGCCCGGTGTCCATGCGGTTTGGATAGGTACGAGTATTTTGGGCCACAGGAGTTGAGTTAATAATAATACAGCTCCAGCACCAGGAAAACCGCGGGACGCCAGATCAGAACAGCGCGAATTCCTGGGCGCTGTTAGCCTTGAAACGGGAGAACAAACCCGTCAGCCCTTCTCGGATTTGTCGCTGTTGATTGACCAACAACGGTTTCGAAGCTGTGGAAACATTGGCGTTAGCGGTATCTATTCTGCAGGGTGAAATCGTGCCTGCATAGCCGTATCATATTCTCTCTTCTCCGATATTTCAGCGCTGGCGTGTGCGGTGGGCTGCAGCCACGCACCTGGCGAGCAGGGATGGCTCGAGAATGAGAACGGCGATGGACGCAGCACGCCCAGTCCTGCTTGCAGTTGACCCCTGACACTCCAGCAGTCACAAACTGTTCCCTTTCTGGCGTTTCTCTGAAGGTCTGCCTGCCCGATATTGGCTTTGTTTTTGGAGCTCCACGAGTGTGCTGCAGTGTCTCCACGCAACCCATCCTTATAATAATAATAAGAAGAAGAGCGCGTTCGACGGTGATCGCCCTTTGTTTTGTGGGAGAAACGATAGCGATTAAGTATAAATTTATCATCTTAGCTATCGTTTGTGCCAACAGTGTATTCGGGACTCCTCGCGCGGCCGCTAACCCACGACTAAACAAACGGCGGTAAATAATTCACAGCCTATGTGGAGCCAGAGGACTCGTGGAAATTTCTTCCCCAAGCCGATGCCAGAGGACTCGTCCAAAGACGAGGGACAAGAAACATTGAGAACGAGGCGTCACTAGGTTGATCGAGGGCACTATTTTCATCCCAAATCGTTGGAAAACTTCATGGCTAGCAACCGATCGAATCTGTGAGCACGATCCAAACTCGCCGGCTGCGAAACCCCCGTAATCAATTCTGGAATTCCTGAATGGGACGAGGGAGACGTGTTTGTATGTAACAAGCATTCATCCTGTTCATCCTGCTCATCCTGCTCATCCTGCTCGTCCTGTTCGCCCTTTTGATCCCTCCATCCGTTGTCTTATTCTCAAAACATCCCTCTATTAAACATCAGCCGAACAAGTCAGACGTTGACATTCGACTTACCAGCTGCCATTCGTGCTTCCTGTCGCCAATTCCCCTCATTTGTCCCAACTTTGCAATTTAAATATCGACAGACTTTGTAGCCTCTCTTCTCGTCTGTCCTACTTGGAACCTCCTAAGCGACCACTCTCCTCACCCTTTCGCTGGCTTCCTTTTTTCTTTTCGACTCGTACATTCCTTTCGTTTCTGATTTGCTCCCTTCCACCATTCAGTTCTTCAGTTTTATCCAAGCCGTTTTCAAGTTGCGACCTTAACTGTCTTAGACTTGCCGACCAATACAGGGTTGAGAAAGCAGATTGGTCGTATCTTCTTCAGACACGGAGCAGAAACAGACTGCAGGGTGGGACGCCGCAACCACACCACGATCACTCCCTCCCGCCGCACTTCGACGCTTGATTTTGCTGTGTCCGTCAGATCGTGACAACCAAGGGGATGAAGTTTGCACTGGTCGCATTTTATTTGAATTGATTCTTTTCGCCGGGGAATTAAAGGGCAGGTCCTTGTCACACGTACGTTGAGTACAAACTTTTACGATTCATTTTTGCCCGTGTTCGACTGCCCTGCAATTCTGCATACACATTTGTATGCATTCTACATGACCGGATGACTTGCATCCAAAAATTACGGTTCTAGGTGGCTCTTGGAAACTAACACTTCAGCATTCACATTCACGTAGGCTTCACTGAGGTGTTGAACTTTTCGAGTCAGGAACTCTGTTGATCGCCCTCCTTTTCCGCATTCCCTCCACCTGTCACAGCCGGGTTACAACACATCAGGGGAACACATACAATACATTCCTTTTTTCAACTCTACCCTGCCACTCCTTATTTTGTTGACCGATCTCGACCGTACCATCATCAATTTTGCCTTCGACAGGCCTCCATTTACCTCCCACGAACAAAGGATAGATCCTTAAACATGAATCGATTCAGAACCCGCAAGAAGGCCAGGGAAGCCCAAAATGGGCAGGACGAAAAAGAGGGCCAACCGCTGCCGCTATTTACATCCAAAACGTTCAAACGGGCAAAAAAACCGCAAGCAGAGACGACAACAGAGCTGGACCTTTCTTCAGTGCTCCCATCATCGGACGATTTCAGAACAAGTTTACTTATGCCAAATCTCTCTGCGCGATTTAGCATGTTACGGGAGCAGGACGATCCGAATTCTAAAATTGGGAAGGCCAATGATGACAGCGTACTCTTTCCAAAGAGAGCGTCGAGACTGAATGTCTTTGGCCAACTTAATAACCCGCTCGGCGACATCGCAGAAGTATCCTCGCTTCATGGAAGTTCAGCTAGGCCATCTTTTGCGATTGGCCGTGGTTCATACGCCTCTGGGGAGGGCTACGCTACTGATGATGGCGACTTCTCTCCTGGCGGTAGCATTATGAGCAGATCCCGGCCCGGTGAAGGGAACAATTTGTTTGGTGGGCGACAAAAAGTTTATAAAATACCGGTTGCGTCGACGACGCCAAGAAGTGGATCGGCTTCAGAAGCTTCAGGGGTCGGCGGCGGGATGGGGGGTAAAGCGGTGTATGAGGATGATGTTACATTATCTGCCTTCCAAAAACTGAGGGCCAAAGAGAAAGAACAGTTGGAACTTGAGTTGGATATCCAGCAGATTAGACATGATACGGAAGATGAGGGTTCCCTGGCTTCTCGGCCATCTGTCAATCGTACTTCAACCTCGAATACTTCGGTTGATTCTGGTCAGCGCAACTCGGGACAGGGGACAAATTCTCCAGTCACTTCTAAGTCAGTGTCAGTGTTTTCTCCCACAAAACCCAGTCCCACGTCAACTGGAATGGAGCGCAATCCTACGAAGACTCGACGGTACGGCCAAGGCATTGAAATCAACACCCAACAATCCTCCGCCATTTCGAGACTCGAAAACCTTAGCCGCCAGCGAGCTGGTGCTAATGACATTTCGCCAATAAATCGATCTGTGTCAAAGAGCTCAACTAGTTTAAATGACAAATTCCAACATCGCTCGCCAGTATATGCTTCTGCAGGTTTCCGCCCTACAAGCCCCCCTCCATCTGCTTCAACCGTGATTGGGGAAGCAGTTGATAGCTCAAATAAGGGCGAACCGGAGAAACCTACTGGAAACCTGGGTTTTGGCGCCTCGCCACCACTGAGCCCTCCCCTGAGTGAATCTGAGGAACAAAGATCATTAGAGGCCGCACTCCAACCAGAGGATCGTGGGAAAGCTACGGCTATGGGCCTTTTCAATAAACCAGCCACACAATATGACGACACCAAATTTACGCAACGGCAGCTTCAGATGTACGAGGGTAGAGATACTCCTCCTTTGCGACGCCGTACTCCATCACCCGCTGCCCCTGATATGGAATACCCTGCACGTTCGCGCGAAGTTTCCAATTCAACACATCGACCGAAGGTAGATACTTTAGTATCACAGTACAATAATCCCCCAGACGAGCCCCGACACAGCCGAGAAAGGTCTACAGCAAACAGCAGTCGTAGACCATCGCCATCGCCTTCAAAACCAAATAACGGAACCTTTTTGAGCGGAGATAACGGAAGCGAAGATGAGCGAGAACCGGCGTTGAATACCATGCTTTCAGCGGTTCAGTCACTCGAAAATATCCATCCCGCCTTCAGATCCAGGAGCAACTCTGGAGACTCCTCGCGGAGCTCTCTCAACAAAGGCTCTCACACTGGTACTCCGGAATTACGATATTCAGAAACCCATGATCTCAATACAATAGAGGAGAATGAAGGTTCTGAGGAGATTGTGGGTGAGGCTCCCGATTCACCAACACTTGGTCCCTCTGGGTTAGGTTTAAGTGGTCTGGTTCGTACACATCTCCGACAAGACAGCGACAATTCGATCTACCAGCCGCCTTCGCTGGAGGTCTCCAAAATCAAAGATATCGCACGAGAGCTCAATCCTGCTGTTAAAGCTGCTAGAGACTCTGACCACGCTACCAGCGTTCACAGTAATCCCTGGGAGTATGATGACCTATATAAGCCTATCAGTCCGGCATCTGACAAGGAACCCACGGTGGAGGTAGGGCAAGCTGACTTCTCCTCTATGTCAATGAGAGCGAAGCAAATCCTAGGGCAGGCGACAGCTTTACGTACGCAGTCGCAGGCACAGGCACCGTCGCCGGCCAACCCCCAGGATATATCAGGTATCCCACCCTCCAACAAAATGCGCGATCAGTCACCTAGGGACCCGATAACTCGAACTGCGCCGTGGCAAGAGGAACGCAAGCCAGGCCATCAAAGGTGCGGGAGCTCAGAAACGCAGAATGAGCGTGAAGAGCTTGCGAATGAGTTAGCTGAACGACGAAGAAAGGTGCGAGAGAAACTACGAAGCGTCGCAGAGAGCGAAAGCCGATCGAGCAGTCCATCTTCTGGCTATCGTTTCCCAGATTACGCATCAAAACACGGTAACGCCTTCGCGATGCTGAAGAACAAAGCTGGCAGAAACCCCATGCCCGGTCGTACTGATGCACCCCAATCAAAGGCGATGAAAATGCTTGGCATGGACAATTCTCTCAACTCATCGTCACCAATGCTTGCCACGAACGACCCGTGGCTTGAGGATGAGGAGAGAACCTTCCGTAACCGTGGGAGAGAATCTCGTTCAGGATCACCCCATTTTGGACCTCGGAATCACAATCGGCCTTGGCAGCCGCAAGCAAGCACGATGGGAAGGGTAAGCAACGATGGATCCAGAGAGTCGTTTACTGGTGAACCATCTCCATCGTCCCACCGGAGCTCTGGTAGGACTCGATCTGGCTCGGATGTGTCGGGTCGGTCAAAAAGCCAACCTCGCTATCATGATGATCTTGGACCCGTAGGGGAACATACTATCGGACACTCTGAAGTTCAAGGTGAGGAATCTAAGCCCTCCAAGGCTTCAGTACCTGTTTCCTTTCCCTCCCGGCCATCAGAGGAGGTCAGCGACCCTAGGTCTTCTGAGCGATCTGCATCTGTGGCCTCTGGTAGGTTCCGGAGTAATAGTCGTTCAGCTGCACAGGGCTACTACGAGCCTAACCCTCCTCTCCCTACTCAAACCCATCAACCCGATTTCACAGGGAATGCCCCACGTCCCTCTCCGATGACTCCATATTCCGCCAATGCAACACCACCTCTTTACGAAACTTCCCCTGTACACTCTTCCAACCAGACTCCCATTCTCCTGCCCCCCATGAACATCAGTAGCCAACGGAATCAAGGCCTTGGCAGCTCACATAAACGAGTGATAGACAAATCTAAGATATCCGAACCAACATTTGTCTCCTCAACATCCAACGTGCCCACAGTTGGTCTCCCGCCAGGAGCCAGTCTCTCCAACGGATCAACCCCGCCAATACCACCCATGAACCCACGACGTAGACGGCAAACAACAACGCAAACGTTCATAAATGCGTTTAAGGGCTCCGACAGACACGACCAACCAGCCATACCTTCTTCAAACCCCGCAAGCCCAATGGATGAACAAAAGCATCATAACTTTCATCACAATCATCAAAGCGTATTTTCTGATGAGGAGAAACGGCCACGGCCGCGGCAAAAATTACGGAAAATATCAAGCGAAGGTGGAAACCTAAATGCCAAGGCCCGGCAGCAACTTTTGAATAATAGCTCACCGGCTTTACCGCAAGTCCCGAAGAAGGTCCCCATGGAAGGTGGCATGTTTTGATAACATTGTCATTTACTTGTTGAATTTCTTTCTGACATGGGACACATTTTTGTTGTTTTTCATTCATTCTTTTTCTCTTGCTTTTTCTTTTTTTATTTTAGAAATCCCAAAGTTACCCAACACTCCACGGCGTACCATTTATTTTGATTTTATGTCTTGCGATATTGATGTCACGTTTTCATTTTTTGGGGGGGAAGGGGAAGCTGAGGGAACTACTCCCTCTGGATATACCATTTTGTTGCCATCTGTCCTTTAATCGTCCGTCGACCATTTCTTGTTTACTTCTCATGTGCTATACAATGCTCTACGGGCCTTTTCTTGATTGTACAATATTTTCTTTCTTTTTTTCTTTTCACAGGAGAAAAAAATATATGTTTCTAGTCTTCAACCGATTAGTTTTTTTCATGTGACCTTTTTTTCCCCTTTTCCTATCACTTTTGGCATTTCCGGTCGTTTAAGCTGAAAAATTTCGCCGTATGGTTTGGCGGTTTGTGGTGTTGGATATATCTATGTACGTACAAGATTCTTATCTAGTTCCTCTCGATATTTTTTTGTCCGCTGCATTCCTTGCTTTTTCTTTGTTCTTCTTGATATATTCACGTTTAGTTCTCCCACTGGCAGGGGGATCATGAATACCAAAAAAAAATGGGGAAAGGAAAACGGGAAAAGAAAACAGAAACAAGGACTTGTCTATTTTGAAAGAGAACAGAGACGCGCGGGAAAATAGGGCCCGTTTTATTCAGGTGAAGAAGACCCACCGAGATATCTTCCCAGTTTCCTCTCCCACTTTAACATGCGTTAGATGAATGGAAGCGATCATCCACTGCACTCCTGGTTTTGCGTATACGATTTATTCACAACACGGCGTTTCACCGCTTGATCTATCTGAAATCACTCATGCCTCTTCGACTTCCTGTGCTCCCCACGTTTCCATGCTCTTTTTTCAGTCTTTCCCCTTTCATTGATAACATCTAGGATCTTCAGTAAGGTAAGTAAAGGGGCGGACGAAAAGGACTTGGCCTGGTTTGATAGGGTTGGAGAGACAGACGACATTTCTCAGGTGCCGTTATCGTACATTACCCCTTAACCTCTGTGGGCACAGCGTCATGCGTAATATCGGTTGGATATAATCACCACACATTCTTCGTACGATTCCTTCTCGTCCTATTATTCCTATTGGATCGCACCTCAATCGAACCTCAATAAGTCAGCCATCTCATCAACAACACCCTTCTGGAAGATGGCGGAATATTTGTAACTCCGGACTGCCTGACATTCCTCCCAATCGGGTAATCCCCTGGGAAACCCCAATATTGCTTGTTGCGGGCAGTGGGACCGCACCTCAATCTCTACCGTTATCTCCTTCGGTAGGACATTTCTCCTCTCTCTCTGGTACTAGTCCTACTGTCTTATTCTTTTCCTTTGGCTTAGGTGACATTTATCTTTCCTTCACGCTCACTCAGAACAACCAGTCCTACAGATACTCTCTCTAGGCTTCGCGCTATCTTTCATTCTCCCATTTTCCTCAAGGAACCGTTTCTCTTTATCTTTATCATATTGGATTCGCTATCGCAGCTCAGCAAACGTAGCAGAAAGCTGTGTGAGCTACTTACACACCATAGTTTGGCGTTTAGCCCCTTTGTGGAATAGTTTATTCGTTGTGTTATTGGATCTCGCTTGGAGCCTTATTTGTTTACTGCTATTAGTTTCTGAACCTACCAAGGAGTATGGAATCCAGGATGGGACCGGATGTTAAGGAGTCATCTCAACAACTTTCCCGTTCATCCATACATGGTTCTAGAATGGCCGCTGAGCCACACAAACCAACTCTCGCGGACGTGGTGACAGGGGATGAGAACAAATCTATATTGGATACTGAGAGTTCGGTCAAGAAGCAAGCCTCGAGAAGAAGGCAATACAAGAGCAGCAAGAATAGGAATAAAAAGAAGGCAAAGAAGCAAGAAGAAGAACAAAGGAAGTCTATGGAAGAGCTGGCAGCATCTGTTAATGCAAGAGAGGGGAAGTTTGGTGCCACCAATCTGATTGATCCCAGTCGCGAATCGTTCCAGGGATGCCATTACGAGCCCTTTATTGTCGACAGCACTCATCTTTTTCGATCGTCAAGACATTGCCAAACTGGGGAGGGAAGCTTTAACGGCCAATACACGGGGGACACTGGTGGGTTTGTAACATTATTGGGATGCTGATTGGAGCCTGTGCGTTTCTGTTAAGATTGCTAACAGTGCTTCGAACTGCAGAGAATATGTCTCACATGGATAGCTTTGAGTCGCACCATTCAGATCATGCTTACCACTCCAACAGCTCCACCAGCCATAGCTCTCAAAATATCTCCATGCCAGTTGGCGGAATTTCAATGGGAGCCCCGGCCAGATCGATGCTCCAAACCAGGACCCCTGATCCTTATGTAATTCAGAGCCACGGGATTTATTTTGGCGGCTGCTCTGATTCCACCTCTTCCCTCCCATCGGAGACCTGTTCGGGCTATCAGGGACTACAACGGCAAACTCCTCCTAACCCGCCATCCTATCAAGCGTCTCAATATCGCCGTCCTCCCGCTTGGGAAGATCCGAGCCAATTTATGCATCCTCCAGGAGCAAAATTTGAAAGCGGTGATAGAATGTACCAGCCGTACATGCACTGTTTTTCGATCCCCAACGATGCACATAACCCACCAACCGTACCGCGATATAGACCAACAGTAGGGTGCCCTCAATATGCACCGGTCAGTCCTTTCAATAAGGAAAATAACCCACAGACTATTGAAAGCACCATTTCTCAATATCAACAGTGTGAAAAGGTATCAGAGGCAGAAGGATATTCAAACAGAGAAACAGAAATTCGAAGTGTCAGTAGTTCACTGAATTCTGTGCAAGAACGCCAGCAAGGGACCCAGCTATGTGCTGGACCAATTATTTCTCGTGAAATCTACACGCCCCAGCACGATTTCGACGGGGAATTGGAGCCAGTTGTGACTTATATTCTCGAAGCGTTTAGGTCCGGGGAGTATGCAGATTGTCGCCTGATCCTGAATTCCGCTGCGGAAAATTTCCCACCCATGTCCTTTCCTCTTCACTCGTTGGTTGCTTCAAGAAGTCCGCATCTCAAGGAGTTGATGAAAAGCATGCATGGTATTACATGCCCAAGGGAGATACACGTAAAAGGTGCACCCTCTTTCTCTCATCCTTTCGCACTCGGTATGGCGCTGCAGCATTTCTATGGTTTTCCATTGCTAGTTGAGGAGCAGCTAGACAATGACCTCACGCAAGCCGTTGACAACAGCAATGGCGAACATCAGGACCAGTGCTGTAAAACGCGTTATGGGGTTGAAAAAATGAAATTTGCTCTATGTTACGTTGCATCAGCTGCTTTCGTGGCAGAGAGTAAAATTCTTCGTCGAGCAGTCCGCCTTGCTACAAACGCGATCTCCTGGGATACATTGGAAGTTATTTTTCAATTTGGGATTTCATTTTCGGATTTTATGATTTCGCCAGTTAGTAGCCTTCATGTGAATCGTGAGCCAACTGCATCTTTACCCAACGGCAGTGAAAGGGTTGCGGAGAGCGATTTTATGAACGGACATAATCTCCATGGATGTCCTTACACACTTAATTGGGAGTTGAAGGATGTATGGGCGCCGCGGATTCTTGATGAGGCGATTGGCTTCATCATTGAAAATTTTCCTCGAAATTTTCAACTTGATCCTGACGCGCACTCACAAGAGTTGCTTGACAGGCTCTCTTCTGGGAGAACGCCGTCCAGGCGCTATATCAGAGAGGTATCCACATTGACATTTGGTAGTTTTGCTGATGCAAACAGCTGCAAATTTAGGAGAGAGGAACAGGTCATGTCAGCGATATTCTTGGCCGTTCCTTTCAAAATATTGAGGAAACTTTTTAATGCCATGAAAGTCAAGGGAGTCCTTACTGTGAGCATGGCGGAGGACATTATATTTGAGCGCGAACGGCGTCGGATTCGGGCTGTCCGGACTGTCAAAAAGAAGAATGAGGCCGCTTCTAGCAGCAACTTTCAACTAACAATTCAAGCAACCGATCCAATCGGTTGGCGAGAGGAGATTCTGGATATCGTGGGTGTCCCGAACAGCAGCCCATCAATTCGCAAAACCTGGGTGGGGCTTGACGCGCCTGAGGTAATTGAGATCAAGCCAAAAAAGGAGAGATCCCCTGGAGCTCTAGGTAGTGTAACTTTCGGTGCTTAATATGTCACACCCTTGCTTTCTACTTGGTGTCACCTTCTTCCCTTCATTGTTTTATTCTCAGGCTGTGAGGTTGTGGTGCCACAACTACAAAGCTGCAAATATACCCTGCTTCTGTGGCTCGTGTTTTTATGCTTTCTACCGTTTTCCGAGATAATACCTTCAAAGGTTACTATGGATCTGACAGATATTTCTCTTTTCTTTCCACCCCAAAATTCCTATCCCGTATCCAATTGTATTCCAGACAGAATGGATGAGAAAGACAGTCCAATCCAGCCCCTTCCTGTTTCCCTATTCGTTAGACAGCCCCATGTCAGCCGTACGCATATTTCGCCTTCTCTCTCTTTCTATTATTTTTCTTTCCTATTTTTGGTCCGGCTATCTTTGTCGTCACTTCATCCGTTCGGTAGTGTTCTTGTCTTGCTATCGGTGAGCTTCTGTGGTACATACTAGTAAGATAGCCCGTACCAGCAAAGCTGTCTAGTTTCTGTCATTTTATTCTTTGGGTTTTATTCTTATCCTTCGGTCTTTGCCGGGGCAGCGACGGGGCGGGCGGTGGCTTTTCAGTTTGGATGGTTAGATAGTACTTGTCATTTGATAACCCTTGCTTGGGACCTATGAATGGTGTTACTACACTCAATTTAAGTGTAACTTTAGATATCGTGGTTTCGCCCTTTTTGTTTTTTGTAGGAACTAGGGTGGTTCATATAATTGACGTAAAAGGGATCAACAACGACTTGGGTATTTTGGAGTACAGGGAATTGAATAGTCTGGTTGAATCTAAAAAGCAACTTCCCTCATTCCTACATGCTTTCTATGTCACGCCGTTGATACTATCCATGGATGTCCTCCCAGGATTGTAACAGAACAAACAATAATATTGCCAGAGGATGGATGCAAACTGGACGAATGAACCAGCTCACCCAAAAACCATTGATAGTATTACTATTATTGCCTTTACATTTCCCCAAAGCCTAGATTGAATGAGCTCCTACATCCGAACCCTCCGACCTCTCTGCCCACGACGCCTCCCGCACAACCCAAGGTATGAATGGGTTAAGACCTTACGGACTGTTCAAATTTCACTGAGCTGTGTTGCTATCGCTTAAAGTTGAGTATCCCTATCATATCTGATATCATCAGCCCCCGCCACAGGTACACTGACGGTGAACGATGACAGAGTCCAAAACAGCAAATTCATGGACCGAGCAAGGACCACCGTGCTTGCTTGATCGGTAGTTGGAACGACCCGTTAAATGGTCTACCTATTTTTGCCATGGCCATGGCCTTGAGCTTGTGTGACTGTGAGTTACAATGGGGGATGAAGTTCAAGTTCTTTTTTGCTCTCCCACCGCCTGAGTTTCTAGTCCTCAGTGCTCCCTAAACGTAGACCTAACAGAGTCCCGGACATCCCAGCGCTCTGTGAGGTATATGGTTATTTTTATCAAGGATATAACTACCCCTTGCCCGAGGTTGAAGTTGGAGAGTTGAATGAAATTTATTAGAACCCAGTTTAGTCGAACTTATTAAGATATATGGTGAGGCTGTTTGGTTGATGATTTTCAGGAATCATTTACTGGGTAGACACAGAAAACTTCTCCACAAGTCTTAGCACACCTCTAATGGATCTTCATGCGCCGCCATCTTGTTTTTGGCTAGCTTTTATTTTTTGTAACGTCTTTGCCTTAGAACAAACCCTTCCTCTAGAAGGGGGAAAGATAAAAAACAGGGCATACGCAGAGAGCAACGCGCTGTGTTCGTCCACTCTCTAAACAATACCCGACAACAGAAAACTCAAAAAGAGGATCAGTTGAACAGAACTGTTTCCCATGCTCACTAACTGGACTTCTGATTTCCGTTTGTCGCAGGACGTCCAGTGCGGAAAAGTACATAGGAACAACGGGGTAGTTCCCACGGGTGTCAATGGTCAGTAGCCAATGGCCCTCATCCTGAATGCGAGGATTTTGGGAATTTCGGTGACATACCGCAGAGATCTTGGGTCAATTTGCTTGCTATTGTTGTATTCCGGATCGAAATCCGGTTCCTCGAACGCGTCCAGAACTAATCCTGAACGGAGAAAAGGGGATAAAACATCGTGTATGGGACGGTGGAACGTGTACTTTTAGAATTCAACGGAGTATGATGATTAGCGAAAATGAGACGGATGCATGCATGATAGAAGCATATGATAATATGGTTTTCATTCCGTCAAGTCAAATAACACAACATGCAACGTGCAATATATACCTGATAAAAAGGCTGGCCTTTCATCGCTTCCGCCTTCATCGGAGCGGGAGAATGGAGGTATGTGGTTATCTTTAGACTGACATGCTCCTCCTCGCGTCCTGTTTCCCGGCTATCCCCGTATTCGAGCACGCGCGTGGATCCAGCGGTGATGAGAGGATGGAGGAGCGTTGCAACAAATCTAGAAGCCGGAGTCACATACAAGGCACTCCAGAGAAAGCAACAAAAAAAAAAAAAATCTCGAATGGAGCTCCACACATCACTCCCTCCTCGCTTAAAGATAGTCAGTCTCCTAGGAAAAATAATCACCTACCGTCCAGTATTTTGCTTCAGTAGTTTTGGTAGAGCAGCTGCTAATGGTTCAAGAGTAGCGATATCCATGATGGCCATGTTCATTACGACGATATCGAATGGGCCCTCCTATCCCATGCAGAGAAGTAAAGAAGAATTCCTATTAGTTCACTGCCTCCAGTTGACGGATGAACGTAGACGGATTGTAGGCATGGGTGGGCTTTAGGGCAATATCATGAAAAAAACCCAGTCCTACTTCCGCTGTCTCCTTTGCGATGAAATTTTCGAAGCTCTGTGTGCTCGTGGCATCCAAAATCTGGTACGATATGGAGTTGACATTTTCTCCATTAGCATTTGTGCTTCTGTGTTTTGCATGATCGATCATGGCCTGGCTGCCATCTGTTGCAATAACACGAGCACCGTTCGACGCTAGCCAGCGCGCGACAAGCCCGTTTCCTGTCGCAAGGTCCAACGCCCTATCGCCGGGTTTCACGGCTGCCATGCGCTCAAGCGAAGGGAGTTCCACGATTCTGTAATAATCGTTGCCTTCGTAGCCCATATGCTGGTCCCAGAAGCTGGCATTCAGTTCCCAGGCTTTGAGGGCTTCTGCATTGGTTGGATTCGCCATTCTGAGAGCAGGTAGTCGTCGGACTTGGAGCTTCCAGGTGAGCGCAGGCTTCGTTTTTGTTCACTTGTTTGGAGAGGAGAGAACGGAGAACATTTTGAGGCCTGCCGGCTCGATATTTATATATCCTCGTATTCCCGAGGATTATTTGACGAGTGGTCTGGGGTTGTGTGAGTCATCTCGAAATTTTTTCACTAGCTGCAGCAGCGAAGGAGATGATTTCCAGACCGTTGTTACACGACGATTTTAGCTGAATTTCTCCCCATGGAGCCTCAAACCACTTGAGAGATAGCTAACTATCAATACAAATTTACAAATTTACGTTTTGCTTGCAATTAATCTATGATACATCGTCTGTCCTAGTTATATGTACTAGTTAGTAACTCATGAATATTTTATTCAACTATCATTGACTGTAAAATACATCTAAATTGAGATGTGTATGTAGCATTACATCTAGCTTGTCACACGCTCAACTACTAAGATGCAAAGGATCATTTGAATATATGGTTATTTTTCACAAAACAGTCGTTGAGCTTAATGATTCACAAAATGAAACGCTTACCTTCCTTTTTAAATGAAGAAACAGCAGTGATCAGTAGTATGAGTTGAGTGGGGAAGCCTCTTTGTCCCCTGCAAAACATCAATATTTGGTAGATACTATATATACGCTCACATCAATTGTCGAGCTATCAACAATCAATTAACAATCATATATCCCCAAGTAACCAACTCATGGGCCCTTGCATTTAAGTTGTAAAACACGACCAGCCACTCAATCAACCCCACATAGACCAAGAGCTACATTATTTAGCTCTCACTCAACTCCTGTTTCAATGACCGCCGAAGTAACAGAGAAGTAGAGACACTGAGCAGTATCCCCCATGACAGATAGATGATGGAGACTTGCATGGCACGCCTTGCGAACAGCAGGGGCCCAAGGCTTGTACGCATTGTCACATCAAAAAGGCATGTTCTCCGTTATTCCTTGCATGGACGGTAACATTTAACTTTGCTAGATTCGTTGCGATTTACCGACAAGCAATGGATCATGTTCGAACTGCCAGACCCTGAATCAAGAATGCAAGTGGGTATATCTTAATGATTCTGCAAGGTGCGCTAGAGCTGATCACGTAGGCCACACATTCGAAAGAGACGACGAAAAGCGGAGTCCTGACGTTGGAATCTTGGGTTAAACTTTTATATGCTCCCCTAGTCTTGGCACTGTTTTGCTTTCACAAGCATTACATCCGGCATAATAATATGTGATGGAGGTGGAAGGTTGGTCGATTGTAACTATCTAGCGGGCGCAGCACTGCTTAAATAGGTGTGGTTACGTGGCATTCTAACGAGCAATAGGGATGCCAACACTATGTCCATATTATCCCAATTGCAGAAAACAACAGTGACAGCTAACTGGTTTCTTACCCCTATAAACTGTACCGTACATCTGCTGTCGCAGGAAGGTAGTGAAAGGGCGGTTAAGTTGAAATACAGTGTGTGCGGCCCGGAGAGATTGTCAGCGAAGAAACGATTTTAAGTTGTTACATATGCTCCGCATGCCGAATCGCAGTATACTCCGGAAAGGTTCAAGAATATATCATGGATAAAAAAGCCTGTGCCAGAAAACATACCTTTAGAGGGATTGATATATCCATGCTTTCCTTCCAGCAAGAGAAAATAGCGACTGGCGTATACAGCCGCGGGGCGTGGGTGCTAGTTGAACTACGACAGAATAATTGTGCCGGCATGTTCACCGTCGCTCTAGTGTGCCACTCAGGCGGCGATCATAACGAAGCCTGGTACGAACATCCAATCTACTACGCCACCAAGTCTCCCAAGCCTGCTACCCCAAGGGGCTCCTCTGCAAATACTCAAACATAAGCCTCAGTGCACGAGGGTTTTGACAGTTGAATATTGAGACTATGTTCCTTTGGCTCCCCAATAACGGAGCTACCCAGCATGAAATCCAATCCGATGTCCTTGGCGGAGAGCGGAGCGGAATTCCGCCTTTATCGATAAGGCGCCAAGAGTGCTAGGTCCGCAACTCGGTTGTGCGCTTGAGCCGTACGTTGTCTTGCATTGAGATTTACTTGTCAAAATCACTGATGTCTTCGACAATGGGAGTTGCTCTCTTGGTGATCAGAAAGATGGATTCGCGCTCTAAATGGTTTTTTTTTTCATGTAACTTGGTGGTATGTACGGAGTAGCAAGAGCAAAGATACTAGTATGCAGTGGCTCTGAGAAATGGATTGAAACTTACTAGTAATATTAATGTGTCTAGTATCTGAGAATTCTTAATACTTACGGACATCAAATCATCTATTGTTTCATTCCTTTCTTAGTAGCTATTGTTCGTGCATCATGCTGGTTTGGATACTGGCAATAAATCTGGCCGTATGCGCCAAGATTTCCAGCCAAGCCGAGGTTGTTTTGCTCCATCGCCGTCAACCCTGGATATCTTGAAAGTCACCTGTCCGCGACTCCTGGGAATTCTCATCACCGCAGCTGCAAACCCCGTCAGTCAGCCTGCACTCAGAAGAGTCGTAGCTAGTGGCACAATAATACCAGTGATGACTTCTCCTCCTGAATCCTTGCCTCCTCCAGGCTCCCCGAAAACCCCCCATCCCATCATCTGTAACGCTATGCGCATATCGCTCTCCGCATCAGAGTACAAATCACTACACGAGAAGCTCATCAAGTGGCTACCTCCTGGCATTCAGGATCGAGTCTTGGAGCCAGCCGCGTTTAGAGAAGTTGTCAAATCTCAGAACAAATACAATGAGGCTGCTCTCCGCGCTTCGCTCCGTGTCCTCCTGGCCACCGGAGCTGGCATGAAACTCTTCGTTTTTATATCACAAAAGCTGGCATCGAGGAAGACGCAAAACGACGTGTAGGTTTCTTACTACAATCAACTGTGAACTGGCAGGATGAAAGTGAACTGATCTTTTGCCAAAAAACGACAGTAAACCTGCAAAAGGCACCCTCCGCCATTCTCCAGCACTTCGACTATCGGCGGCCCTATCTCTGACTCTCCTCTTGCACCGCCTCTTGCGCCGTTTTTTTTCCCGATTGCGCGCAAACCTACGAATGGATGATGCTCGCCCATTCCGTGAGCGTAATCCTCGAATCTCTCGAGCCTTGACATCTAAATATGCGCCTGCGATTGGTTCAAGCCTGGCAGGCTTTGCCCTGGGTGCTTACCCACAAAGCCAACTTCGCCTCACGCTAGCTATTTACATGTCAACCCGAAGCTTGGAATTTTTGTTTAATGAATTGGACGCCAATGGATGGTTCAAGAACCGGCCGTGGTGGTTTGGAAGTTGGTTGTTGATGCCGGTCTCCTTGGCCCAACTGTTCCACGCGTTTGTTTTTGATCGCGAGGCCGAGCCGAAGGTATACTTGGGAATCTAGATATCAATATCTCTTTATGTTGATCGGTGAAAAGCAAGAAGGCTGACTGTTCGTTTTAGTGGTTCGGTGACTTTATTCTCAATTTTACTCCAGGCCACATTCCCCCTCGACCAGGGAGCTACCCTTCGGACCGCCACTGGATAGATCAATATGAAACTGTGGATGCTCTAGCTAAAATTTCCGAATTGAAATGGCCGTGAGTCCCCCCCGTCTATGCCCATCAAATTGAAAAGTTCCCTTTTTTTTAACCTAAATCCTATCCTTATAATAGCGCCTTCATCTCCCCAATCCTCCACCCATCAAATCCAAAAACCCTTCCGGATTCCCTGCAATCCATATCCGCCGTAACATCCTCCGCCCACCCCTCAATCTCTTCCTTATCCTGTGCACTCCTCCACTCTAAATCCCCCTCGTGCCTAACCGCCTCCCTCCACCAATACCTCCTCTCAATCCCCCTCCTCGCGCGCTTCCTCACAAAGGTATACTTAATCCTCTCCCTCTTGAAATTCAAAACTTTCATCCACCAACCAATTCTTGCCATCAACGGTGTCTGCATGAAAATCCTCTCCAGAACGGCCATCCTTTCCACAGCCTTAGGGACAGCGTGGGGCAGTGTGTGCCTGTTCAACTCCTTCCTACCTCGTTCGTTGTTACCCACACAGCGCTTTTACCTCAGTGGAGCACTGGCTGGGTTACCATTTGCCTTCGCTGGCAATGGTAATCGGTCCATGTTCCTCTATTTCTTCCGTATTGCGGTTGACTCTGCTTGGAAAGTTGGGACGAAGCGCGGAGTATGGCGCGGTGGGAAGGGAGGTGATCTATTTGTCTTTGTTGCATCGTGGGCGCTTATTGGGGTGCTGTTGGAGAAGAATCCCGGTGCGGTTGATGGAGCGGGTTTGAGGAAGATTTTTGCGTGGTTACGGGGTGATGGGTTTGTGGACCTGGTCGAGACGGCTGGTGTGAAGAAGAAGGGGAAGAAGGCCGCTGCTGCTGCTGCGGATTAAATTGCATGTATTATGGATGAGGAAGGTCCGTTGCATCATTGCATATTTACGTGAATTACCAGTATAAATATATATATATATATTGTAATTTTTTTTTTAGTATACACTTTTCATTTATCTATCCCTTCCTAGTGCCATGTATTGTATTTTTGGAAAATTGTTCCCACCTTTAACTGCAAAGGGAACCCCTTCAGGAAACGCCTTCAGGGAACACCACATCCTCAACTATTCCTCATACATCATAATAATTGCATTCTATCACTCTCGTTAGGGATATATGGGCATATAATAGATTATGCAGCTTCTGAGTTTGATATGAAGCATGTTTCGTTAACCGGAGTATCAAAATATCCGGGGTGGTTGTGGAATAATCTCTCTACAATGAAATTGCTTTGCAGGGTTGGAGATGACGTCATTACGAACGGTGCAACCTTTGGTCATCATCATTGCTTGGTCAATCTTGGAAAATGGGGTATCATTGTCAAGCTAAGTACAGTTAAACCGTCGGAGTCGACTTGATGAAATGTCGAATTCAGGCAAATAAATGATAGATCACAGCAAATTTATGAGAAAAAAAGAAAATGCAAACATTCAAACATGCTGCGTTACAACAGATAATGGAATTTAAAAAAACAGAGAGGGAACAGAAAAAATTCTGCAAACGTAGCCCGCACCCCGTAGGCATGTACCTTGTGCGTTAATCCGCATAGACGAGAAATAAGAAAAAAGACAAAATCACCAAAAGCTACACCACCCAATGTAATGTTGGCAAAGATTTTCCACACTCGTAGCTTGGACTAACAACTTATCCACCTGGTCGGAAACGTTCAGCTCCTCTGTCGATTTGAAATCACGTCCCGTTAACTTCTCCTTCACTCGCGAAAGAACCTGAAGAGCTCGTGCATTCTGCACTTCCCGTGCTTCATTGGGCACGCCCTGCTGCGCGTCAAGGATGCCTCCTTCAAGAATCGATGGGCGTCGCCGGGAGAAATTGCTGGGTTGCACAGGATGTTCGACGCTTATTTCGTCGGCGATGGCTTGGCGGCGGTCCATGGGGAAAGATGGTCGAGCTGGTGATTCCCGAGCGCCTAAGCGCCAGTTTATGAGGGGATCGTGGATGAACTACGGATGGGAGTTAGTAATTGAGGCTGCTTGATAAGAGTTGCAGAGGTGCGAGCATGATACTTACCGCTTCCAATACGGCCATCAAAGACTCCTTGTTTTCTCGGATGACTCGCATTACAGCCTCACAGGTGATGTGATAACTACCCTCGATATTGCTAACCTCCATAGCAAAGGTGAGCATTCGGGTAAGACGGAATGGGACACGCTCAGGATATTTTTCACGATGCATTGCAATTTCGAAGCAGTCGCCGAAATCAATATGCACGATTTTGCCGGTAATGCGATCGAGTAAAAGATTTGACGGGTGACGGTCGCCCAAGCCGAGAATATATCCAACCATGGACATAACTCCAAGAGACCTGGTATAGTTCGTTCGTCTCTCCAGCCAAGATTCAGAACTCTTGCTTTTGAGCCAAAGGACTCGGTATAGATCTTTCCCGGTCGTGTTGTCCATGGCATATCCAAATACTTCAACCTTTTGCATAAGCGTCAAGTTGTCATAATCTGGGGCCATTTGTAGCATAATACGATGCTCTATATTAACTAGAATCCGTCGGCTTTCACGGTATTCTTTGATCAGAGCGTGCAATGTGTCAGTGTTGCAAACCCACCCAATTAAGCCAGAGTTCTGCGATAGTGGAATAGCGGGGAAGCGTTGAATTGTGAGATGGCGCTTGAAGCTTTCACTGTCATGATCAAGGAGGGTATTTACAAGTCCGAAAAGTTGCATGACACGCTCATCTTGCCGGATGTCCTCGTGGCCCTTAAGGACGTACATGTATGAATTTCCGTCGCTACCTTTCAATGTCATTTTGCGGGGTCGTTTCTTGGTCTGCATCACGGTGGACACTGGATCGAAGCTCATGATTCTAATCACAGGCTTACCGCTCTGGTACGTGCCAGGAACAGCCAACTCAAGGTCAACGGCGTCCTTAAGTTTAGGGGAGACGTATTTCAGGTCTAGAGTAGACAGCTGAGGGAGCTGACGAGCAATTTTCCGGAAGACAGTGTAGTATAGATCCCAGGCCTGGTTGAGATCACCTATAACTCCTGATTCGCGGTAAAGAATGCAAAAATGCTTGGCCTCTGCAAGGTCGCGGCCAAATGCCTGAGCAAAGGAAACTTCCCTAAGCGTTTCGGCACCCTTATCAAGCATATCATGTAAAGGCGCCAATGTCGCAAACATCCCTTCGACATTATGATCTCCAAAGTACAATCGAGAAGCTTCCTCTAAACCTTCATGCCAAAGCTCGTGCCATAAGACAGCGACACGAATCAGCTCGTGACTGACAATTTCCGCTTGTTCAACAAGCCTGGGGCTATGTTGCCTCATACTATCCATAATATGCGTAGCAGATTGAGACCGTCTCACAACGTTAGATTTCGTTGCTACAGTCAGAGGATAAACCAGGGCCTGTGGGTGGGCTTTTCCAACTTCCGCAAGCAATCTATGGACAGATCCCCTTACCCGTGCATTCGGCTGATTGATACGCGCGATGAGCTGAGGTGTGACCTCTAGCCATGTATCGACGCTAACTGAAGAGAATCCTTCAGTGACCACACCGCTTACTTCAGCATCGCCACCATGGTTGAACCAAAGGGTAAGAAGCCTCAAAGTGTCTTGCAGTGAACTTGTCGACGACAAGGAAATAGAGCGGAAAAACCCTCGAATAGCAGGAATGACGTGTTCAAGAACAATGTGATGGGGAACGAAGGTTTCCCGATTTGTTTGAGCGCTCAATGCGTTTACAACCTCAAAATTTGTCAATGCCCAGGCGTGCCATGCTTTGTAGGAGTCAAGATTATATTGTGTAGCTGCTGAATACGAATTCAAGACATCTCGTACTCCTTCTGAAGTCCAATCTCCTTTTTGAAGTGCTGTTTGCCATTCACCTTGCTTCAAATAGCTTTTTGCCAGTAGTCGTCGAAATTTACCCATTTCACCGATATGTTGACGTGCAGTGGCCAGGTCAGGATGGTCGGTAATGCCATTGACAAGGCCGGGCCTGTCTGAAGAAGCATGCTCACCATGAGCGATGAGAACAGAGCTATATCGCGAGAATTCTTCAGTCAACCCAACAGTGAATTCCCGTAACATCTGCAGTGCCTCTTTTTGGCGTCCAGCAGTCCAGTCATACTTGAGTCGAGCGTATATAACCTCTGGTGGTGTCGGTTGGTCTGATCCCTCACCACTTTCTAAGGCGCTTAGAGAACGGTCTGCCAGACCCATGCGATTTGACTTGCGGCATAAATTCGCAAATTTGATCCACATATCCAAATTCTCACGAGGACATACGACTAAGGCTCTTACTTTGAGCATGCGTTGCCATACCTCGACGTTTTGCTGGCAACCAAGGAGTCGTTTATTCCATGTTTCTTTCATTGCCTCCTGTTTCTCAGGATCACCAGCGTTCTGCTTATATGTGATTATTTCTTCGAGTTCTGCAAGCATTTGAACACGAACAACGACGTTATAAGCACGGTTATAAGACTCTCCCAGCAATGCCGAAAGTTCAGTATCCAGGCCATTTCGTGCTTTTTCAATGAACATCGCCGCTTCATCGAATTGGTTGCGATGTATAGCCAGAATCGCACCAAAAAATGACCGGTCAGGAGTTTGTTCTTTCATTACTCCGATATATGAGTCCATAAGCTCCCATTGGCCACGGCCCCAGGCCGCGCCCGCAGCAAGAGGCGCCATGGCCTTTCGATGTTCATTGGAGGCTTGGTTCCACTTTTCCTGAGCGAGATCAGAAAGCATTTTCCATTCACCGAGTGCATGCAGACAACGCATCTTTCCCATTGTAACATCGAATGAATCTGGATCGATAAGCTCTCGCCTCTTATACGCAGCCAGCGCCTCCTCCCAACGTTGTAGCTTGACGAACCACGTTTCCTTGAGCTCAACATCTCTGTACGCCTGAGCTTTACGAAGAATACCAATCGCAGCATCTGATTGTTGAAGTTGATTATTAATGCTGATTAATGCCTCAACTGCGCCTGAATTTTGATCCTGTTCGAATTCCAATTCCTTATAATGAAGAGCTTTGGCGAAGGCGTGGCATTTTCCGGCATACTTGCCGAGGGTTCGGATGTCGATATGCAATGCCTTGTCGTCATGTTCCATGAATTCTGCAAGATTAAGAAGGATCTGTAGGATTTCGGGGGGAATATTCTGGGATGTAAGCGCCATGTCTATAGAGCGAACAAGTTCTTCTTGGTACTGGCCATAAAGTTCAGTCCAGCAAGAAACGAATGCAGCATTAAAAAGATCCTTCGCAAGAGGTTGATAAATTCCAGCTAAACTAGCACAAGCCCGAAGAGCATGGGATGGGGACTCCTTCAGGAGCTCAACACTAAATCTTCGAATCCATTCTTGCCAGTCCTCCCGAGTCGATTTTTGAGATGCATCCCATGCATTCTTCAGATGTTGCTGATTAACTAGGATTTTCTTTTGACCGACATCGGCGAACGTAGCATCATCACCAAGCGCTCCATAGTGCTCGTCAGGGTTTAGATCTTGAGGAAGTGGATCCCCCTTCTGTAATTTTGAAACAAGAACTTGGTAGTTGTGATGATTTATTTGATGGGTTTGAATAATTTTGTTCATGAGCTGGATGTAGTTGTTGAAGTCCTGCCCTAGCTGGAATATAAGCGTGCAGATACAATCCAGGGCGGTTTGCCGTAGGGTACGGTCACTACCCGCAATCACCCTTGACAGTGGATGTATCATAAGAGAAGCGAAATCGGACACATTGACCTGTCGGGAAAGCTTTCCTAAGGTCTCAATAGCAGATTTTCGAATCCCCGGAGGACCTTGGTTTTTGTCAAATAAACGAACAATGGCCGGAACGATTAGATGCATATACTCCTCCCCGCTCGGCCCAAATATCAAAAAGGTGTGTAAAATTCTTTCTGATGGCTGTCGTCTTGGCGTATTATCCTTCTCTAAGGTGTCGAGCATAAGCGGGATCAAGCCTGCCAAGTATTTCTTGAACTCTCCTTCCAAGGACTTTGCAATTGCCTCGACAAGAGATAATATTGTGGCTTGGACTTGGTAAGAGCAATCCCAGAATTCACGGATGACCTCAATGATTTCTGGCAAAAAGGCTCGGATGTGTTGTCTGACAATGGTCACTATGATTGCTAATTGGTTGAAGTAAGATTCAAGCCGACTGGTGGGAGTACTTCGAATAACGGAGAGGAAAGAAGGTATAATTTGCCCTAAGAATGGCACGCATTTCAACCCCAAGGTTTTGAATATGGTAACAATGGCATCGATAACAGCAGAGTGGTATTGGGAGAGAGAACTTTCGTTGAGGATATTTTGAAGGAGGGTGTTAATAACGACAGTGGGATAATATTCATCGTTAGAGGGGGTGAGACCTTGCATGATAAGGGAAACATCCGATACCGTTTGGACTTCATTTACGTGATGGATATCGGGCGAGGATTCAATTATTTGCTGGTGTTTGTATGGATCCAAAGCGCCGAGGATACCAAGCAACTTTATAGTCTCCTTTCTCAGAGATCCAGTTTGTTCGGTTTTTATAATGTTAATCAGGACAGCGAGGAGATTTGGATATTCAATATAAGGCTCGATGACATAGCCAGCATTACTTGCAAGTTGGCCTAGTGTTCGTAATGCTGCTTCTCGCTTAGATTGGGATGATAAATCTTGAAGTGCTTCCAGGATAATTGGCATGAGCTGCGGCAAATATTGCTTCATATCCTCACCACCGACTGTCGCAAGTTCACCAATGGCTTTCAAAGTTGTCGATGCAACTCCAGCATTTGGATCAGTTGTTTTCGGAAATAAAGCTTTCACCATGGGGTCAACATAGGATCGGACGAGTTTCGTAGCATTCGCAACAAACAAGCTGATTAGTTGCGCGCTTTCCTCCTTCTGGCGAGATGTGGTAGCAAAGCTGAGTCCAGTCAACAAATTCACCAACAATTTCCTTAATGGCGGAAAAACGTATGCCGGATTAACACTAGAAAGACGTCCAATAATACTGATTGCAGCTTCCCGAACCGAAAATACTTCGTCATTCACTGCGAGGAAAAGGCATCGAACATTTTCAGGTTTGGCTAAATGACGGTCGAATTTCTGATCTAACGACTCTAGGACGATTCGCCGAATTTCGGGGTCTGGATCTCCCACTCCAACAGAGAGGAGAGTATCTATGACTTCACTAACAACTTGGATCGAGTGACTACTAGTCTGATTAATGATAGGGTCGTGGACAAAAAGTTGACAACACGTTAATGCAGACGCTTTCCGGATTTCCGGATTATCCCTATGGACGAAATTAATAGCAACGTCACGAACAAATTCGTTCAAAATATGCCCTATAAAAGTTAGGTTCGAAGTTGAAAAAATTTGAGGGGTTCACAGTCGTCGCTGAAACTCACCAGAGAAGTCAAAGCTGCCAAGCGTGTGCAGTGCAAGGGCAATTTCACTGTCGGTTGGCTCCTGCAGAAAAGCTCCATAGTCCTTCGCAAATGAAGGCATTGGAGGTGGGCGGTTTTCCGGGCAGCCAAGAGGCCGGAATGGAGAGCCAGAAAGGACTATGCTTAGCATGTCAAGTAATTTTTCTTGAATTGTTGCCTTTATTGGAGGTATATAGTGCGCCATATCTACCAAGGCCTGCGTAAGGGATTCGCTTAATCCGCACGCGAAAATTGGGTCCAGTAAGGCCTCCATGTATTTGCTAAGCGTTTGTCCGACAGCCAGTGATAACATGCTGATGCACTCAAACATTGGACCTTCATTGACTGCTGCACGGTTACGACTAGAGCGAATATTAGCTGAATGCCAATACACAGATCAGCTAGTTTGTTGTAGCTTACGCTTTCATTGTTAACCCTTCCCGGATATACACAATAATCCCATCAAGAAACTGCCCAATAGAATTACCCACGGCATTCGCGATTTTTCCGATGGCAATGAAAGCAGCATTTCGCTCCTTATCCCGCTTTAATTGTGCTTGTAAATATATCATGAATCTATGTAGATATACATTCGTAAACTCCAGAGGCGCATATGAAGCTAGAATGGGGATGGTAAGGACGATCTGTGTTCGAATCTTCGGATCACGGTGGTCTTTGAGGCGTAGGACTATTTCACAGGCATTTCGATAATGCTCATTCATGAACATAGCACCTTTCAGGAGGAGTTCTTTCAAGGTGAGAAGCGAGCCATGAATCCAATCAACATTACTGGACCTCAGGCCCTGTAAAGACTCCTCGTAAATTCGACCAAACCATTGTTGACGGACCTGGACGTCCCTCGCTGCTAATATTTCAAAACACTCGCTAACGGCTTCGGCAGAGGTCTCACGAATGAGAACTTTTGGATCTCTCAATGCCACCCATATAAGCTCGAATATCTGTGGGACGAAGCCGTAGAGAAGAGTCGGTGAACCTTTTGCAAGCTCCCGGATGACTAGGACCGCAGCGAACCGCCTATTTTCTTGTCTTTCGGACTGTAGCCATTCCAATGCGGACTGAATTTCGCTTTCCACTAACTCCGCAGTCAAAGCACCACCAGGTTTGGCCAGACGACCGAGTGAGCGCGCTGCATATATTAAGACTGCGTTATCGTTGCTCCGTAGTGCACTTCGTAAGTAGCTGGCGAAACGGGTGGTCTTTTGAGCAGCATCGACGCCATCAAAGTCGATCAACCTATCGAGAGCAAGAAGCCCGCCAATTTTTTCATTTGCATCATTTCCGGTAACAACAAGTTGGGCGATACGCTGAGAGACCGCATTGTAATATTCGATGAACTTATCCGGTGGCAGCTCTATATACGATGCAAACCGCATGAATCGTCAGCAAATCTCCCACCTCAGGTCAATAAGATCGCAGTTTAAAGGATAGAGATGGGAGTAGAACCTCTAGAGACAGCGATGACATTATCGTGGAGTTCGTATGATGCGCGGGAGCGGGTTTCTTCGTTCTTGGATTTCAGTTCGTGGAAAATGCGCTGGGCCGCGTCTGTCCCTGAAGCTGCCTGCGCCATGATGGGCAACTAATTTCGAGGACTAGCATGTGGCATTTGCCTCATGCAAGCTAGTTATACGAAGATATACATCAAAGTTTACTGGTGCTTCCATAGGTGAAGAAGTCCCTGTTAGTTTTGGGGTGAGAGATAGTTGTCGTTGCGTGTTGACCGAGATCCAGCGATGAGGCTAAAATCCCGTGACTGAGGGCAAGGCCTTGCTCCATTTCCGATGTGAATGATACTAGCATCAGAAATCCTACCCCCCTCATACAAGCATATATTATATTAAGCCAATCTTTAGGGTACGGCTTTGTGAAATATTATCACAGACATAAATTCCACGATTCTTGGACCTGCTTTTATCTGTTTGAGAAGGGTGCTCAAACCTCTAGAAACACTATATAATTATGCGTTAGCGGTTTATTAGACCAACCGTACGAAAATCCTCACCTCAAATACCATCTTCAACTCCAGTCTTCTTGATGACACTCCAACCGTCAGCGGATTAAAAAAGCGCTGAGGCAACAATGGCAGTCAGGCTGTCTCCAACGGCGAATTTGTTTCGCAAATCTCGACTATTTGCGCTTCCCCCAACCCTATCCCCTCCAACCCAAACTGCATCCTCCAGCCAAATCACCGAATCCGATACAGCTACCCTTCCTTATCCTATCCGCGCCGCAATCGTTACCCCGGATTCTTCCCTAGCAAGGGGCGATTGGGGTCTCAAGCGACCACTACCAGCGAAGTCCACGATACAGAGTTCATCGACACCCGTTGTTCGCATCAATGCTCTCGACACGTTTGAGCATATCACTGATTTCGAATCTGCTGGAGACCATGTCAAGACCCTAACGAAATGGCAGGAACTTTCGCTGCCAATATCTCTACCCAAGAACAACGGAATTGCGATACAGGTTGGTGGGGGAAATCATGAGAGTGTTTTCGAATCTAGAATCGATAATACACATCAAACTCCCAACGCCGCATCCCCTAATTCTAAGCGATTCAGATTTGGTGGACCGTGGCTAGCTGGTCAAACAGATATTGAATTCAATCGGTATCTAACATCCGTCCGCCGCCGAAAGCCAGAATTTATGAAGACCCTTCGACAGCTCGTTGCGGAGGGGAAATTAGCCGATGCGAGACGCAAAGCCCGGGAGGGAGGGGAAAATCTTGACGGTTTACAAAGTCCCTCAAGTATCAGTGAGGAGGAGTTCCAGGCCGCGCTAAGAACTTTGAGAGCCGATCCTACAGCTTTGGGACCTATAATTTCCAAGTTTTTGGACCTACCTCCGCCTCCTCAGACACCAAGCCACCGCATCCATCTTAGCAGTTGGAGTTCAGCACCCTCCGAAGCTTCATCTGCGGAGTATGGCCGCCGGGGACCACCTCAGACTCATCCTTCCGCAGGCTTGTCCTATTTACGCACGGGCGCTCACATAGTCAACCACCCCGTTGTTGGGCCACAAAAGCATCCCCGACCCGTTCCGGCACGTATTCTTCGACCAAAACGCCGACACAGAGGAAATGCCTACAAAGCTGTAGTTGGCGTAGGAGGTATAGTCACAGAAGACGTCAATAGTCATGCTTTTAAGGAGCACAATGGCCCTGGGGGGATCACCGATTTTGACCCTGATGTCCCTGGAGGAGCTAAGTACTGGGTCCATCCCGTCCGTGCCTCGGTGACCTCAGAAGGCAAAATCTCTCTTGCAATTGATCGAGCATCAGATACTGCTAAAGCGCTTCATGGCGGTCTCCCTGAAGCAGAGCCGCTACCGGACTACGTACGTGGCACTCAAAGGACGTTCGAGGAGTTAGCCCCGAAAAGGTCTGTGAATCGGGGTACGGCGGGAGAAACCATAGGCAGCAGCCCGCAAGACATACTAAACATCCTCAAAGAGTCGAAAGAGTCGAAGTCGAGTTCTATCTGAGATATAACCTCTGAGCTGTACAATACAACGGAAGGTTGAGTTGTTCTTTTACTCCCGCATCATTCCTAAACATATTTCTCAGCACCTTCTGTAGATTTCTTTGCAATGGAGTTTATTTTTTCTTTCTACATCCAGGTGTATATATATAAGTAGTGTTTAGCTCTAAAAAACCGTTCATTGGTCACGTGATATAGGGCACACAATTAAGCCAACATCAAGAATTCCAAGCTGCTTTCTTTTCCTCTCCTCGTCCCGCCCACAACTTTCGAACCCCAACCTGTTAACACATCAACAACCGCAAAAATGGGTCGCGTCCGCACTAAGGTAAGAGAGGATAACTGAGAGATCCAATTCCTTACTTTTACAATTAAAGCAATCGTTCAGTCGCTAACCACGACCTCAATAGACCGTCAAGAAGTCCGCCAAGGTCATCATCGAGCGTTACTATCCTAAGCTCACTCTCGATTTCGAGACCAACAAGCGCATCTGCGATGAAATCGCTATCATTGCCTCCAAGCGTCTTCGAAACAAGGTGTGCTACGCCAAGCTATCACACAAATGAACTGATGATGGTTGGAATTCTAAACCTTTACTTTGCGTAGATCGCCGGTTATACCACCCACTTGATGAAGCGTATCCAGCGTGGCCCCGTCCGTGGCATTTCCTTCAAGCTTCAGGAAGAGGAGCGTGAGCGCAAGGATCAATACGTCCCCGAGATCTCTGCTTTGGACGTTTCGCAGTCCGAGAGCGGACAGCTGGATGTCGATGCCGACACCAAGGACCTGCTCAAGAGCCTTGGTGTAAGTTTTTTTCAAAGACGCTGCAAATTTTTGCGCACTATTTTCTAACTTCTATTTTTCTGGTTTCGTTTAGTTCGATACCCTCAAAGTCAACGTTGTTCCAGTCAGCCAGCAGACGACCGATAGCCGCCCTCGCCGCTTTGGCGGTGCCCGTTAAATTCTCCCCGTTTAAAATGGAAAGAATTGTTTGTTAATAATGGTTTTAATCTAAAGATGGCAGGCAATTGCGGAATGGAAGGCGTTTTTCTCCTTCGTTTTATTTCTATATTTAGTCGAGGACTGCACGGATTGAAAAAAGGGGGGAAATGCGACGTGGTGATTCACCTCCGTCAATGGATCTATCCCATAAGTCTTTTTTTCTTTTTTCCTACAAATTCTCATATTGCATGTTAACGCACGACAAAACCAGAAAAGAAATATAAAATATATCTATTCTCAAGACAAGGTGTCGCTGATTCTTCACGGATGACGCTTGATTGCCAATATTTGTTCTTCCGTTTTCTCTTTCGACGTTTCCCCAACGTCTGTCAGCAGGTGGGTGGGATAACGCCGTGTGCCACTCTAGTTTGACTATTGCTTCAGCCTATGAGGCATGAAGTTGGTGAGATTGATGTTCGAAATGACAAAAAAGGTAGGTCTGTGATCAGTTGATACATCGATTGACACATACTACACTCAAAAATGGTTGATGTAGACGCTATCCTTATTCAAACACAAGGCCTCCTTGACCTCCTTTCACCTCCTTTCACTCTCTCTCGTAATATCCCTTGGTAGCGGGCTCTAGAATAGTGTCCCTTCAAAATGCCCGACTCGATGCGAAACACGACATGGCACGTCTTAAATTGTAGGGAGGATATCATCATCTTCATCACCATCGTCATTTGACGCATCCCGCCTCGCGTTACCAAGTTGTCTCGTTGGCTTAAAGCCTTCGATCGAACCACCATGTAAATCTTCCGCGCGGGAGGACGGAGGCCGAACCATGGCAACTGCAGCTTCTAGATGCGGAGAATGTTGTTTCTCAAAAATATTCACACCAACCCGCCCAGCATCCAGCCCGCGGTGATGCGGAGTTCCATCTCCCCTTTCCATAGCCAGATTACCCTGACCAGGTTCATCATGATCATGGACCGCCAACCGACCCATTCCATCCATAATCACCTCGGGTTCTAGACTCTTATCCCTAATCACCAGCAGGCGCATAGCCTCCTCGACATCATTCGCCATCTCTACCTGATCTTCCTGCATAACCTCCCTTTTCCCTATTTCACTCTCCTTCCCCTTCGTCGTATTCTTCTCCCGCCTCGCCCGTCCTTCCTCCAACAGCAAAATCTGCTCCGTCGGTGCCTGTCCCAGAGCGGCAGGTGTCCTCTCCCATGCCGGTTGCTGAATCAACTGTACACGAATATACATAGCCCGCTCCGCACACTCGTCTGAACACCACTTCTCAATCTGCTCCTTAGGGACAACCTTCATCTCCTTTCCGCGGCCGCCAGGCCCGCTTCCCTTCTTCCCCCACACAACCCTGAACCTCGCCCGGGGATCTTCCTTCCGATGTTCATTAGCACAAAGCGCGTAGCCACAGCGGCCGTCAATGTTCCGCTCTAAGATGAGATTGTCATAGTCGGACGGCTGGAAAGGGATGAGGGCTTCTTTGAAAGCTTTGACGTCTTCGGGGAGCGGGGAAGATGCTAAGGCAATTGGGGAACTGGGGAAGGAGAGGAGCTCTTCGATGCGGGAGAGGATGATAGCCTCAGTGTCTTTGCGGGCTTGGATTTGACGGGCGTGGTGGAGGGCTATAGCTAGATGACGGGGGTCCGGAGCTGGTTTGCGGTGTTTAGTTATGGATTTCCGCCTGGTAAAGGTGGTTGTTGTAGTTGTTGCTGTTGCTGTGGGAGAGGGATTTGTGTTTGCGGACGGCGGGGCTTCTTTAGCGAGAGAGGCGTGGATTGAGGGGAGAGATGATTTCGCGTTGGATGACTCTTGAGGCGCGAGATTGTTGGACATATTGTCCTGTATATGCTGCTAGGAGACAGAAGCGGATCAATCAGTTGCGAGGATGTGGGCTTATTTTACTCCTTTTTTGCTTTCTCTTCCCTCTCTTCCTCGATCAGTTAGCCTCTTGATGGGTCGATACGACGAGGTGTAGGTATCAATACCAACAGGAGCAATTTTTTCTGCCCGTCAGAATAATAGGACAGGAATCCAACACAACCATGCTGCTAGCAGCTAGTTGGATATCATACACCATTCAAGTTTCCCCGGAAATAGCTGTGGAGGTCCCACTGTTGTTTCAGTAGCCTATAGGCAGAAATGTCAGCATTGAAAACCGACAATCAAGCAGGAACAGAAACAGACATCGCCAGAGGGGTCGATCTGCTCGTCTTGGGGCATCTACGTCGGTGGTGGAAAGTGGCGTCTATACGACCCGCACCAGCCACAGCTTACAAACCGCGCCGCCACTCGTTCCCCAAGGCCATCGTCAATGTAAAGTACACAAAGTGGGCTGTCGACACTCCCGCTATCCCGCCAGATACCACCTGCATTCCTACGTTCCTTTCTCCTCTAATCTTAAATGTTTTTGGCGTAATAAACCTCTCTAATTCCGTAAACTTTCGGTTCCGTCTCTCAACTCTGCTGGTGAGCGTCCTTCCTCCCCCCCCGCTTGTCTTGACCCCGATTAAGTACTCTTGTTTAGAGATGATATTTTAGCTGCCAGCCAACCTTGTCTTCGCTGCTGACGTGGTTTAGGCTTCATGAAGTTCTACTGTTTCAGCCCCTAAGCATATCCTGCGCAACGAAGAATCCTTAATCAAATAATTCATCCTCTGCGAAAACTTATTTTGGTGCTTTGTTGATGTTCCTGTTGCCATCTGCAGCCTTGGGTTCAAAAAAGGGAACAGCTGAAGTCATCGGCCCCCGCTAACCCCTTAATTGCTTTGTCCAGCGAGAAACCGAAACTACGCCCCGCGCTCCTCGCATTCCTTTCTTTTTATTCTTTTTCCTTTTTCGATTCCAATTCAGTGCCGTTTTTCGCGAGGTGAATACAGTGTCCAACCAAATGTCCGGTGTTCCGTTCACGGTCAAGGCGGTGTTTGAATACACATCCGAGCACGAGGATGATCTTAATTTTTCAGTCGACCAGATCATCAAGGTAACTGCGGAGGAGGATGATGACTGGTATTTCGGGGGATACGTGGATGAGTCGGGCTCCAAGAAGGAAGGCATTTTCCCCCGGAATTTTGTGGAGAGATATGAACCTCCCGCACCGCCTCGACCTACAAGGCCGTCGAGGCCCAGAAAAGAACCAGAACTTCCCGTTGCTGCTACCGCTCCTCCGACGGAATCCATTCTCGCTACTGCCCCTGCACCAGTATCCCCTAGGATCCAAAATGAACGAGCTGAACCAGAATTTGAAGAAGCACAAATTCCAAAGGCAGCAGCGGAACCTCCGCTACCGCCAGGGCCACAACCGGTGGCAGCTGTCCAAGCCGCTTCTATTACGCCGGTTGCTCCACGTTCGCCAGAGCCCGCTGAGGTTCCACAACCAGTGCAAAAGTCAGCGTCGAAGGGTCCGCCTCCCACAGTAGCGGAAAAACCTACGGGTTCCTCATTTAAAGACCGTATCGCCGCATTTAATAAACCTGCAGCTGCTCCTATTACCCCATTCGACCCGAATAAGCCACCTTCATCCGCCTCTTTCATCAAGAAGCCGTTCATTGCCCCTCCTCCGAGCAGAAACGCTTATGTGCCACCGCCTATGGAGCAGCCACAGAAGATATATAGAAGAGAAGAAGACCCGGATATTGTGGAGCGTAACAGCCATGATAAGCCCCCATCGGAGCGGCCCATTATATCTGCAGATACACCTGATGGGACAGAAGACCAGCCAAAGCCTACAAGTCTAAAAGAGAGGATTGCACTACTACAAAAGCAACAACTTGAGCAGGCGGCACGCCATGCAGAAGCTGCTCAGAAAAAGGAGAAGCCTAAGAAACCTCCAAAAAAGCGTGTGGAGTCTCAGGAAAGGACAGAACAAGCCGGCTTTGTCCATGGTGCGGAGTTAGAAAGGACTGAAACTTCGGAAACGGCCAAGGATTCCAATGTTACGTCTTCCACCCATGAGGCACCCCAATCACCGGACATAACGCGCTCTCCTACGCAACCCTCCAGGGAGCTCACCAGTGATACTAACGATGCGGATAATTCTGGTGCTGGAGATACCGAAGAGGCCGATGAAGCGTCTACGGGAAGAGAGGACATGGACGAAAAACATCGAGAATCGAGTAAGAAGCATACGTCACATTCCAAACAGGCTCCAGACGGTGAGGGTGAGGGGAAGGGTGAGGATGAAGGGGAGGAGGAGGAGGAGGAGGAGGATGAAATAGACCCCGAGATTCGACGGCGTATGGAGATTCGTGAACGTATGGCTAAAATGAGTGGCGGTATGGGCATGATGGGAATGTTTGGCCCTCCTGGAGGACTGCCGCCAGCTGGCGGATTTCGAAAGCCGAAAACAACCGCGGCAGATTCCGAGAAGAAGGCTTCTGAAGACCAACATCATCTTTCTTCAATGCATGCTCCTCCCGTGCCTCTGATGGGTTTGCCGGGAATGCATTCCAAGAAGACCGCCGAGCCAAGTTCAGAAGTACGAGAGGAGGAAGAACAGGAGGTCCAGTCAACTCCCCTTCGGAGATCTACGGAGCCACCTGTTGAAGACGTCCCCAAACACCTTGCTGAAGTGCCGCCAGCCTCCTTAGAGAGGGTGGCATCTCTCCCACTTCAAGGTACTTAGACAATATGCTTCCCATTTTAGACATTGATTGATATCTGGATGATTACCTAATTTTTGATGCAGACCCGCCCGCGCCTGGACAACCTTCAAATACTACAAGGCCTATTCCACCGCCAATTCCGATGGAGCCCCCTTCTTCCCCGGTTCCAACAGAGGGTAAGCTGTTCGTCCATACCTTTTTTTTTTACTTGTTTCCCTAATACTAAAAAAATTTTCGAAGCTCGACCGTCCACAGTGCAATCAAGACCTATTGCTTCGCCTAGTCTCGGTAGCGAATCTGATGACGAACTCTCTGCTCCTCAAGGCGCCGGACATATGGCTTCAGATGCCTTTGACCCTTCAGACAGAAACGGGATCCCAGAGTCCCCCAGACCATCGTTCAGTCTTGAGCCATCCGGAGGTTTAAAATCATCAACTCTGCGTTCTGAAAAACGTGCCAGCCGTGGCCCACCGCCAATACCCCTTACCAATCCGCCTTTGCCTTCGCCCGGCCACATTCGCCCTCCGCCGCCTCCGCCGCCCATGCCAGGCCGCAAGTCTACTAGTGACAGCAGAATGAGTGTCTCCACTCCAACCGCCAAATCAGGAGGCATTGACAGCGAGGAGGAAGTTACTGAGTATGATGGAGATTATGACACGGACATTGCGTCTGGAGCCAAACACAAAGATGCGCTGAAGGCTCATGGGCGCGATTCAAGCTTCGATGAAGATATCGTAACCGATGATTTCTCTGCTCGGTCTCCTAGGAGCCCGCAGGAGATGCGGCCTCCTCCGCTTCCACCCACTAGCGCCCCTCGTGCAGTTCCTCCTCCACCGCCAGCTCAGCCACCGAAACATGCGCGAAGATCAACAGACATGCCTAGAGGCCCTCCTCCACCAGTGCCTCCCATTAAGGATCAAACTGGAAATGAGGCGGATGATGGGGAGGACTACGACCCATTCCGATATAGTGCTCGCCCACCCGTACCTCCTAGCGAACCCCCTGGCTTGCCTCCTACTGCCCCGCGAGTCGAGTTAAACCTCCCAATGCAGAATCCGCCCGCTGAGGACGATGATGACGATTTATATTCAGCCTCTCTCTCTCGGCCACCACCACCACAACAACAGCCACTCGCTACTGAGAGGGCTGCGCCTGGGCCTCCCCCATCGTGGAACCCACCGAGACAGTCCATGGATGCGCTCAGATCCCCACCAAGCGCTCGCAGATCAATGGACCTTCCCCGGCCCTCTGCAGACCAAGGATATATCGCAAATGACGTAGACTTGGGTGCCAGCTCGCTCTGGTGGACACAACCTCACGTACCGCCGCCTGTCTTCCAAAAACGGCGCGACCTACTTTTCGAAATGGAACAGTCGACTCCGACCAACCGTGGCGGCGACACTACTGTCTCCAAATCAGTTTACATACTTTTCATGGATTACTCACAAACTATCGTAACCGTACAATTCAACTCCAAAAACCCTGTCGACGCCATCCTCGAGCAACGCCATGAACCCCCTCCCCAGCGCCTGCGCCAAGATCAGCTCGAAAGCGCCCACGAGCAATTCGGAACCCGCATCTCCGAGGCAGTCACCGCGAAGCAAAATAGCATAGTTGGCGACGGCACACCGCACGGCCTCATATTGTCTCTCCTAAACCCCCTCTCCGACGCGCTACCGCCGATCGGCACCCGCGCCTACGGCTCCCTCGTCTACGCCAATCTCGCCAACGCCTCCGTGCAGCAGGTCGATGAGATCCGCGCGGGCGACATTGTCACGTTCCGCAACGCGCGGTTCCAGGGCCATCGCGGGACGATGCATCAGAAGTACAGTGCCGACGTGGGCAAACCGGACCATGTGGGTATTGTTGTTGATTGGGATGGTACGAAGAAGAAAATTCGGGCGTGGGAGCAGGGGAGGGAGAGTAAGAAGGTTAAAGTTGAAAGTTTTAAACTGGGCGATTTGAAGAGTGGGGAGTGTCGGGTTTGGAGGGTTATGCCACGGAGTTGGGTTGGGTGGGATGGTTTGCACTGAGTACGAGGAGCTGCTGTACACGGGCGAAAATGGGGAGTGGTGGGAGACCTTACCATGGAAGCCGGAGGGGAAAGAAATAAGGTTTTTATTTTTGTTTATTGTTCCATGATGAATGCTCCCCCCCCTTCATCCCATATTCCATATTCCATTTCTATTCTCTTATTTTTATCTTGACATGTGCATATGACTTAACTTATTTTTGTTCTTTTATGTGTTGTCAGACCACCACAACACCCCCCGTTATTGCATGAAAGGACGTTCCTAGATGAGCTATGTTTGATTTATCTGGGCGTTGCTTTATATATATACGTATATTGTCTCTGAATGTAGCCGAGAATGATATATCGTTATCACCTATCGTCGTACGCATGTTGATGAAGGCGGAGCCGAGGGCTACAAATGCAAGTTTTAGGGAACCGCCTCTCTTTCTCCTCGCTTTGGTTTGGTCTCCTTTTCTTGTCAATATCAATTTCCTTTTTTTTTTCTCTCTCTTTCAAGTTTTATCTCTTCCATCTAGTGGTTATTCATATGAGCCTGATTGATATTTCACATTTCAAATTTGCGTTGGCTTCGTTATGCTCTCTTTTCTTGTTTTCACTTCGTTGACATATATATATTCACTTGCTTTTTTTTTTCCTTTTATTGGCGTTCCGCCATGGTGTTCTCTGTCGGGTTCCGGCTCGATCTAGCACTTGACCTAGGACCTGTTGGATATGTCCCTCGCCTATATCTTATCGCCGTTACAACAAAAAAAAGTATATACTACCCTTTGACTCTGCATTCGATAATATTTCCCCCGCACATCTTTTTTATAAAGGTTCACATTATTTTCTTCAGAAATATAAAGGAGGACTATCTCATATTTCTTCTAACAGGTTTCAAGTTGATTCATTTTGTGGCTGAGATGATTGGATGTCAATGTGTGCAAATATTGTGGTTTGGATCTCAATGGTTTTTATTGCTGTAGGGAAGATTGATTTAGATACTCTCTATTCTTACCCCTGGATTATCTGCCTACTCCCTATCTATCTAGCTACCTCCTTGCGCGATGTCTGATCAATCTCTCTATATGGATAGATATTGCTAGCTAGATCGCTAGCTACCTACCTACCAACCTACCTGCATGATATCCAATCAATCCCTACGAGAATAAACATCACCTATCTATCGATGATATCTAGCGATGACATCAGCCAATTATATCTCTCCATGATATATCAAGTGATGATATCAAGTGATAATATATCTAGCAAATGAATTTTTTGATGATATATATAATATCTAAGAGTATAACTTTTCTGAGCGTATTGCTCCGTCCTGCTCCGGCTGCATGTTCCATGAAACTCCTGCTATAAAGTGTTGTGCCTGAGCTTTCCAAGTATTTGAAGGAATTAAAGATGTCTTCATCCCTGGGATTTAGAGGTTCATTTGCCCACCCCCAGAAGGGGGGCAGGCTGCCCCTAGTACTCATAGAGCACATAGAGTACATTCAAAACCTCATAAAACACTCTATACAAATTATTATTATTAGTGAGTATTCTATTTTTTTTAAAAAAAAAAAAAAAACTGACTATATAATTATTTATTTAAATATTGTGTTTAGAGAATAATGGAACATCTGTGCCGTATTTCAATAGCTCACACTCTGAATTATTATATACTAGGAAGCAATGAATCTTGAAATCTCTAAATATATTTTAAAACAATGAATTTACATCTACAATAGTTGGATTTGATGATGATATTTAAGTAATATATATATATATATATATATTCAGGGGGAAACCCCCTGAAAGAAATTGCATTTGCAAAACGGAGCATCGCTAGATATCGTCACTAGATATCATTCAAGTAGGTGAGTCGATAAATAGGTAGGTCGGCAGGTAGGTAGAGATTGATTGGATATTGAGCCGCCAGGTTGGTTGGAAGGTAGGGAGGTAGATAGGTAGCTAGCTATCTAGCTAGCATTCTATATTCCATCAGCAATCGATCAGATATCGAGCAGGTAGGTCGATAGGAAGGCAGCGGGTAATTCAGGGGTGAGAATAGGGGATATCCAATTGCGGCCTAGGATTGAAGATCAAGTTCTCCACTGTGGCGGAACTCATGAATATAATTGAACAAACGCATTGAAAACTCCAAACTCTAATTGAACGAAAAATTTGCCCACTGTAATATCAAAATCGATTTTTATCAAACTCCGCTTCGCTCCGTTTAATAAATTATATATTAGATAAAATAGTATGAATGTTTCAATCGGTAACTTCTATCACTGCAAGGTGTATTAGGTATTACACTGTTATATTGTCTTCTGTTATATTCTTACTGTTACTTGAATATGATACTAATGATTTTTGATATAAATGATAGTTGATGAATACTCTGTATCAAGTCGGAACTTTTTGCAACTCATTCTATAATAAACAGACTCTATTTGATCTACGGAATAATAAGATTTAAATCCTTCAATTTCTTTGGTAAATACACCATCAAACCATATTATATGGAACTTGAAGCTAAATCGGCATTCTTGGCAGGTTATATGCTGTTACATGTGAAATCCCACCAAACAGCAGGCATTTTCGTCCGGATACACCTGGACAGCGACGTATAGTGACACACTATATGGACTTGTACGGAGTTGAACAGCTCTACCGAACATGCCCTACCTACCACGTCGCGGATTGAAAAAAGGCTGAGCAGGTGGAGATAGATAATCATAACTTATCGAGACGGGCTCGGGCGAAATTTTCTTATCAATCATAACTACTTGGTGAGTAGCTCGTTAGCTGCTAACTTGAGGACCACATTGGTTGCACTGTTCAATCGTACTGTGCAAAGTGGCTGGGTTCAACCTTACCTTGGTAATTGCATTTATCAAGCACCATGGGGCTTGAGGAGTGCCACTCCCTTGACCGAGGCCATTGCGATGTGGGGGTTTAGAAGGTGGCCATGCCAGATGGCTCAATACTCGATGCTTGATGCGCTTTCTCAAGAGTCAAATGCTTTCTGATACAGCGCGAAGAGAAGGGGAACGTCCTATTCTTGACATACGTACGAGTATTTTCGAGAAACCCCCAAATCAGCATCATCTTTTTTCTTATCTTGAGGCAACTGATATCCTGCTCGTTTTGATGTCTAAGGAAACTCGTTTGAATGATGAGGACGCCCCTGTTTCCCCAGAGATAGAAGGACATGTCGTTGATGCTGAGACGCCGGACAATCCCGCCCCTATCTCAAATTCTGAGAAGGGGCCTTATTGTGAACCTGAGGAGGTCGCAGAGCAGGATATTCAGCGGCCTGCTGGTTCACCTGATCCGGAATCCTCATCGCGGGTGCATTCTATATTCACGCCCGCCCAGAGAAGCTACATAGCAGTCTCGATAACATTGGCAGCGTTTTTTTCACCGGTTTCGACAAATATTTATCTCCCAGCCCTAAATACTCTTGTCGGAGAACTCTCAGTATCGATTTCTCTTATGAATTTGACTCTTACATCGTATCTGGTAGGTGGCGACATGTTCCAACCACACCCGAATCCTCCTCTACCCCCCAATTTAGACGGAGACCTTTGTTTTACAAATCAATCTGGGCAGATACCACTAATTTCCGTATGCTCACTTTCCCCAATTTGATTATTACAGATATTCCAAGCCCTAGCACCAATGTTTATGGGAGATTTCGCTGATACAGCTGGTCGACGACCGGCCATACTACTCTGTTTTGCCATATCCGTCGCCGCAAGTGTCGGCCTGGCATTACAAACCAATTACCTTGCATTGTTTATACATCGTTGCGTGCAAGCAGTGGGAAGCAGTCCGACAATCGTCCTTGCGACAGGAGTTGTTGCAGATGTAGCAACTTCGGACCAAAGAGGAACATATATAGGCTGGATTACCGCTGGCGCCTTGTTGGGCCTGGCTATAGGCCCTGTGGTAGGCGGTGTGCTGACACAGCATCTGGGCTGGAGAGCTAATTTCTGGTCCCTGGCCATATTCAGTGCTGCCTTCCTTGTATCGTTCGCAATATTTTTCCCAGAAACCGGGAGGCATATCGTGGGGGATGGCTCACACCCGCCTCAGAAATGGAATATCTCCGTCATTACGTACCTGGCTCGTAAAGCGGTCCGTAGAGCCGAAGACTCCAGTGTTGCCTTTCAAGCACCGACAGACGCTCCCAGAAGGCCAAAGCTCCGCTTCCCCAATCCCATCAAGTCCCTCGTCATCCTGCGTGAGAAAGACACCTTAATCATTATTCTAACGAACGCCATAATGATTGGCTCCTTCTACGATATCAACGTCTCCGTCACTTCCCTCTTCCACGACATCTATGGGTACAACGACTTCCAGATCGGTCTTTGTTATATCCCCTTCGGCGCCGGGGCGTGCATAGGCTCCATTGCCAATGGCTTCCTCCTCGACTACAACTACAGCCGCATCGCCAGGGAACTCGGCGTCCCCATCGTACACAACAGGCAGCAGGACCTCCGCCATTTCCCCGTCGAACGCGCACGGCTGCAGACCATGTTTCCGCTGATGTTCGTGAGCGTGTGCGCCATTGTTGCTTTTGGATGGGTGTTACATTTCCGCGTCTCGATTGCCGCGCCGCTGGTGCTTCTATTCATATCCGGGGCCGCAATTACAGGTACCGTCAATACTGTAAGTACACTCCTCGTGGACTTGCATCCGGGTAAGGTGGCTACGGTGACAGCTTCAAATAATTTGGTCCGTTGTTTGGTTGGTGCCGGTGCCACGGCAGTTATTTCTCCAATGATCAGTGGTATGGGTGTTGGGTGGTGTTATACCCTTATTGGTTTTATCATCGCGGCCACTTCCCCTGCTATGCTCGTTGGTATACGCTCTGGACCGAAGCGGAGGGAACAGAAACGCCTTAACGCTGAGGCGCAATCAGCAGGCTGAGGAGCGTGGAGTACATCAAATAGGTATGACCCGAGTTCCAGGGAATTGAGAGTCGACTTGGAAAATCATGGATTAACGTATATATAATGTCTGGCGGACTCATCTGTACGAAATCGTGAAGAATTGGAACAGGAGTGAGCGAGAGCAATATATTCCAAGGCGTAACGATCAGAACATGATTGATATATATAATAGGATAATATATGAACAAGATAATCGTTATTTAGTTAATCTGTAATCATATCCAACCATACATATACTGTACATACAAGACCCCAACCTCATTGAAAGGCAAAATACGCTCGTTCCAGCGGCTGGCGCTCTGTTTCCCAGGCTAACCAGTCTGATCTTGTCGTCCTAAATGCGCATACAAATTAACGTCCAATCGATACCAAGCTGCAAAACAAAGACAGAAGAGCAGGTAAAAGGAAATATATATCGTAGAATAGAGAGAGGGATACTCACGGCAATAATCCCATCGCATTAACCTTCCAAACCCCCAGCGCCAGCAACACACACTGCATCAAGACATACACTACCTTAACCCCCAGCATCTGGCCCTTTGTGCTCTCCGCCTCAAACTTCGCAAATGCGCTGTTCGTGTTCAGCAAACCCTGGATGGGACCCTTGAACAGCATAAACACCATCATGATGCTGAAGATTTGCAAGCTGTTGCCGGACATGTACATCATGATTGCATTCATGGGCAGTTGCTTTGTGGGCGCCAATGCGAGTTCCCAGGCCTTTTTCAGCTTCAGGGCATCGGTTTCGGCGGCTTTTCGGAGAGCTGCGGCGCTGGTTGTAGAGGCTGATTGCTGCTGTGGGGAGGCGCGTTGCTGGGAGGGAAGAGGGATCAGTTCCTGAGTTCTATATATATTGTGGGTTAAAAGGAACAGAATATGAGAGGCATACGGATTTTGTGCTGAGTTTGTTGGCGGAATAGCCCGGTGGATCGGGGATATTGGCTGTTTTCGAAGGTCGAGGAGGTGCTGCGGTGTTCATTTCTACGGCCCATCGCGGCGGAGGTGGCGGATTGGCTACTGGAGCCATTTTTTGGATAAAAATTCGGGTTTCTCCTTAATGTCTTCCGGTATTTTGACTGAAGGAATCAGTTACTGGCAGGACGGCGCGCTGGTTCGGTTTTGGGAGTCGCAGTTATTGTGTGTAGCTAAATATTTAATTGGAAGGTGAGAGGTCGAAGCTGAAAGGCTCTCTCGTTGATTCATTTCTCCGAAGTCAACCTCCCGCCTCCTGACAACAACCTCTCTGACAACCTCCCGACCAACCTCAACCACTCTTCAGCCATCCCCTCAACCTCGCCGTCCTTTATTCTAACTTACACGCATCTTCCTCCTTCGAATTGGCTGCTTCTACGATCATGGCTGAGAAATGGGCACCCTGATCACCACCCTGCAGATTTCCACCAACAGAAGACGTTCCATGTGATCGCGTTATTTCCCCGGAAGTCACCCTGCTTTGACGGATGAGACCGTTAGCAGGCCTTGAAGATTAACTAAGTCAAGATGAGTTCGGGCGGGGGAGATGCGAAGCTGTTCGCGAGGGTATGTTCCTGTTGCCCTCTGCTTGCTTATCTACCCCCCTCTGTGCATCTCTGTTGCCCACCACATATGAATCGGTCAAGATCTGTTTCGACGGACCGCTATCGCGAGCCGATTCAGGGATTCCTTGTACTGCTTGTTGAATGCGCTATCATTGCCGTTGTCCCAAACCTTCGTTTGTCGGCCAGTGTGGATCATACCCATAAGCATTGTCGCCCACACCTAGTTCCTTCCCCTATTGTGATAGTTCCTTAGAAACTCGATTTCTGGGATTTCAATTCACCTTTCTTTTCCAAATGGTCGTCTTCACCCCTCTATTTGTGTCCTCGGGCTCACACTCTACCTATCGTTCGCAGGGCAAAGTTGCGGAGCTCCGCCAGGAACTTAACAGCGGTGGCAAGAAGGATCGAAACCACTCTGCGAAGAAGATTACGCTGAAGAAGATCGTCGCTAATATGACCATGAGCAATAACGACATGGTTGCGCTGTTCCCAGACGTGATTGCCTGTATGAATATTCCGAGCTTGGAAATTAAGAAAATGTGAGGCAGATTACAAAACTTGGAGGCAGGGGTTTGACCTATTTGGTGTTGATACATGGAGCTGATAAGCTGGAAACAGGTGCTTTTTGTTTCTCGTCAACTATGCCAAATCGAGACCAGAAGTGGCTCTGGACGCCTTGCCAATTTTGATCAATGTATGGAATCTGAGAAAGAGAGCTATACGTTTGTTAGGGCTGGAGACTAACAGGAGCTGGCAGGATATGGAAGATTCGAATCCTCTTGTGCGGGCTCTTGCCTTGCGGACGATATCTTATATTCACGTCCCCAAATTTGTAGAAGCGGCAGTCCAGCCTCTCAAATACCTATTGAAAGACGACGACCCGTATGTCAGGAAGGCAGCTGCCTTTTGTGTTGCAAAACTCTACGATCATAACCCACGGCTCGTGGAGAAATCCGACTTGATCCTTCGATTGAATGAAATGCTCAAGGACGATAACCCGACTGTCGTATCTAGTGCTTTGGCTGCATTGACTGACCTGTGGGAACGCAGCGAGTCTATTCATCTTACGATCGATTATAAGAGTGCATCCAAAATAGTTTCCATCCTCCCAGATTGTTCCGAGTATGTGCATTTTATCAACCGGAGATAGGAGATTTTTTTATACACGAGCGCTAACAACTTCAGATGGGGCCAAACCTACATTTTAGAAGCATTAATGGCTTACGTGCCGCAGGAATCAGCAGAGGCGCTTCTCTTGGCCGAGAGAATCGCGCCTCGTCTGTCGCATTCTAATGCAGCCGTTGTTTTGACCGCTATTCGCGTCATCCTTTATTTGACGAACTATATATCCGACGAAAAACAGATCACCTCACTCTCACGAAAGCTTTCTCCACCCTTGGTCACCCTACTATCCAAGGGCCCAGAGGTTCAGTATCTCGCGCTGCGAAATGCCATCTTGATATTGCAGAGGAGACCCGAAGTGTTGCGGAACGATATCCGGGTGTTCTTTTGCAAATACAATGACCCTATTTATGTCAAAGTGACGAAACTAGAGTTGATATTTATGCTAGCAACCAAAGAAAATATTTCCGTTGTATTGACAGAGTTGAGAGAGTAAGCGATTCCCGGTTCTAACCTTGGTAGCTGATAGTTGATTTACATGATTGACTCTAATTAGATATGCTACTGAGATCGACGTCCATTTCGTTCGCAAAGCTGTTCGCGCGATTGGTAAATTAGCAATCAAGATCGAATCCGCTGCGAGGCAATGTATTGAAGCGCTGATCGATTTGGTCAATGCAAAAATCCCCTACATCGTTCAGGAGGCCACAGTAGTGATCAAAAATATATTTCGAAAATACCCAAATCAATATGAGGGGATTATCGGCACTATCATCCAGAATATCGACGAGCTGGACGAACCCGAGGCCAAAGCCGCAGTTATCTGGATCATTGGCCAATATGCTGACCGTATCGAAAACTCAGACGGGTTCCTCCAAGATTATCTCGCAACCTTCCATGACGAAACAGTCGAGGTGCAGCTCGCCCTTCTCACCGCTACGGTGAAACTCTTTATCCAACGCCCAACAAAAGGCCAACAACTTGTCCCACAGGTCCTTAAATGGTGCACTGAAGAAACCGATGACCCAGACCTCCGTGATCGAGGTTATATGTACTGGAGACTCCTTTCCACGGACCCCAACGCTGCACGAAACATTGTAATGGGCGAAAAACCCCCTATAACCGCAGAGAGCGAAAAGCTGAACCCTGCCTCCCTCGAAGAACTCTGTCTAAACGTCGGAACCCTCGCAACTGTCTACCTGAAGCCTGTCCAACACGTCTTCCGCAGCGCGAGACCCAAGCGTCTAACTCCAAGTCCCGCGTTGCAAAGACCGCCACCGGACCATGCTGGAGATCTCTCTTTGTCGTTCCAACAGAGTCGTAATATCACGTCCAACGCTGCTGTGTCCACTACCTCTGGCAAAGGTGGCCTCGCGGCTGCTGTTAGTGCTGCGGATGAATATTTCGCTACTACCGGAACCCAGCAGATGGCGGCTTTGAACCTCAACAACGGCGTTGGAGGGGGTGGTGCACCACAGACCCAGTATGTGGTTAATCAGAACCAGCAGCAGGCATATCAGCCTGGTGTTGCTGGTGGAGCCGCGACGGGAGAGTTACTTCTCATTTGAAACTGGATGGAAAGTGATGGAGATACAAGCAGGAAAGACCATTTTGGATTGGATGGGGACAGGCATCGGGCTGCACTTGGATACCCTGCGGTTTTTGGACTTTAGTCCCATTTCACCTGGTGGCGAACGCGATACCTCTCATCAATATTGGATTATACGGTATGTAAAGCAGGGACAAGCATTTTCTTTTCATTTTCATTTTTTATTTTCAACAATGTATCACGCTTCATAGTACGGCTTTTCTTCCAGTCCTCCCTTACGAGTATAATTCCCCTTTGTGATCTTACTTTCCAGTTTTGGTCTATACATAGCCAGGCTTAAAATATATATATCTATATCCATGTATCTACCTCCCCATCCCCTTTTCATTACAAAATCTCATTTATAATCTTTATACCTACTTCCCTTGCTCAGCAGCCTGCCTCTCTGTCTCCTCGCATGCCTTCACAAATATCTGCACGAAGTTCCACACATCCACAAAGGTATTATATAGCGGTGCCGGCGCCACACGAATCACATTCGGCTTCCGCTCATCCACCACAATCCCACTATCCAGCAGCCGTGAAAAGACACCGTCTAATATATCCCCACGTAGCAGGACGCTGAGCTGCGCGCCTCGCCACATTGGGTTGGAGGGAGTGATTATGGAGAAAAGCTTGGGACCTGATTCCTGCTGTGGACAGGCCTTTAGCAGGAGATGTTCCAAGTAGGCGGTTAGCTGTATGGATTTCTGTCGTACGGCGGGCATGGTGGCTGCGGAGAATATCTCGAGGGAGGCGAGTACGGCGGAGAGGTCGAGGGCGGAGGGGTTGGAGAGCTGGAAGCCTGCGGCGCCGGTGCGGGGTTTGAATCCTATTATTTGATTTGATGTTTGTTTAGTGTACTTGGGCTTGTTTCTTATTCTTGTTTAGGGGGGCGGGGATTTGGGAGCGTGAAGTTCAATGGGAAGGGGGTGGAAAAGGTGCAAAGGGTTGGAGAGATTTATCGTACTGTTATCCATCTCGAATCTAGTGTCCTTGTCTCCTCCCCACCATCCCGATAAGCGCGGCCTGTAACCCGGGCCCCCTAGCGAAGTATTTGTATCCACGATTCCATGTCGTTCATGTACGAACAGAGCACCCATCGCACCAGGGCCGGAATTCAAGTACTTGTAGGTGCACCATGCAGCGAAATCGACATTCCAGTCATGCAATTTCAGCTCGACGTTGCCGGCAGCATGCGCGCAGTCCCAGCCAATGGCGATGTTCTTCGAGTGCGCGTGGGCGGTGATTTTTGCGATGTCGAAGTATTGACCGGTGTAATACTGGATGGCTGGTAGAAGGATTAGGGCAGTGCTTGCGGCATGCGCATTGATGACAGAGATGATCTTTTCAGTGGAGAGCAGTGGATTGCGGGGGTCCTCTGGCTCAATGAGGATCATAGCATTGTCGGGATCCAGGTTGTGGTGTCGGATTTGGGATTCAACGGCGAACTGCCAGAGAAAGGTTAGTTAGACTCTCATGAATATAATTGCTAAGTAAATGGATTGTATTTTCAAATTCCCTCCAATCCCCGCCTTTCTTTCTTTCTTTCTTTGCCTACATGGTCGCTAGGAAACGCCTTCCCCTCCAAGATAATCTTATATTTCTCCGCCGTTGGACGATAGAAGCTCGCCATGAGCAGATGCAGGTTCGTCGTTAACGTGTCCATAACGGCTACCTCGCTCGGCAGGGCGCCCACGACTGGCGCCATCAAATCTGCTGCCCTTGTATCCATATCGACGAAGGGAGCCGTGAGCTCATCTTCATGTGGCGTGAAGTGGCCCAGCACCCCCTTCGTGGCCCAGGTTTGCAGGAACCTATCAACATATGTGCGGGTGCTCTTCGGCTGGAGACCCAGAGAGTTGCCACAGAGGTATGTGCATCGCGAATAAGTGGATTTATCTTCTTTGAGGTTGTGTTAGAAGGTCTTGTTTTTCGTGTGCTGGTTGGAAGGGAGAAAAATTGTAGGCGCTTGATGGGGAGCCGCGGGGAGTTTTGGGAGCTGGTTAGTTACCATTCGCACTGGGGATGATCGTTTTTCTAGTCAAGTCTTGCGTCGTCGGGATGATGAATTGCTCTCGAAAATGCGCAAGAGAGTCCTTTTTGTCCAGCGACTCTGCGAATTCCCTCTTCTCTGCGTTCACATCTTCCTCCCATGGAAAGGCGGGGGAGCTTTGCGGGGTCAGCATCGTATCCTGAAGCAGCCGTTTGGCGTTTGGGGATTTGCGGTTCCTGAGCCTAAGTCGTTCTTTCACTAAACATTAATTGAATCACCGTGCTAGGACCTTCGAGATGCTGTCTCTGTTATATATACAGATTACGTGTTAGATGAGGTCGGTGATCCGACTTTAAGCGTGAAATTTCGGCCTGAGTGCCATGGGTCAATCCCATCTGCAGCTTCCCCTGTCAACCACATTTCTCTATTTTCTCGATGGTTGAGATATTTCACATTTCTTGGGCCTTTTCCACACAGCTAAACCTGATAGCCTACTTCTGACCCGAAACCCTTCGGGGTAGCCCTATCTTGGGGTGGTGAGGCTGTCTCAGCAACATGAACAGTGCACATTTGGAGTCAAGATTCTATCTACTCCTAGTAAGTGGTTTACATTTGGCACTGGAACCACCAGTCAAAAAAAAATTGTACATACAATGGGGGCTATGATTCCGTAGGTGTTTTATGGAATTTAATTGAAACCACACAACTTCTGGCAAATCTATACGGCCTAAAATTCCAGCCTGAGGCCAACAGATGATGGCACCAAGCGGCCTGGCATTTCTTTTTCAATCTCAAATTTGACTCTCCACCCAGAACAATGGCCGGGCAATAACACCTTGGGATCTAACAACTTGAGATCTTGCACAGTGGCATCCAAGTGAGCCTTTTCGCTCATCGACAAATGGTAACCTCCAAAAACGGCGTATACCGGGTTGCCTTTGCCAACCAAGTCAACGGCGTGTCTTGTTGCGTTTACAATGCCAGCGTGGCTACACCCGCTAATTACCACGATTCCTTTCCCTGCAGATATCGTTAGGTTAGCAGCCGCGAGGAGATTCCAAGGCAAAGCACAACTACCACAACCGATACCCGTGGAAAAGGATAGCAGACCTTTGATATTACATGCGAGAAACCGCTCGTCATTAATCAGCTCATCGCTCTCCCACTTCCCACTGTCTTTGTGGAACCGAACTCCAAATTTCAACCCTGTCTCATATTCCGTCTCGCGCGGGATTTCCCCCGAGATAAGGAACATGTTGTCCAAAACGGTATGAGCTTCACTGTGCTTCTCTACTTTCGCGCCGGCCTGTTCTATTTCCTCGAAGGTTGGATCGGCTTCCAACGAGACGATTTCGCTGGGCATGCGGATACCTCGATAATCCGGCCGGGATGGATGCAGGTCTACAACAAGATCATCGCTTGATGATCCTTTCTTGGTCTTTGCTTCCTTGATCATCTGGATGGCCTTGAGCATGCCACCTGCGTGTTGGGCAATTTAGTTTCTAGGCACCTTAATAAAATAAATAAAAAGACGAAAAGGCACCCACCCGAGTGATCCCGATGCCAATGAGAAAGCTGGATGCGTTCCACGGAAGACAAATCTAGTTTTAACCGTTCTGCGTTCATCCCCCAGGACTTGTCCGTAGGGCCTGTATCAAAAAGCAGCGTCCGACGCTCATCCCCCTTTACGGCAGTCTAGACGGGCAAATTCAAACAGATGTAGCATTAGAAACCAGCCAGCGTAGAACCGCCATAGAAACCCACCTTGTTACGAACGCATGAAAACCCGGGGCGGTGGGACGGTGGGCGGTGGACGGTGCGGTTAGCAGCTTACAAGCAGAACAGACAATCCGTGTGCAGAACAGCACACGTCCTCGAGGCGAAACTCCTTCGTCACCTCCGCCCTATCATGCACGTGGTAGGGAGAGGTCAGGGCGATTTCACCCAGGAGCCGAGAGACCTTGACAGGGCCCGGAGCAGGCGGGGACATGAGGTCAAGATCATTGTCGACGATGACGAGCGCCTCAAGCGCGTCTATTTCCACAAGGGCAGAGGACATGATTGAGTTGATTAAATAGGTGGCGAGATGGTGAGGTATATCGTGAGACTAAATGGTTCTATATGTGTAGAGGTTCTGGTGAAGATCTATATAACTAGCTGGTTGAGACGATATGCGGCCCGCAAAATCCTTAGGGTGGGGTCACCATGCTTTATAGATCACTTACTTTCGTAGTTCTCGGCGTCCATTTTCCCCGTCTCACACACCTCCCCAGGTGGTTGGCTGAGATGAACGACGAACTACGGAGTATATGCGCCGGGGAATGCGCCGGGGAGGAAGTGCACACTAGGAGGGCTGGCAAGAAATTTCCGATAAACGTCATAGAAACCATGGCGTACAATGCATGCACTTGATGGTTGCTCTACATAGAACATCCACTGTGAGCATTCTTATCACATATATATCCAAGACAGAAAGAGAAGAGCTATTATGCTCCATATTGCAATATCTTTCAGGTCAAAGTATGTTGAGCAATTAGTGTTTGGAGCTGTTATCTGTGTTATTGTAGCTACTGACTGATAAGTGCTGACCATGTTCAGCTTTGCTCTAACCATGCCCGCTTGTAACTGTAACCCGCCCCTGCAACTACGCAACGAAGTACTGGGGACTAGATCTATCGTTCGAATCTTATCTCTGCGTTGGGCCCTGGTTGTATGCCGGAGAATAGCGGATGAGGTATACCTGACAGTATTCAACAGGGCTCTCATCATTGATTCTAAGGCATCTCTCGTCGATACTAGTATCCAGTCGCAATTACTGAGGTGTTTTGTGACATTCCTGGTCCAATGGAGAAATTTGGATGCTGCCAGGATGCTGCCTCTCTTGATCGGTGTGCCGGGATGTTTCTCTTCAAAGATGACCCATACATAGCACAGCGAACTCAGCTCGGGTGGGTACGATGAACCTTGCTTGCAGCCAGGCGAAGGAACATATGTATGAGGGATAAAGAACAGTAAGCAATACAACGAGGAGTGCGGCTGGTAAATCCGAATCATGGGGTAGAGCTCCCACATTGTCGAGCTTCAAACCGATAAGTTCGGAGGCCTTCTTGTGCAAACGGACTGTTCGGTGCATGGTAATAGACTCCTTCCGTTTGTAATGGGATGGTTTGCATTGGGGAGAAACGACCGTTCTCAAGAAGTCCTGCCAGTGCTAAGATTCGAACGGACAAGGGACAACTATTTAAACGGAAATATAATTAGACTTCTATCTGGTACCTAGGGTACAAACTCAACACCCACGGCCAAACAGTACATGTACCTCTAGAACAGGTTTTCCACCTGGTGTATCAAACAACCGGAAATATATTCACATAGTCCGTACTATTTGCTTCAATCTCCTCCCCGGTTTGTCCGGGGCTGCTCAGCTCAAGCCTGTATCCGGGGATAACGGCTTCGCTATTTTAGTCACTCCACAGGAATTCAACGTTCTCAGCCCTACCGGTTGAACTACCTATCGCGGATCCACGGGAATGTTGGATGACATTGAACGTGGAAAGCTCGTGCTCAGGCTGGTCTAGGATGCCGAGCATTTGGTGGCTTCATATGCCAATGTGCTTAAGTAGCAAATAGCCAGTGCCAGGATCTATCAACCTCACTACTATGTAGGGCCCAATAGCGAGCGGAGGATTGCATATCTTAGACGATCGCGTGAACAATGCACGATCTGCTGCTTATCTTTTTGCTTGTTTGGCTTTGAACAGACAGACAGACCCACCTGACTAGTTTTTCAGCAGATATTTATTGAAAGCCAGATCGCGGCCCCCGTTGCTTGGGAATTCTTTTTCCGATACCTGCATCTGTTGTCGGGGAGGAGGATCTTGCTAGGTACTAGGATTATTTTCTGATGGAGACTCAACCTCTTCTCGCACCCCGGCGTGGTATCGCTGATGCTCTGGATCCAGAAATAATGAGCACCAAACCGCACCGAGAGGATACGGGGCCCAGCGCATATGGCCAGATTGACCCGGTCATTGAAAGGCGGGTGGTGAGAAAGCTTGACCAGAGGGTGCCAACCCTTCTTGGGTTTCTGTGTAAGGGAGAAATACCCCATCCCATATTCGAAAATGAAAAAAAATAAATAAATAAATAAATAAAAAAAAAATAATAATAATAATAATAATTTGGTGGGGATTTACTAAAGGAGCCTGAATCATATTAAGATCTACTGAGTTTTTTGGATCGATCCAATATCGGCAATGCACGCATCGCAGGAATGGAAGAGGACTTGCAGCTGGACGGCAACCGCTACGAATGGCTTCTGACCATCTTCTATATCTCGTACCTGGCTTTCCAGTTCCAGGGATTAATGTGGAAGATCGTTCCTCCGCACAAGTGGGCTGCATTTACTGTGTTAGGATGGTTTGTCTTTCAAATGTCCCTGATCATTTTAACGGTGCTTTTTTGGTGACATTCGTTGGTGATCATAGGGGCATCATTGCGACTTGCCAGGCGGCAGTTTTCTCATGGAAGGCAGAAATGGGGCTTAGGTTTCTGCTGGGCGTCACAGAGGCAGGCTTTGGCCCGGGCATCCCGTTCCTTCTCTCCTGCTTCTACCGACGTCATGAGTTAGGGCTGCGATGTGGCTTGTTCGTCTCTGCTGCTCCACTTGCAAGTACCTTCGCCGGGACATTGGCATATGGAATTACGTCGGCCCATACAAAGCTCGCCAGCTGGAGGCTCTTGTTCCTTGTTGAGGGCATACCCACCATATTAATGGCGCCTGCTGTCCTCCGTTTTCTTCCTGATTCGCCAGCCAAGGCTAAATTCTTAAATGAAGAGGAGAAAGCCGTTGCTAGAGCTAGAGCACTGAGGCAAGTCGGTGCAGTCGATCGTATCGGCGGCGTGAGCTGGAAGGAAATCGAGGAGACACTTTTGGATGTCAAATCTTGGCTGGTAGCTGTATGTAAACTTTCTCTCCCAAAATGGTGCCTCACGGTCCCATGTGCTAACTTCGGAATGAAGCTCATGTATTTCAGCTGCAATGTCAGCTACTCGTCTCTCCCTGTGTTTCTACCATCAATCCTGAGAGACATGGGATTCACGTCGATCAACGCTCAGGGATTGTCCGCGCCTCCTTATTTCCTCTCGTTCCTGACTAGTGTATTCACTCCATGGATCGCGGATCGCTACCAGCAAAGAGGCTTGATGATTGCATTCTTGTCAATTGTGGGGTGTACCGGGTATATATTGCTTGCCACGTGTTCAGCTGTTTCTACGAGATATATCGGCGTGTGGATGGCCGCTAGTGGTGTCTTTCCGTGCATCGCGAATATCCTACCCTGGGTTCTTAGTATGCCATTCTCCTCTCCTCATAGACGGCGTGACCCGCAGATGCTAACATCGGAATTCTTTTCAATGTGAAAGACAACCAGGGCTCCGACACTCGGCGTGGGATGGGAATCATAATCCTGAACCTTATAGGCCAATGTGGTCCGCTTCTGGGGAGTAACATATTCCCTGCCTCTGACGGGCCGTCCTATGTGCGGGGCCAGGCCATTTGCGCAGCCTTTATGGGCTTCAATTGCTTTCTGGCGCTGTTATTGCGCACACTGCTAGCGAAGCAGAACCGAGAGCTTGATAGGAGATATGGAACGCTTGCTGAACGGGCCCAACAGCTGGAGGAGACCGGCCAGTTAGTCGTTGCGGAGGAGAACTATGGGCCTGATTATAGATTTGTGCTTTGATGATGTATACACCACAATTATACCAATTCTTTTATGCGTGAATGGAGTAATAATTTTGGCGTTGAGATGGTGCGATTTGCATCACGTTAATAATAACATCGTCAACTAACTAAGGCGATGCCAAGTAGTTTTATGTTGTCACAACAGAATTTAACATTCCGGTTCATACATCAGGGTGCTTAGCAGCGATTCAACCTTGAAGCGGATTCTATGGTCTATCTCCATTTCTACGGTTCCTGCCTGGTTGTTTTTGTCGTGGATTCCTTCAAGCCTTGGCTTAGTTCGATAATGCTTTACTCTCCTCACATATCACCCCCTTTTCCTGGGCTGCCATTTTAACATTACTTTTGTTTCTTCACACACTTGTACATAAGCTTTCAGCTATACAAAAGGGGTGCCGCTCGTTAGGTTAGATTTGGGGAATCCAATTGAAGCTTAAATATTAAACGGCACGCCAACAGGGACTCACATCATAATGACGACACCCCAGATATCTCCGCCACTTTGCCACGATTTCGCCTACCACACCCTATTAGTATCGATTTCTGCTAATGTAGGGGAATTATTATTTTGCAACAGCTGTCAGAATTCATTGATTTGCATACCTCTGGCGTGTCCTATTCGCGAATTGCATATCTTTAGTTAATTTTACGTATCACTCGGCTCAATAATGGTTAGGATTTCGGACACCATCAAGGAGGACCACCGGTTGCTCCGGGAATATCATGACAAGATCATCCATGCGGGAGACGAAGACACGGGCACCCGTTGGGGAAACAAGGTAGGTAGGTTCTGCTGACGATACATGACTGGCAAACATTTCTAATTTCGGTTCCTTTATGGTCACAGTTTACGTGGGAACTCGCTCGTTATACCGTAGCGGAAGAGCTTGTTGTCTACCCAGCTTTGGAAAGCTATATCGACCATGGGAAGATCATGGCAGACAAAGATCGCCGAGAGAACCAAGAGGTCTGTCCTGTCTCCTGTATCCTTCAACCTTCCCAAGAAATTCAGTCCCTCTTTCAAGGAAAAAAGAAAGAAAGAAAGAAAACGGGAGGTTTGGTGTTTGAATAGCTAATCTTTTGTAAACTTGTTAACAACCATACACGGAATAGATCAAGGAACAGCTGTACAAGTTCCAGAGAATGTCCGCTCAGGATTCGGAGTTCCGCCCGACGCTGGATAGCATCATGGAACGTCTGAATAAACATATTGAAGAAGAAGAGGACGAGGACCTAGCTTCTTTGGAGTCTGTCATCCAGCCAGACGAGTCGAGATCTTTGGCCAAAAAATTCGAGCGGACCAAAATGTTCGTGCCAACTCGTGCACATCCGCATGCTCCCAAAAATACGACGTTTGAGTCTGTGGTGAGCTTTTTGGAGGCTCCTCTCGACAAACTTGAGGATATGATGAGGCGATTTCCCGAGTCGGAGGAGTAATTTTGGTCCGGGTGGACCGTTTAGCGGCCGCAATTTGAGATCCCGACTCGCGAGTTGTTCTAGCTAATGCTGTATGTTTTTTTGGTGGGGGTTTGAAAAGCAAATCCTTGCGGAACGCCAAAAACAAAAACAAAAAAAAGAAAAAGAAAACCCAAAACCCAAAACCCAAAACCCAAAACATGCATCTGCCAAATGCCAATGGAGTTAGCGATTGTTCTTATTCCTCATTTATGAACTGAAGGGTTCTGTCAATCGGTTTTCCTTCTGTTTAGGGCGAGCCGTGCTTTTGATACGAGAAAATGCAACAAGCAGCCAGATGATGACTAATGTAAGGGTTAAGTAAAGCGGTGTGGCTCTGCAACCAATAGGAAACAGGGTAATCGTAGCATTGCGGTATTTTGCCGCCATTAGTAATCCGACCTTCGGTGTTCGGGAGAATAAAACCAATTTACTCCCTCAGACATTAGTATTTCCTATTTCTACTCTAACGGAGATTTTCAATGGGATATTCTACGTGGCTTGACTATTCACCATATCCGTGGCAGCCATGAACCAGCAGATTCTTGCGTTCACATGCTGTCGACTTGCGCGCGGCCAAGTATCGCCTGCCGCAAGCTTCGTCCGCCAATACCACCGTGCGCTCTCTGTCGCCACGAACTCCGTTTCATCTCAACACTACGCGACGACATATTCAATCCTGCCATACCTTCCGTTTTTGCACCCTTACACATTTCGCCCAAATACTCGCTGTAACCAAGCATTCCGAAGAACCGCGAGGCAGCTCTCTGCATTCTCGACGACACAACCGAAACAGGGAACGAGGGTAGTATTGAATCCGCGAACTGATGAGGAGGGGAAGCCTCTGACAATTGATATTTCTCCGCGTGCAGCGAAGGTACGGAATTTTTTTTCGTTTTTCATCGACCATGTCCGGCGATAGCTTTCCTCTATAAATTAGCTTGCAATCAACAAACAAGCACATACGACCATAGGGAGTGGAAAACAGGGCTTCCCGTCCGCTCAGCCATACTTAAGCCGCTCGCCGGCCGGTTAGTAGTTGGGTGGGTGACCACCAGCGAATCCCGGCTGTTGTATGTTTTTGCCAGTTTTTTTTTTTTTTTTTTTTTTTTTTTTTTTTTTTCTTTTTCAACCCTTCTCTTCTCTGCCAGCTGTTACTGCAGATGCGATCTGATGGGCATTTCTTGTTCTGTATTGTTGCTAATTTTTTTTATCTATCAGCGCCTACGAGAAATAACGGATCCGTCGTCAAAGAAACCTACTCTACCAGTGATCCCGAAAGGAGTTGTACAAGATCATCTCCGTGTCACTGTATCTAGTGGAGGATGCCATGGTTTTCAGTACCTGATGACCCTCGATCCAGAATCTAATATCGACCCGGAGGAAGATACAATTTTTGAAGCAGAGCCAGAGGATTCGGGAGAATCGTTATCGGATGGAAAGACCCCCAGTGGCAGAGCGAAAGTTGTTATGGATTCGGCATCTTTGGAACTTCTGAGCGGCAGTACGGTTGACTATACAATGGAGCTCATAGGAAGCCAATTTAAAATTACCAACAACCCCAGGGCTACCAGTAGTTGTGGCTGCGGAACCAGTTTCGACGTTCCATCGTAGCCCTCCGGACCCGAAATTTCATATATCTCTGCCCTTCGAAGAGTGTCGGAGTCCGTTTTGTACATCTTGCACGGTTTCTCTCCACTCCTTTGTTTCTTTGGCATCGGTAGAAAACACCGACTATAAAAAGGCGTTTCGCCATTATTATTGGCGGTGATATTTTTTGGTGACTTACATTCCAGTGGATATGCAATAGATAACTACTTGTGGGCGCGTTTTGTTTCGATTCGCCAAATCATGCATAGTGCCAAAATTTATCTGTCATTCGCGCGGGTCATTTCACTCACGCTGACCATTACATGAATTTCTTCTCTTAATATTCAATTTCGCTCACAGTTAGCTGCACTGCTTGAGTTATTTTTCTATCCAGGGGTCATACCGCGGGGAATAGTACCATTAGGTGTCATCACCCATTTGACCTCACCGTCCCCTATTCATTTTTTTTTCCATGCTTCGGGGCGGCAGTCATACAAGTGCACATATCGAGAGTTGATAAATATCCACCCTCGACTTCCTCTTCCCTCCCCATTCTTTCCCACTTATTCGATACCGAGGCACCTTGCCTTCTCGGCCTCCCTGGTTTTGTATTTATATTATCTAATTTTCATGTCTCCTAGCAAACTGTCGACGATCAGTGTCGAATATGTGAACAGTTGTTTTAATTTATATCCTCTTTTAGTGGGAATAGGCTTCTCATCACGGCATATATCGAATACCTCTCATCGCTCTCATGCTCCAAGCCGCGCTTTATATACTGCTGTCCAGTCCCCCTCCGCAACATGCCTCGATGTACGTTTTTTCCGGCACCTATTCTCTCCCGATCTGTTCTGTTTACCTTTCCGCCCTGCAGAGGAACCTGCCAGTGGATAACAGACTCTGTCCGTTTTTCCCTTCTTTCTTACTCCGCCCATTTTTGACACCTGAATTCCCAAGATGGCACGGCAAGATCGCCGCTGGGCAGCAGCTAACTCCGACAGTGATATGCCAGACAAGCCATGCTGAATGGATGTAGACAGCGAGTCTGATCAAGGATATGATACAGAGGTCACGGCTGCTGATTCCGACCCGCCTAGCACTCGACATGACAGTATACATAAATGTCGATAACAATTACACCACAAGGGAAATGTTCATACTCCAAGGACAGCACTGTCGACAATGGGGATAAGACCAGTGATTGGTTTTGTTGTTGATCTGACTGTGGGGTATTAAATCTGGTGTCAACCACTTCCCTTCTTGTTCCGGATATCTCCCCGTTGCGCTATTTGATGTGTACTAGTCCTGGCCTTTCCATGCTTGTAGCCTTAACGCCATTTCCATTTCGAATCTTTGCTTGTTAGCTGGGCCCTTGCAGATATCTGCTATCATGTCAGTACCAGGGGGAAAATCAGACTCAAAAACAGGGTCCCCTGCGCCCTTCATGTTAGCAAGCACAGCTTGCCTAAAATGCCATCGTAGTATTTCATCGGACACGCGATTACTATCATTTGGGTTGCGACAGATTGGGTCGAGTATCTTTCCATCAACCTCAAGAATATCTGGGCCAAATGATATGATTTTATATCCGTCCTATATTTGTGCTAGTATCACAATGCAAGATTCGTTTTCTGGGGGAAGAAGATACTTTTTCAATTCACTTACATCAGGGTTTATTGAAAGCATATATGAATCAAAAAGATCATGGACATCACTTTTTAGCAGCAATCCATTCTGGATGGAGTTTATCTGTGACACTTCAACCTCATTTGCCATATTTGTAACCCAACGGCTGTAGCCTTGATCGATCCATATACTTTCATGCTGCAGAGGGAACACATGTGCAGCCTTGAATGCATTCCACCTGCCAAATGGCGCGAATTGGTTGACTACTCCAGTAATGACACATTTTCCATCCCTTGCACGGACTCCATCCCGAAAGTGATTCTCTCTGCCTGAAATGGAGTAGCTCGGGACTCGCAAAGAAGAAACTTCATCCGTTACTCTAATGGGCCCTATGGAATATGTTTACTATGTGAAATCTAAAATGTGTGGAAGGTAGCATACCTGCAGAGGAGACATCATAATCTCCAGGCTCAAGCACATGTGTAGTATGAGCGACAACCCGACCTGAAGCTCGGTGTGTGACAGCTAATGGCTGCTCTGCAACAAGAAGCACATTTTGAAGCATCCAGAGGAATATCTCCTCAGTGATTGAGCCCGCCTGGTATAAGCCTCCAAAAGTGGCTCCGGTTGAGACAAGGTGCAGGAAGACGTTTCTGTATGCGGATCTGTCAGACATATTTATACGGCGAAGGTGATTCGACTCGGGAGGTGGTTGGATATCAGGAGGAAGTCAGGAATGGACAGGAGGATATCCAACAAGCTGCACACAACTACATATTTGTAGAGAAAGTTAAAGATGACATTCCGCTGGCTGCTTATCACCATGTGACCCCACAACGTGCTGACTCAACAGACACCTCCCCACCAACCAGTCCAGTCCCACAAAGTGCGCATACCAAGTCGTGCTCCCTACATCATCCTAACCCCTTATCTTAGGGGGGTGATCTGTCGATCCGTGTCTGAGCTGACGAGTTCCCTCTCTCTCGTGGTGAAGTAAACACCACTCGTGATTGGGAAAAATTCATCCTGATGCCGAAACCCGCAGTTGAGAAAGTTGTTCGGTGTTGGGAGGTAGAGAAGTTCAGTGTGTACCGTCTGTGAGATATGCAAATATATCATAAGATGGGGGTTCCCACCTTAAAGATTGGTCCTTTTTCGTGCAGTGGTAAAACCTCCCAAGAACATTGCATGTTCTACATGTGTTTTCACACCCCGCCTGGATCCCCTGAATGTGTCTTTGACAAAACACAGATAATGGATTATTACACGCTAATGAGCACGCAGTCCAAGTAACAATTATCATGGATGACATCTCCTGGCAATATATTTAATCCACTTCAATTCCTCCCTCCCCCTCGCGGGCCCCGGACTTGCCCCTCTAGGGGAGGAAGATGAGCAGGTTGGGGACCCCCAGGGGACATATGGGAACCAGAAGAATGTATAGCGAACATTAAATTCCCGTCGTACCCCGATTTTAAGCAAGTGGGTTCCTGCAAACCATGATGGTCCCCAAGGGGGTCATCCTGGAGCAAAAAGGCCCATAGTTCGAATTTTCTTCGCCAAACCTACGATACTATGGACAATCCCTGAGGGTGATATATTGCGCGCGCCGATGGTCTACTAATGAACTAAGTAGACGTCAGACCATATGGGCGTTATTGCCACGGTGCTTCGAATGGTCTAACCAGGGGGAAATGCGTCATGACTGACCATTCTAGTGCTTTGAGAGAGTTGATTGGAATGGCGATTGACTTGACTTCGTTTATTTCAGGATAATATAAAGTATATATATAGTCAAGGTACAGACAGGATTTTGAGGTCAGCGCGGGAGTATATCAGCCCAGGAATTTCACTTCTGCATGTCTTCTTGAAGAAAGGTTTAAAACGCACGAGACCAATTTGCAAGATTATTTGCATGTGGAGGAGTTCCGGTGGATGGGGAAAGCAAAAGAGACCTAAACCCGGATGACATCCTTTTCCATCGTAGGTACTTCACCTAGGTTAGGGATATAACTATATTGCCGTCTCAAATAAGCATCTGTAGGTGAAACAGCAGTCCCATGGGATCGAACAGTATGTTCTGCTGGTGCTGTAATCGTTGATTCTTGTCTACTACTCAACAGATGGATCAATGCAAGAAAATAGAGGAAGGGTTGATGGACAATGGGGCAAAAGAATCCCTTAGGTTGTTCTTGACAATAAGCTTCAGGGGAAAGAAGACGAAACAGCACAAGGAATGGGTAAATGAATAGGACACAAGAAAAACATCACACTAGAAATCGTGTTTTACCTATTTTTCTGTATCCCAGAGAACAAACAGTGGAAAGTAAGGAGGTCAAGCAAATTAATACAAAGAAAAAAAAAACACGAAATATAACCACCTTCAACTGCACTCGCCATCCCCTTTCCTTCTTTCGGGGACCTCCCAGTTCGTTCCATTCAGGTAGAGAAATTTAAATAGAGTTGGCAAGAGAAAAGAAGCAAAGATGTCAACGTATGCCAACCGCTATCTATGCATCCACTTTTCATTGTCACTTTTCCCATCAATACGTCGTATCAACAAGGTGAAGTTAAAAAATTAGATATCTTAAACAAAAGGTGCAGGAATGGAACAAGATGACCGTCCAGTGCATCAATCGTAGTTATCATATCCACAGCGCAGGACGAGAGAAACCATGTTTATTTCCGAATCAACCCGTTCCCAGGAAAGATAGAAAAGAATCATTACATAAAAAATATCCCGAATTGCCTAACGACTGCCAACCTCCTTAATATGTCCTTGCCAGATTTCGCAAGTACCAATCCACCAACCTCCTCCCTGCCTTCGCCTCACTAATATGAATCAGATCGCCCTCGATAGCATAATCCAGGTCATTTGCATTCGCAACCTCCCCTTCCAACAACCCACCATCCGACCATCGGATCTGTCGGCTGCGCTGCTTATTGACAAGTAGCCATGAGCGCAGCTGCTGCGGCTCCACGTCCAAAAAGCCCGCAAGCTTCTGCAGATCCATCGTCGTGTAGAGCTTGAGGTAAGACTTGACGGTGGGGTTGTATAGGGTGTTGCGGACCTCGTCCATGAAGATGGCCGTTTGGTGGTCAACGGGGTCGACGTTCATGGCTGGGTTTTCGAAGTCTGGCGGGGTTGGGCTGATGAATTTGGGGCAGGCTGAGCGGAAAAGCTCTTCGAAGAGCGGGAGGGCTTCGGGTCCGCCGTGCTGGAGGCGGTTGAATTGCTCGCCATATTTCTCGCGAAGAGCGGAGTGGATGGTGTCGTCGAGACGGGTGGGGTGGAATGCGACGCAGATGGCAATTAGGGCGTACATCTGGTCGTTCTTCTTGGCGATGGCATCGTAGCTGTTGCTGCCCTTCTGGAAGTTCTTGGTGCGGGATACATAGACGAGGATGTGACTGAACATGCGAATGGCGTCGGCGTAGCGGCGCATCATCATGTAGGAGAAGCCTACGTAGTAGTACGTCGTGAAGTGGGCGGCCATAACGCGGGCAAACATGGCCTTTTTGTTCATCTCGATATCATCGAGAGTTTTGAGGGCGAGACTAAAGTCGCCAAGCAAGCAGTGGACGCGGAGTAGACCGATGATAGAAAAATACCCCAGCATTCGGTAGAGAGGCCGGTTTCCGTATTCTCCTGCAACGGCTGCGGGGTCTTCGTTGCGCTTGATTGCTGCAAGCTGTTCGTTGATTTGGGACCTTTGGATCAGCGAATATAGGACATTGAGGACTGAATAGCAGCCCCATGTGTTCGGGTTCTCCTTCAAAAGCTGTGCCTCTTCCTCATTTGACCCAGTGCGAGCGACGCGGTTACGGTACCGGCAAAACGACTCGAATTGATATATAAATTCGTCAATCACATCCCATGCCCAGAAATACTACCCCCATCACACCGGCCACATTAGCTTCATAAAACCAAGGGATTAAGGGGAATTTATCATAAAAACTGCACAAAATGCCACACCGTGGACTCAAAATCCGCCTGCCTCAGAAAGAAAAGAACTAATAAATCAAAGATTTAAAACTTACAGTAGGAACATCCAAATCAACCGGCCCATCCGAATTCAATATGTAATGAAACAAGCTACAGTAATTATCGTAGCTCGCAAACTTCGTCTCCAGTGTTGCCTGGAACTCCAGTGGTGTGGCCGCAGCTACTAACTGTGCCTGTATATCCTGTGTCTGCGATCCAGCACCCAGCGAAGTCGTCCGGTCCAGCTCACTCATACCATCATCGAAATGCACCTGTTCGCGGTAGTCATTAACCAGAGCTTCCTCTTCGACATCGGATTCATCGTGTAGGTTGGCGTGCCGCCCGCTTGTGCGGTTGCTGTCGAAAGCCATGGCTTGGTGCGAGCCAGGCAACGGAGTGGGGAATTGGGAGTGGAATTGGGAGTGTAGACTGGTGAGATAGCTGGTTGGCAATTGAAAGTGATTGCCGTGTTAGGTGTTTGGGGGATAAAGGGGTTTTTCGCTGATTCTGTTGGTCGTTGGACATTGAGTTAGGCGAATTTCGAGGTTTCCTGGATTTTTTTCTGTTTGGTAGTTTTTGTGCAGATATAGATGTTGGTCACGTGAACGCCACGAACAGGCTCGTGGTCGATGTCTGCTTTCTTTAGTCTACGAATGGAGAGGATAGTCTTTCAAGTACAGATTGCATCTAATGGTATACTTCTCATTTGATGCTAGTTGCTGTTAGCCTTTTCAAACCATCGATAATACAGCATAACCTAACTTTGTGCATTTCGATCTTTCGTAAGTCCCCACAAGCAAGAGCAAAAGACCACGGAGATATCGCGCACAGGCATATCCTTGATGGTAGAACAGGACGAGATAAAATGCTAGTACCGCAGTTCGTCCGAATCAATCGATAAGAGAAAGATATATTGAAGTATTGAAGCAACCGAAAGAGGGATGGTGGGATATAAGGGGTATCTATGGAGAGCTTAAACAAATATGAATTCATGAACGACCTTCAATAAACATGCTCGCCGCGAACTGTGGGGAAATGTGCGGGGTATGTTCAATGCACTGTAGGCGTCAAACGTAAATAATGAAGAAATTATCATAAACCCCAGGCCTGGGGGTTCGTTCCACGAGCTGAAAGATACGCTTGTCTGTTGACCTTTCATAGTATCGATGAAAACAACTTCCAAACCACTTCGTTCCACTAGTCATAAGATTAATGATGTGGCTGTTAGATAAGAAGCAAATCTGCAACTAAACTGCAATGCTGGAGTTGGCCCAGCTTAGGTTGCCACCGAGAGAGGTAGTGCTCGTCAGTTCATCTTCTTCGTCGGAGTCATTTGCCCCATCCATGTTAAGCATCTGAAAGCGATTGGCCATTGGAGTCGCCTTCTTCACTGGAGGAGACGGTACAACCTTCTTTGGAACATACTGCACCTTCGGCAATGGGCGAGCGCACTCATCTGGATAGTATTCAATTTTCATGCCCTTGTACGCCAAACGAGACATCATGCAAGTTCGAGCAAACAAAGCATTATGTACTGAGTTTGTCGAGATGTACGCATTCCCCTTATCGAAAGTGGTATCGATCACCACAAGGTTATGGATATGCTCCAAGTCATCACGAATCCTGGATTCTGTCAGGTTTGGGTGCACCGAGCGGATTACCAGATTACGTGAGGCTCCATTCGCCAGCTTAGTAGCAACAAGGCCAGCAAGGAAAAACTGGCGATCACTCCAAGTGACCTCAATCTATTCGTTAAGCAGTCAGTACACATACAGAGAGGATATCGTGATGTGTCAACGGGTCTCACCAGCTTATCAAGGATAAAAAGGTCTTGTCGTTTAGTAAACGCCAAAAATTCTTGAGCAGCTCTGCCCTCAGCAAATGAGACGCTTGCCTGACGCTCTCTTGGTCGTAGGAAAACGTCTACCAGCGCGCCACCTCGAATCACAGAAACAACATCACGGTGAGTCGCCCGTTCAGGAAGGCCTTTTAGAAGTAGGGTACGGTTTTCTGTTGACGGCTGCTGCCGGTCTTGCCTAGGCTGCGTATTGCCAACAAATAACCCATCATCCTTTTCATCGCTCGGGAATGATGTGACGTCGTTCTCCAGACTCGATTGACGGCCGTTGCTGTTAAAAGCCCGTTGGATCCTGCCCGCACCATTCTGAGGCCAACCGCTGTTGGTTGCTGTATTTTTGCTACTCGGATCATTCGAGATCTGGTGTAGAGGATGGCGAGGGAAATTTCTAATGTCCACTGCAGCTTTGCTGTCTAGGGTACATTCGAGTGACTCTCCTTGCTCCTCCAAGTTTCCGGGGCCGCTTATCAAAGTCTAATAACTCAGTAAGCGGTATGACCTTGCGCGGTTGCACTCGAGTTCTCTCACTTCAAGAGCTTCTTCGGTTACACCCCCGTCGTACAGGGCCTGCTTCAAATTATCTACCATATTTAACTTGTTAGGTATGGCGCTATATGGGGAATGCGTAGAGAGTATAAAAACTGAAGGTTCGAGAAGCCAGGAATGTACGGTACCATATTCACGGGATCTACGAAGCTTCAACAACGGGTTAGCAATTATATAATCACACAAGGTTAACTCACAAAGAAACAAACTCACAAGAAGCTCGTGCTCTGATTTCGAGATGGTAACAGTCACAACGTTCAAAGAAGCATCAAAATCGGCGGACGAGCCATGCTATAGTTCCACAAAGCACGGGGCTCCTGTTAGAGCCTCAAATGGCACTGAACGAACTGTGACAAGCTGTGAATATGGGATACACACCAACTCCGCCCTGGAATCCATCAAGAGTCTCCATTAGCGCTCAATAAGGGGGGTCGAGTTATAAAAAAACAGCATTTCAACGAAGCCAGTGATGAACTCTGGAAGCCTGACCATATAATTGAGGGCCAATTGGGTAGCATTTAAGGGGACATCAGGGGAATATATCGGTCAAAATCGTACCTGCGAAGGAGCGTGTCCAGATGTGATTTTTTGATGGTAACATGAGGGTCCATCTTTCCCGGTGACGAATGGAGCATCTAAATAGGTTGCACAGTGGCGGGGATGGTCAGCAACGAAGGCCAAATTATAGGACAGGTCTCAAAAGTTTAAGCCATTCAGGCCGGCATTCAAATGAAAGGGCGTAACTTGAAGGAGCAGCAGCATCACAGGATGCTGGTTGGGGTTTGGTGCGGTGGTTAAACGTCCAATACAGCAGGAGCTTGTGGAGAGAACAGAGACAACAAAGAAATATCGGGATGATGGCTGCAAGGCGCACTTACACTTCTCACAAGAGCACAAATATCTGCTCTTGTTGGTGGGGCGGGGATATCCGATATCCAGGGACAAGGAGTGAGAAGAGAAAAGGTGAAAGACGAGGGAGTGGATGTAAATATTTAAGCATCCAGCGATCACCCAAGCTGAGGCTGTCCACAACCCCCAAGCGCGTCCAGGGAAGCTATCAGTCAACGTACTTAGCCTTGCTTAGGACAACCACACCCGGCGCCAGATGGATCCAGATCAGCCTAGAGAAGCAGTCTGTGTGTAGAAACATATTACTCTGCTTGACGTTCATATATCTGGATCACTCATTGACTGTGCGGAGGTTTGGTGGCCCTCTCATAGCCTGATGGTGCAAACATAATGAATTGTTACGCTCCAAAACAATCTGTTTATGAAATAACTACATGTATGTATATAACTGGTCATGTTTAATGAATTTTAATATCTTCTGCGTGTATTGCTGAAAGTCTCTTAGGGAATATATGGCGCTGAGCGGATGTTTACTGGGAGCTTGCCCTCAGAGTGATCTTATCATTTGTTGGATCCTCCAAACGAATCAGCCGAATTGCATGCATGACTTCCCAGTCGTAGATGAAAAGGTCCAGAGTTTCGTTCGAGCAACGGTACGAGGTCTGGCATCATATCATTTCATAATGTCGGATCCCTGTGCTCGCCCGAAGTTCAACACTACTCTCTTATAAAGAACTAAAAGTCAAGTTTTCCCTTTTTCCAACATTCAAAATAAAAGATCCAAAAGCTAGACCCTCGCGAGATCTCTAATAGGAAAGCTAACATTCCTCTTCTATGGTGGCAGTCTCAAAACTTTCATTATGTGATGGCTCATAGTTGGCAATGCCAATCAGACAACCTTCAAAGTGCGGCATCTCCAGCCAATATTGCACCATTCGAAGCTGCAAACGAACATATTGTTGGGATGGCCCTGTACCCACAGTGTTATGAAGATACCGTTTACCAAGGCGATTCGTAAAGCACAATAACCTAGCCCATCCAGTACCAGAGGACAAATGGCGAGATCTCAGAATAACTTAGCGATTAGCGCCCGCACCTAACAACCATCATCAAAGCTGGATACAATTCTAACTACCTCCAACTGCTGTGGATGACGTTATGGGTTGCTAGAGGCTCGATAGTAGCTACTCATATCAAAAACGAAGCCCATTCAAACCAAGGACTTCCGGGAAAACTGGCTTCGAACCACAGATTGTATCCGGGATAGTGCTGAGCTCATTTTAAGCTGTGGTCCAGAGAACTCGCGGTCCATGCGTCAGATGCTGAAAGGCTCTCAGCCCAGGTTGACTGAAGTTAACTTGGATATAGAGCGAACTCCACTGTTGAGCATCGTAAAGTACTGCCACCAGAATTCCGCGATGTCTTGCAGAGAAACACTAACTGACTTCTCCTTTAAGTGAGCGCGGCTAGGTTGTTCTAGACTATTTTATATACCCACAATCTACGCAGAGTTATGAATCAGGAAATTTTATCTGAGATTTTTTGCCCGCCGTATGACTGACGATCTACTTTTTCCAACTTGGGTGGCTGAATGTGATTCACCACGATTGTCTCAATCATTTGCCTCTTCAACATGCCCTGTGGGATCTATAGGGGACTGGAAGACAGCCTATAACCCTACCGCGGGATGTTATTTGCTTATTTATATTGAGTCTCAAGAATAACCAGGTTACGAGCTCCAGTGTGTGTATAGAGATTTGCGCAGAATTTGAATATGTTCTGGATTATTCGGAATATGGAGGCATGGAACAAAAACCCTTGCACCATCTGGAAACGGAAAATGAAACCTTCAACACTGAGATCTTACCCTCATGGCAGAAGTTATGAGGGATGGAAACCTCACATAAAAGCTGAGTTAAGCATCAAGCCGCTAAAACACATCCATATAGGCCAGAGAAGCTCGCATATCTGAGCTGCATGCGCATGCGCTTGATGCTGGCCTGGCTGCTAACTTGCTTGACAAAAGCAGAATTGCTCGAAGGTTTTCTGCTGGGTCCTTGTTTGGAACACGAAATGCTGTCGCAAAGTCGACACGGACATAGCAACCATTCATAGGTTCGGAGGTTACGCTCGCTGAGTCCTTTGCACAACTCATTTTTGCACAATGGAACCTCACCCTCCTTGCTGCAGCAGGTTGATAGGAAAAATTCCAAAGCGGCTCTTCCTCTGAACAACTTATTCAACATAGTGGCAATTTCTGCATCTTCAGAGCATTACTAGGAGAACACCGCAAATCTGGACAGTCATACGTCCACATTTTGCATCAGCTGATACCGTCAAAATCATCTTGCCGAACACTTGAAATTGTGATGTCCTGGATGATTTCTACATCTTTGAAAAAAAAAAAAAAAACATGACCCATACAAGAGTCTTTCTCCCTCAAACAATCAGATGGAAAGGAGATGGAAAGAAAAAGCGCAAGAAGGATATAGATGAGAAAATGGATATTTCATACAGTTTAGAAAATTAAAGTTTTAACTAGTTCTGCACATGAGAGATTCAAACCCAGAACCATCCATAATAAAAGTTTCACCTGCCGAAAAGGCTTGAAGTTTACAGTAACAAGAAAAGGAGACAAGAACCATAGTAGAAAATCCCCAGCAAAGCGCCTGTATGTGTCATAAGTTCGTAGCATGAAACAAAAAGGAAAATATAGAAGGTATGTCAGATCTAGGTGCGGACCGGATCGAAAATGCATATATCTGACGATCAACGTCCCAACCCCTCCTTCGGCCATTCCATTTTTCATATTGTTGTTCATCCCCTTCTCCTTCCGTCTGCCAGCTTTATGTTTTCACTATCAAAGAACGACTCATCGGATCGTAATCGCTGCTGGTTTTTCTTCTTCTTCGAAGTTCCCCACGTCAAAATAATAATATACGCCACACTTATGACTCCTGCAAGGATTGCGTAGACAATAACGCCGGCCTTAGGCACCGTTTCTTCTCCAATGCCACTAAATTTAAATCCCAAACCGCCATTTATGATACCCAGCACGAGCATGCTCCGGCCTACCCAGCGATGTACCAGCCCCATAGCGCTAGGCCCGCGGGTGCGCACGTAGTTGAGATGGTGCCAGTATCCTAGGAGTGGTTGGAAAAGCAATAGCCAGCCAATAACCACATACCCGATTATGGGGTGGTACATGGTTGCCCTCTTCAAGTCAAGGCTCAAGGAGACACCGACACCAAACCCGGTGACGGCGGCACAGAGCGTGAGGATCTGGAGGGGTGCGTGGATGCGTGTGGCTGTCTTTGAGTAGGGGATCAAGAATAGGGTCAGGGCGAAAGTTGGGAAGAGAATGACGAAGACGACGGACATGATGATACCATGTGTCACACGTTTGATGTCTATGGTCCTTTGGGAGATGCCGGGCGTTGAACCGCTTGAGCCATCCCCGCGATCAGCGTCCACTGTCAAGTCGAAAGTGAACGTGCCCTGGTTGTCGTGGAAGGGAATTGACGCTTCGACATCGGCGGAGTTGAGAGGGTTGCCGCGCTTCACGGCCCAGATCCAGGGGCTCTTTGTATCCGTAGGATTCATGGAGCCGCCATCCCAGCTCATACAGCTTTCGCAGAGCACTTTTGCGATAATTTTTCCGTTAGAAATTCCCGAGCCGTCCAGGAGGCGGACTTGGGCAGAGGGGTTGTAATCGGGGAGCATATGGCCGCGCCCTAGGCGCGGGGAGATAGTTATGTTCTTCTTGTCCGATGAGATGTAGGCAACGAAGATATTGGCACCTGCCATTCCCGTTCCCTGTCCCAAGGAGAACCATTCAGTTGTATCACTGGGAGCTTCCATTTGGAAATATATGGGGCCTTGACCCCTGGAAGCTGTGGAAGGTGGGACGTTGACGCTGTACGAGATGCCCTTTTCATCTCCAGGGCGGAATTGCGCTGTCTGGACGAACGCCATTGACGCTGTGGGAGGAATTGTTAAAACGGCCAATCTTTTCTTTTCTGTTCCTTTTATGACTTACATCAATGGGAAGTAAAAGGACGCTTACCATTGACCAGCATCGCTGCTGTGACAACTGTAGAGAACAGCCTCATGGTGAGAGTGTATATGAAGACAAATCTACACCCTATTGATTGAAGTGAACAGTTTCAAGGCATTGGTTTGTGTTGCAAGATGGTCCTTGAAGTAAAATTTGAACAGGTGTGTGAATTGTAGTCAATAGTTGCTTCTCATTGAGCATTGCAAACTGACAGCCTGATGAGTTGCATCGAAAGGGGTAGTGAGTGAGCACCTATAGGTAAGCAGCAACACGATCCCGCAAGAACGCAAACAAAATTATCACACACTCCAAACTTCACCAGATATGAAATCAAAAAGTTCCTGCGGCGCAAGCCAGGGTTCATATATTTGCTTCAATTTTGAAATTAATTTACTTCTCCCGTGCGACTAACCATCCCTGCGAAGCCTCCTAGTGCGCCAAAAAGGTAACGCAGCAGAGATTCGAAAATCCCCACATCAACGGGACAGACCTGGCACAGCATAATCCAGCATTTACTGCATTGATTCAAGCGACTGTACGCTGTACTGGCCCAGCCAATCGCACGGGGACCAAAGATACTCGCAGCCACGCTGAAACCAGTTGGCTATGTGGAATCTTGCAGGGAGACTGGAAGCAAAACATGGGAGGAATGTGGGGATCAGCGATGCTGGCCGGTTTTGGGGAGCGTTTTCACGTTTCATCAGTAGCTCCTACAAGGACGTTATTTCTACTTCTGACTGTATTCGCAGGGGGTGTAAACCCGTTCCTCTTGGTAGGGTTGCTTGGGAAAGTTGCAAGCTGATTTCCCTTGCTCGGTTGCTGTCGACGAACATCAGGGCTAGGTTGATCCTCTCCAGGGCGGTCCATTGGCTTGTTCTAGACAAGCCGCTGGAGCTAATTCACCACCTTATTTCTTTGGCTGTGGGAATTTTATCAATACATTACAGCGTATTGGGTGAAGTGAACTTGGCCAAGAGTTCGCCGAGGGAAAATAAAGTGCACCAAGCGGATGAAAATGTCTCCGGAATTTCTGTTGTTGTGTCAGGCCCTGGAAGGCTGGAAGACGCAAACGATCTTGCTCTTGTCTTGGACCCAGCCTGAAACTATCCATGATATTTCTCGAAATCCCTGCAGGGCACTGTGAAACAAGACACGCAACAGCAGCCGTGGCGCAGATATGTCCGTGACACAATTGGGATCGTTGTGGCTGATTCTATGGATGCCATCGACCCGTCATCGATCTCCATCCATGAAATCTGGCGACGATATAGGGTGCAATTAAGCAATTCTCGCCCTGCCTTGTCCTTGGCCAACTTCCACAGCCACGATGATGACGACCATCACGTCAGTTTGCAGTCCAGGAGGTACGGCCGAAAACCCCGTCAATTACACTGCATAACCAGAATACCTGCATTGTCATCCAATTGGGAAAAACATGCCGCATTTTTATTCTTGCAACATTGCGAACCGTGATCTGGGGTTACTTGTCGCAGATCTGTCCTGCCCTGCACTCCTGAAAGATGCGGATGGTTCACGTTGAAGTTCTCGATCACACCGAAACTGTGTCAAATTTCCCCTTTCTTTTGCAAACCAGCAAGTCCTGCAGGCTACTAATCAGGACAGAAAACGTTCAATAACCACACGTACCCTCTTTCTAATTGAGCGTCTGTGACCGATTTCGACGTGCTGTACAAGTCATCACGTTCATATGCTCTTATTTCACAGAATCCAATCACCGCTACTATGCTTGCTGATCAAATCGTGGTCATGGCAAAAGATCCGCTTCACCGAGTGGACGCGGGTCCTTGCCGATATCTAGACAGCCCTCCGGTCATGCATGACGACGCAGGGATCTGGAACCTGTGGGCAAGGAAAGAATTTCTCCTTGGCCAGTGCACGCGCATCCGAAATATCCTTCCGGGATACCACCCTGTCCTGGGAAAATTGGGAAAGGCGATAATGCCTATCGATGCGAATTCATACGTATGATTTCTAAGTTCTTCAGCCTGCCATTCTCGGAAATCCTCCGGCGAACTCAAATTGCGCATGGACACTCAACTGTCGGCCGTGACATACAATACCTGTCTTGCGACCCTGCGTGGATTCTGACAGCCTCAATTTCCCATAATGTGATGTTCCGGGACAGTCTTGCGCGTTTTGTTTTCAAAAGGAATGGTGGAATGTGGGGAAACCTGGCCGATTCCATAGCTTTCCCCACTCATTCCAGTGTCTCAGTTGCATATCGATTGTGCTCTACATCATAATTAAGTGCATTATCTCTCAAACACTCCATGCATCAATCAGATCGGGAGAATATGGCGAGCACAGTGACCTGCTACCCCGTATTTACTTCAACTCAAAAAGTGATTGATCGGTGGGAAAACAACGCGGGTGGAACCATGCTACAAACCCCCTGCCACTCACCCCCTCTCCCTCCCTAGCCAGTGTTAATTTTTTCGTGCTCTTTTATATTTCAGATGCCACGACCATTCCTAACCAAGTGGCATCTGTTGAAATCACATTGCCGCAGCTCAATTACAAGCAGAGCAGGGTGGGTGTGAGTATCTCACTTACAAAACAGAGAAAAAATTTCTCAAAACAGGGGTGGTAAAGAAGGTTGAAATATGGAGGGGCCATTTCGGATATATCCCATTTGGCTCCCCTTATTCAAATTTTGCAGATATTCTAGTGGGATAAGCTGGTAAGGTTTTAAAATACAAATTGTAGAGCTAATATTTTCGACCAGATACGCGAATAAAGTGGATCAGGTCAGGAGCTCCTCAACTCCAAGCATAGAATTCATTGTGACAAATCTCAATTTGTTTGGTCTTCTCCTCATCCCCTCCCTGCCACCTCACTGAAGGGACATTGCTATTTACTCGTTCTTCATTCGTCACGCCCACTCCAAAGTGTTCCTGGACCATGTGAATAGCACGGTTCAGCTCGGGCGTTGGACTCCATATGACGGTCTTATGCAACTTCCACTTCTGAGTCTCGTCCAAAGCTGCCAACAAAAGGCTGGCTAAAGCTAGGGTTGTCTCCTTCTGGCTCTCCTTATCCTCGGCCTCCGCCGCCTTGGTCGGTGTAACGACCCTTTGGATAGTCAACTCGCGATCTGGAAAGTCGTGATGCCAGAACACCCACGTCTTAGCATCTTCGCAGATGGCGCCTTTGATCATGGGGACTTCGCCATTGGTCTTACTACTGATGAATGCAGCTCGCTCTTGTAGCCAGCTGACAAGGTTTGCAGAAGGAAGGACGGCCATGAGGATTTCAGCCGCAGCGGGTTTATAACTAGAAAACTCAACTTTCATGGCGCCAATATCTCGAGCACATAGTGCTGGGATGTCATCCAGCACCAAAGGTTTCGTTTGTGGGAGCTCCGATCTATTCAGCGATGCCGGAGACTGACTCGCAGACAAAACCGATTGGAATGCAGGGAGCATTCTCCACCCTTTGTTGGTGTAATACTATTTAGAAACGTCAGAAAAGTAACTGTAACATCCCTTTCTCTTTTTCCATACCTTCCCAATACTTGAGTACAACATACTCGCATCAGCCTCTCCAGGTCCATCCATCCACTGCGCAACAGCCCTCAAGAGGAATTCGGCAAGCCCCAGTCGACGATATCGTTTATCAGTAGCGACTGCCCCAATGCAATAGCCTTGTCTGTCTCTGGTTACTCCATCAGCAGTCCGGGTGAGCAAATCCCGATTCAAAATTTTGCAAGTCGCAACAACATGCCCCCAGTCTTCTGTTCGAAGACACCACCATCGCACTCCAGCACCGCCTGTGCGCGTGAGCGGCAGCCCTGTGAGGTACTTCTCCCTCTCTATATAGTCCGCTTCCGGCAGAGGCCAGCCGAAACTCGATCCTACGACCTTGAAGCATTTGACTTGTTGCTCTTGTGTTGTCGCTTCGCTGAAAACTAACACTTGAGATCCTTCCGGGCCATCGATGGTGGTGGCCGAGGGCGCATTGATCTTTTGTGACTTGTCCATCCTTTTAAGAACTTGAAATGGAATCCTATCCGGAAAAGAAAAGTAATATGCGTTCCCTGGGAGTAGATTACCAGCAGAAATTAATATATGAATTTGATAATTTGAAAATGGGTTTGATCTTCGTGATTGGGACAGAATCGCCAGAGTCAATGAATCGGCTCACTCATCACCCTGGAACAAGTAAGCTATCATGAATGGAAGTACACGAAAATGCATCAAACATCAGGTTGAAGTTGTGTCGATGTGCAGGCCTTTTTCCGCGCTCATGAGTCATTTCCTCCCACTTAAGCGGGGGAGAAATGAGAAGTCCACAATGGGGAGCCAACACAAGATGCAATTGGCCATCATGTATTGGCAGTTTGTTACTAACTCGGGCCCAGGGGTGGATCGTATTCTTAGCGTCCAGCGAAGGTGCCAATATCACTTTCGTCTGGGTTCTGAGATTGAAATTTCTTCCCCAATATGGTGGTATGGGATGCCTGTGTCATATCTGGTCACAGTGAGAGTCGCCGTTGGTTTCTTTGACTACCAATCCAAGGAATTTATACAGACACTCCAATTGTTGATAATCACACCCTCCACAGACTCCTCTACAGCGTGTCCTTCCACAGTTAGCAGTTAGATACACTCTTCTTCACAAACAAGCTTACTACATTGATAGAGCAGCAGAGTTCTCAAACACGGGCACAACTTAATCAAATCAATGACAAGCTGTCTCCTATCTGGCAATGCCATGGCTGTTCTGACAAGATATACGAATCTCCCTAGGATTGCTTCTTACATTTTTCGATTTGCATTTACCTTGCACGTTCCTGGGTATAGAGTCAGGAGAAAGGTACGACTCAACCGGAAAATGTTAGCCGGCATGGCAATTTACGTTGTTGCCTCGAGCCTTTGAACACAGGGGACTATGCCGTGTGTTCTCTTCGATGTGACCAAGGGCTTGCAAAGCTCTGTGCATATCCTGCTAGCGGCAGTTGCGGTTTCCTGTGTGCATCTATTTTCCAGAAGGTACTAGAGGATATATGGTTCAATGCAAATGAGAAAGAGAGGATTGCGGGGTTACGCTAATGAATCGCAAAACGGAGAAGCATCGAGCGAATTTGTTAGATGTATAGGACCATCTGAAAGCTAACCGCTGGTCCCAAGAGCATCTGCGGTCCTGTATCCAACAAGGCCCGTGTGACTTCATACGTATTGATGTTCATATGGCTAATGACGTGAACAGCCTATGAGCTCTAAACCCGTTCTGTTATGAGCGCATCTGTGCGTTGCTTGTTCGCCGCCCCTTTCCCCCAGTGGTATGCTGGCCGAGTTGGAAGATGCTTGTTCCTCCTGCAGCCAGGATTTCATTCAAGGGTGTGCTGTTCTCCCTTCCACTGATAACTCACAGTCGAAAAGACGCTTGCAAACCAACAGTACAACCGTGACACTTTTTACTTGTAACCCCAGGGACTTTTACCTCCGTGAGCAAGAATGCTCGCGTGCATGCTACCCTTGGGCGAGTTGACGTTTTGTGGGGTCCGGAACGTGCTGAATTCTGGGCAACACAAGAACCCCACAATCCAGCGCTTAGTTCGCTGGGATTTTCCTGGTGAATGCTGTTTGAACGTTAAGTCATGTTTCCAAGTGAGTCGCTTCGACGCTGGCAGTTGTGGGATTTCCGGCTTTCCTGTGGGAGAGACGCGAGATGGATACTAGTATTTGGTTGAGCCCTTTCAAACAGCTTGAGATATGAACTAAGTTATTAATAGTGGAATAGCAGCCAGATATATCTTTGCATCCCAGCGGCTCACCAATCCCGTTGGAAGAGAGTTACTCAGGATTTCTTCTCAAACTATAAGTTACAGGGTGTGCAGAATTGAAATTGGAGGTACGAATCCGAAATAGGTCCAAATTCATTGGGTTATTGGGAACTATGTATTTCATACAATCAATTGGGAGATATAAGAATTCCTCAAAACTGTAAATTATTCGGATAAATAACTATTCCTGCACCTCCGATTGAAAACCAACCTTTGTCCCATCTTCCAACAAGAATCTCAACTGCATTATTCTTCCTTTCTTCTCCATGGCCTTTTAACACCATGCGGCTCCTTACTTGCGTACCGAACGGATATCCCAACTTTGCAATCAGCCGGACCTGTGTGTATCGCTCTCTATATACTAAGCAGGCTGAATTCATCATCCTTGATCATAAAAGGGCCCTTGATGACCTAGAATGTCAATGCTGATTTGGGGCATGCACTCATATGAGGCTTTCACACTGCTTCCGAAAGAGATTAGTTATGCTTTCTGAGCAGGCATCCTCTCAAACCGCGGATTTATTTCTGTCAATTCATTGGCAGAAGACTCGGATCAGTGTTCCCTAACTTTCTATCATGATTCTCATTGCTTTGCACATGGGAAGCTATGTAGACATTTCTGTGTTTCCTGCGGGAAAAAGACATAGTTGGAGCAGAGCTAGTTTCGGGAACTGCTCACTCGGTTTCCATTCTTCTTGCCTAATTGGATAGTTAAATACTCCTCTTCCGAATTCTTTGTTGTGAGAAAAGAAATTCAGCACAACTTCAGTATGTCCTCAATACTCTCAGTATCATCTCGGATTGTTGAACATGCTCCGCAAACCCTTCATCTTGTTGCATTTGGCACCGGCGATAGAACACATTGGGCGCTATTTGCCCCCAATAGAACGACCGACCATAGGAAAACACTTCTGTAGAAGTGGCTAGTGGGTACTTGACGAGGAGAATGGATGGGTGGTTTGAGGGTGGGAAGGTTGGAGGTGAAGATATTGAGCTTTCACACTAATCTGGAGCAGAAACATCTGAGTCTCCACATAACTACTCCATTAATGTATAGTGAGTGGTCTGTGCAGATGCTACACTGGAAGCGCTAAGAAAGTTTCTCAAAAATTATATATAAAAAAAGGACCCAACTTGATGTAAACCCCGAAAGCGTGGAACTGTATGTCAAGATGACGATATTGGATCCCTTAAAAAGAATCGTATAAGTATTGATATAAAAATGATAGCCTGCCCGAAAACCTATCATTCTGCACCTCGCCTGGTGAAGACATGGGAGCAAATGGATAAAAGGTTTACCGAATTTCCCCTTTATTTCATTTTTTCATCGTAAATGAGAAAAAATAAAAATAAGAATGATAATAATAAAAAGTTCCCGGAATCATGAAGAACTCGTTGGCTTCTCATATGGTGATGTCATGATGTCGTCTCACTCATTTTAGGAGGAACTCGTAGTGGTTTTAATGGTCGTTTTATCCAAAATAGTTTTCATCATTTCATTACCCAGTCTGACGGCTTCTGGGAAACGAGGAGAGAAGTATGATTGTATCTTTTCGAAACGATCGCGGTATGACGCGAAGTCACCAAAGGAGACGCATTCGGACCAAGCCTATTGAGTACCATCCGGCACACATTCAAGTTAGACACAGGAGAAAAATAACATATGTGAAGGATGGCGAGTGGTAGGAGTCTGGGGTGTTCCAGTGGGATCAAACAGGGAGCAGGCGTGGCAATATTTGATATATTCAGAATAAGAGTCTAAACCGGAGCAACAGACGCGGGTTTCCAAGGAAGTGGAATATAAGAAATGAGGAGACATTCTGTCTCAAGTCCGACAAAAATGAATCTGAGAGTATTGCATGACGTGTAGAAGCGGGAGAAAAACGCATTCGACGTATATACTATAAATGAACTCACCCGTGCAGCAAATGTGAACTCTAGGTCATCAGAGCGGAACGTATTGTCGTCAATGGCGATATCCAGGACCTCATTGAGGAGGTCTTCGTTCCTGAAGAGATATTCCGTTACTCCCAGCCATAGACGGAAGAGCTGTGAAGGGGACAAACACTGCTGTCAGCTCTCCTTTTCAACAACGAAATCATGTGCTTGAAGTTACTGACAGGCGTCGAGCAAATCATATGATCGTATGGAACAATTCCTAACTTCCACCAACAATCCACAATGGCCAGCAGACTTAAATGGTTGTTAGGCATCCTCTCCGAATTCCCCTTGGACAGGGAAAATCGATCAAGTACATCATCTCTTAATAACAGATCATGCTGCATGGTATCAGACTTGAACACCGCCGCCCCGGCCGTCTTCACTCGAGCTCTCAATTCCTCCCGATGCCCGCCCATCATCAGCTTGAACAGGTCTGTCACTGACTGCGCATACTGGCGGATCTGCTTCTTTGCTGCTGGGTTTAATATGGCCAGTCCCGCATAGACGTGCCACTTGTTTGCATATATTCGCAGTGTTATATTAATTTTAACGTTCTCGATACCACCCACGTAACGGGCTACTTCCCAGGGGAACTGGTTATTTGCATGCCATGCTGTACCCATGCTAAGAAAGGCGGCGTGCGTTACCGCCTGGGTATCTGCTGTGATTCTGTCGTGTAGTTCGCCGCTGAGATAAACATATTTGGATTGGAAGGTCGAGAAGATCTTCTCGACGAATCTTAAGCTCTCATCTGACGCTCTATGTTGGATCAGGACCTGGAATGACAGGTGTTATTCATGCCGTTGTGCTCATGATTATCTGGATATAGTGGGTTGAATACCAGAGGGTGGCCTTTGGGGTTGACGTTGGGGCCATGAAGGGAATGGCATGAGATGATTTCTACGTCGTCGGGCAGGTATTTGTCAAAAGCAGCAAGCTCAGGGGCCTTGCAAGATGTCTGGCCGCCCACGATTGCGCCGACCTTGGTTGCTTCAATTCAATGGCATGTCAGACTAGGCTGATCGACCCGCATAGAGTATGAAAGAAAGAGAACACGAGATTGGAAAATACGATTCAAAGCTCAGACAGTAGACATACATGGTCCGTACTCCGCGACAATTTTGTCAATGGCTTCCGCCTCTACGCTGTAGATAATGTAGTCGCTAATTCTGGAGACTAAATGCCCATTCGGGAGTATATTGATATTTTGCTTTAGAAGTCCTTAAAATAAGCCCTATTGTTGATGGCGATGTATAGTAATCCACATACATCAGACGCGAATTCCTGTTTTAATGCATCATAGTTTGTAGGCCTATCACATGCATTGATTCTACATCTCTTGTGTCAGCCGTGGTACTATCAACATGGATGGGTGATGGAAATTTATAGTTCGCAGATGAGGGCTGTGATAACTGAACGTTAGCACACTGTAGCAACCAATTATCGTAATTAGGAAACAATTTTGTTGATATAGAAATGTACTTTCAGACAAAGAAAAAGTAAGGTAGCGAGGAATTTACATCATTGACAGCCTGGTAGCCGCTGCACACGCCAGAATGGCGGACGTGACTCCCAGGCCATACTCGAGCCAAATGCACTCAAGTCATCATATAAAAAGGAGATAACCGGGAGGAAACAAAAAAGAGCTTACCATATTAAACTGCATATGCAAACACTGTTCAAAGAGAGAGCAAGTTTCGAAAATGACGGTCCGGATATTTACCTCCAACCAGCCTGGCTTAAACGCTGAGCATACATCTTCCCCATGTCACCCATGCCAATGATCCCAATGGATCTTCTGTCCGCTGTAGTCGCCATCATTGGGGAATTTGAAGTAGGATAATTTCTTCTGTTGTGAGTTCGCAACTGAGATATAATCCGTACTTGAACATAAGAATAAGATACAAGATTTTCCCGTTGGGTATGTGCACTCAATTGGAAGTGAGCGAACGAATGTCCTGTGTATAACCGCCCGTCTGTACAACAATCCAACAGAGCAGAGACAGACTGGCGGATTTGTTACTTGTCTCTCTGTCAGAGGTGCTGCGAAGGAAGAGGTTGACGGGGAAAATTTCGGTTCTGCAGAACAATTTAAAGCTTGCAGGATGTTGGCGCTAGTCCCACTAGGCTGAGTCATCCATAGCCAGTTTAGGATTAGGCAAAGCAAGCAAACCCTAAACCCTAAACCGCCCACTTCCCAATTCTGGACTTAGGGCACACTCTCCTGATTCCGTATTTGGAATACTCAACTGCGGCGGATTTCTTATCTTCTTTTTCCCTCTTCACCATCCACCACATCCGCCAATATATCACGTCCAAAATGCCTCCCAAGAAGAAGGTTGACCGACCCGCTAACGAGAACATCTCTCTCGGCCCGCTGGCCGGAGATGGTAGGTTCAATTTGCTCTCCACCATCTAGCACACGACTAACATGCGTACAGGAAAGCTCGTTTTCGGTGTCGCCCGTATCTTTGCCTCGTTTAACGATACCTTCGTCCATGTAACCGATCTCAGGTTCGTGTCGTTATCACCTTGAACTGGTGTTTTGTTATCTTTGAAAATTTTCTGGCAGGATGGACTTTCGTTGTGTTGCCCAGAGAGAAAATTTGGCACATACAATGATCAATTTTTGGATAGTGGGCTAATATTCTGAGTGATTCAGTGGTCGCGAAACCATCTGCCGTGTCACTGGTGGTATGAAGGTCAAGGCTGACCGTGACGAGTCCTCTCCCTACGCTGCTATGTTGGCTGCCCAAGACGTTGCTGCTCGCTGCAAGGAGTTGGGGATCAACGCCCTGCACATCAAGATCCGTGCGACTGGAGGTACGTTTTGAGCTCCTAGGTCATAAGAATATGACGGAACTGGCGGAAAGAAAGTGGAATTCTGACAACCGCGATTGCAAATAGGCAACGGAACCAAGACCCCCGGCCCCGGTGCCCAGTCCGCTCTCCGTGCCCTTGCCCGCTCTGGCATGCGCATTGGCAGAATCGAGGATGTTACCCCTACCCCCTCCGACTCCACTCGCCGGAAGGGTGGTCGCCGTGGTCGTCGTCTGTAGGCATCAGGGTGGTGGTCTCACCTACTATACTTTCTCCAGGCTGTGCACAGTTGCAAAAGTTGCGATTGCGTGTGGACCAAGGATGGATTGTGCGGGTATCTTCTGGGTATCTATTAGCATATGTGGATGGAATAAACGCGAAGAACGGCAGTATTCTCGCCTGGTCTTCTTTTCTTTGTGGATTTTGTTCATGTCACAGCATTTTCCCTTGGAGCTGGGCGTGACTGCTGCAGCCCTACTGCGGGTTGCTGACTACAGTTTTGCCAGCTTTTGAAATAGGGGTCTCTTGACAGTCTATTAATAAAATGGAGAGATTCTTATTTACTATTGACCTATTGACCTGCATCTGAGTACCATTTACCTGCGTCGTAGTTGTCCAGTTGTTGTCTGGGGTTGTAATTGGGAATTTGGTTGCGTATTTTTCGGAGCCAAAGTTTTCCCCTCCTGCACAATCCAATGATGTAACAAGCTTTAGTTGCTAAATACCATTGAACAACCACAGCAAGAACGAATAAATATTAGTATTGGGTGTTTTGATTACATACACATATTCTATAACTACTGGGAACCGTCAATTGTTTTAAATATACGCTTCGCATCGCTCACTAAATACTTGTGTAACCGCTCGCCAATCTCCGCTTCTCATAACAACCGAAATGCCTACCCTTTAGATCTATCCCGGCCTTCGATTATCTCTCAAGATGACCTCGCAAATCCCCACGCCAACCCTCCTCCTCAATTCCCTCCCTCCCAAAACCCTCATTGGCATCGACCTCCTCTCCTTCACCTCCACCCCTAATTTTCATGGTATAAAAAACCTCCCTCCCGGACCCCACTTTCTATTCATAGGCGCGACGGAGAGTTTTTCGCTACGGAATGGGGAGTGGTTTTTCATACCTCGACACCGTGCCGGAAATGGTAGGGGTAGTAGCCCGGCGGCGGGGGAAATAGATATACGTCTCCGCCAATGGGATGCGGGTGCTGAAGCACTTATCCCCATAGATGAAAGCAGTGAGGCGGGGAAGCGAGATGCTATGAAGCTGCGCGCGAATCTGGGACGAATATGGGCGAGCGGGGGTTTGTTGGCGTATGATCGAGCGATGGAAGAACAACGGCAACGAGCGCAAGATAATAATCATCCGCTTAATAGTGTGGGAGATTATCACCGGCAACAAAAACAAGAACTCGAATCAGAATTATCACAGGAATCACTAAATGACTGGCCGCAACTCACCGACCACATCACCCCCACCCTTCTGTCGCGCATTCTCGGCTCGACTCCCACTGCCACTCCTCCAACCACCACAGCCGTTGTTACTACAACCCATGGAGATATACTAACGTCACGGCCACTGCGCTGGACCGTGTCCTCCGGTAGTTCCGCTGTGCGAGATCGCGATGATATCCCGGGCCTCTCCACTGCAGAGGTAGCCAGGGCCTATGACACGGGCATAGCAAGCGAGCAGGAGAAAGAACTGCGTTTTTTGCCTGTGGATCTGAAGCGGACGTGGAGGACTGGTGCGGTGGGGCGGGAGAGGACGGAGGCGGCGCAGGATCGGTCGTGGGCGTTGGGAGATCTGGTGGGGAGATTTGGACAAGGGGTATCTGGTACAGATAATCTTACAGCTACGGCTGGGGTGGGGGAAATTGTTGGATCTACAACTGGTACCATCGACGGTGAAAGTCAGGAGGCTGGCGAAGCGCAGATCCTCGGCGAGCTACAATTTACGTTCCTGATGGTTCTTACGTTGATGAACTTCTCGTGCCTGGAGCAGTGGAAGCGGTTGCTAGGGTTGGTATTGACGTGTCGAGCAGCGGTGCTTGTGCGGGAGAAGTTCTTCGTGCAGGTTCTGCGTCTGCTGCGTCTGCAGCTGAGACACTTTGATGATGTTGAGGGGGGATTGTTTGATCTGGATGGTGATGATGGAGGTGCGTTGTTGAGGGAATTGCTTATGGGGTTCTCGCGGGCTGTGAAGGATATTGTAGAGGCGGAGGGACAACTGGTTAGGCAGGAATTGGAGAAGTTGGAGAATTGGGTTAAGGGGCGATATGGTTGGGAGCTTAGACCGGGAGCGACAGTTAAAAGGGGAATGTTGGAGTTGGAGGATGGGGAGCAGGTGGAAGTGGAGATTAGCGGGGCAAATGAAGAGGATGAGATGGGGGAGTATGCTCCGGTTATTGTTGATTTGGGAGAGGGAGATAGCCTTGAAAAAGGCTTGGTAGAGGAAGTGGAAGAGGACGAGGAGGCGGGTGAGTCCGTAGCATGATATTCATCCTCGGTAAGGACTAATCTTTGCACCTCCACGGCATAGATTGTAAAGTGTTCATATGCATGATCCGGTACTCTTTGAGTTTGATCCATTTTTGTCGAAATTGTACTTTTTCCATAATCACATCATATCACAATCACGTCAGGACATATTGGGAAAACAGACCATTAGTTTGAACAAAATAGAAGGAAATTGGATTGCAAAAAGGGTTTAAAGAAAAGGCAAAGGAAAAAAATGGCCCTATTCTATCGTTCCCCCTAGCAAGTTTGTTTTAACATAATCAAACGCTAGGTGCTATCGTTCGGCAAAAACCACCCAACCCAACCGATAGATGTAATGAAAAATTCCCTTATTTTCCATACTCCCCCACCCCATTTATCTTCTTCGTCCTCTTTCGCCCCCGCATAACAACACAACAACACACGCACAATATCGGTTTAACGGTAAGACTTTTGGTAACGAGCACGAGCACCAGGACCGCCGAACTTCTTAGGCTCAGCGCGTCTGTTATCAGCGACGAGGAGGGTTCTGTCGAACTGGACGAAAGCCTGTTTGAGCTGGTTCTTGGCATGCTCGTCGACGTATTTCTGGTAGTAGGCCACTATCGATTTGGCAATGGCTTGTCTGATGGCGTAGATCTGCGATGTGTGACCACCGCCGGTGACGCGGACGCGGATATCGACTGCGGCGAATTTGTCAAGGCCGACGATGAGGAGGGGTTCGTAGACCTATAGTTTTTTTCCCCAATGGCATTTTTGTTCAGTGGCCCATACAACAAATCTTCATGTCTTTCCCCGTCTCTTGATGGCTTCCTGTATGTCCGGCGAATGAGGGAGATGAGAGGGCGAATCAAACCTTGAATCTGAGGATTTCCGGCTGGGTGAGAGCTAAAGGTTGGCCGTTGACTTTGATGAGACCCTTTCCTGCCTATATATTTTCCCAATTGCACTCCGGTTAGTTATATGCCCTGTATTGATTCAAAGGTATTCCGAGTAATGGTAACCCCAATCCAACCCCAAATCTCCATCCAAATCTTCAATTCCGCACCCCCAAACCTCGCTCTCAAAACCCAGTAAGCACAACGGGGAAAGGATCATATCTCAGCAGCCAATCCGTACCTTGCAGTGGGCGACAGCAGTGGCTATAACATAGATTTCCAGATGTCAACAAGAAATCATTAAAAATTTATATGGGGTTGTCGCATTTCAGAGGGTCTCCGCCATACCTGTCTTCTTCTTGCCGAAGCATTGCACACTCTGAGTAGTAGCCATGTTTGTTGGTCAGGTGGAGGGGACGATGGCTCCGGGGCGCGAGAGAGGAGGGAGGGCAGCAGAGTGTGTCGTGGTTTGTCGTGTTGCCTGTTGTTGTTGTCGTCGTCGCAGTCTCTCTCTTTCTGCGTTGACGCTTGGAGAATTGCCAATCTGGGATGTGCGAGTTCGCTTAGTCCGCGCTAGGGCATCATATCACGTGATGTGCATCAAAAACTTGAGGTTGAGGGATGGGATGCCCGCAAAACAACAAGCAGCAAAACCAATAACGAACTGGCCACGGCAATTTCAATTACAGCTCCAATTGATGACGCTACCTCCATACTGACCCCAGGAGCCGTCCATTTTTCCCTATTCCTGTTTTGAAGGAGCAACCTTCCTTTCCCCGGGCTCCCACTTCCATACATTCCTCACCCATGCATCGATAGCCATATTCCCGCAACAATGTCACAGACCGTCGGACGGGTAAGCCATCTACGTTCAACATGACGCTCACTCCCAGAATGAAACGAAATTAGAAATGAATATACCCCCTTGCCTAACAATCCTTCACACTCCACAGACCCGCCTCGCCTACTCGCGAACATGGCATTATATAGACGTCAGCCGCGACCCGCGCAGCCTGGGCCGACTCGCGTCCTCCATCGCCGTATTCCTGATGGGCAAGCACAAGCCGATCTGGGACCCGTCGACGGACTGCGGCGACTACGTCGTGGCCGTCGGCTGCCATGACCTGCATACGACGGGCAAGAAGCGATTCAAGAAGCTGTACTACACACACAACACGCGGCCCGGCAGCCTGAAGTCGATGACGATGGACAAGATGTTTGAGAAGTGGGGTGGAGGCGAGGTGCTGCGGAAGGCGGTCAGCGGTATGTTGCCGAAGAATCGGCTGAGGGACAAGAGATTGGCGAGGCTGAAAGGTTTGTGGTTCATTTCATTTCACTTTTCTTTGCTCTTCCTGTTTGTGTGCATGTGTGTGTGTCAGGGTTGATATTCGACATTCGGCATATATATGCACTGGAGTTAGGAACTAACATGGGTATTTCTACACAGTGTTTGAAGGTCATGCGCATCCGTACAAGAAGAATATCCTGAAATTGGCCGGCAAGAGTGTCCTGGGCCCCACGAACTCCATCGCGGATTCACCGCTAATTAAAGAAGCGTTTGCGAAGGAGAAAGGAGCGGAGACTGGGTCTAAGCAAACAACATCCTGATTACATTGAAATAAAAACTTTGCTTCGTTCTCCTGCTCTTTGCTTTGCTATTGGATTTTCCCCCCGCGATTTCCTGTTTCACTGTTTTTCTTTCCTACTGCATACAAGGTGTTCATGTATAGGGATAGAACAAGTTTGTCCCTTTCTCTCTCTCCTTTTATAAATGTATTGTACTGTACAACTAAATCAACTTACTGGCTAACATTAAGTATTGCCACTGGGACTTGAGGCCCTCCCGTATAACCTCTAGTATATAAACAAAATTGGCGAAAAACTCCTAGCAACTGGCAACTTCTAAACATCTTATCTTATCTCTACCGATATTGTACGCCCCTTCTCTCCCAACCCCTGGTCTACGTAAGTGTTGGAATGACAAAATTGCTCTCGTTTCTATAACTTCGGCGTCTCCCGACGGTTTTCTCCGGCCCGGCCCACTTTGCACTTGATAAGACCATTCGGGCCCGACTGCGGTACGTAAACTTCCGCGTTTTTACCCGTGTTCTTGAGGCCCTTGTGCCAGCTCAAGTCTGTAGGAAATTCAAAATGAAAGGAGGGGGAAACGTTGTTAATTGGCTAATTGATTAAACCAAAATATTTATAGAAAAGATGGAAAAAAAGGTTAGAAGGGAGATAACTCACCTAGCTCAAAATAGTGGTTATTCGGCAACGAATACTCCACAGTCTCCAGTAACGGCTGCACAGCCAGGATCTTCTCCGCCATCTTGTACATGGAATTCTGCACGCTGGCGCTGTTGTCATGCGCAAAGGTGCGCAGCGTGATGTCCCGCGCGGCGCGCCAGGTTTCGTCGAACTGGGGTACCGCGCGCTTCACGGCGTCGACGGACGTGAAGGGCTGCCACATCCAGTTGGCGTCGACGTTGGTGCTTAGCACCCGGTCCCAGGTTTCGGGGAGCGTGGTGTACTCGTCCCGGATGAAGTTGTGGAATTGTGAGTTTGTGGATTTTAGGACGGAGAGGCCCGAGATAGAGGAGGTTAGGCTGATTGTACTGGTTAGTGAGGTGATGTCTTTGCTGCCGCTGTTTCCTTCGGAGACGGTGGCGGAGACGTTGCGGGTTTCCGTACCGTCGCGGAGGAAGGAGTGGGGATGTGGTTTTCCATCAAATGTCATACGTGCCCAGCGGAGGGTGACGATGTCGACGTGCGCGGTGTGGATGTGCGGGTATGTGGCTGTGAAGTGGGAACCGAGGATGGAGGCGAAGAGTTCCGGCGGAGTCACCGGGTATAGCTTGGCCATGATGTAAATTGTGTTTTTCATGGAGTCCGTGGCGACGACGACGCTGTTATCGGCTTTGGTGTAACTGTTATATGGGAGCGGCGAGTTGCGTTAGCAAAACGGGGCCATATTTACGCTGTTTCTGTAGGAGATGATAGATGATAGATGATATGGAACGAAAGACAAGGCTTACGACGTCTCGATATCCCCTTCGAGCAGGACGCATACTGTCATCTCAACGACGGTGTGGACGCCTGTCTCCTCGTTGCGATGCACCTTGTAGACGCGGACATTATCCTTGCCATACCGTGCTGCAGCCAATTTCGGGGTCATGGTGCCTTTTTGTCCTTCGATTGAATTGGCGGTAGGAAATTGAATTCGCAAAAGAAATGAAGGAGAGCGGAAGAGGTTAATGAAGGACAAAGAGAGTGTGAGAGCGTAGCTATATGCCTGATACAGGCAATACGCAATCAGAACGAACAGTAGGGAGACGGAAGAAAGAAGCTTCAGGAACGATAGCTATATAAACACGACAGCGGGAAGTTAAAAAATTTAAATAAATTTAAATTTCCCAAGTTATCTGCCAAACAAAAACTGAGCGCTGTGGCCTACCCGTCAGCGCAGACGCACTCGTGTAGTTGTATGGGAGTGGATACGAATCTCTTGTACGGAGTAGTTAGTGGATAGGGGAACGACAGCAGAGCTCTGGCGATGGCGATGGCCTCAGCTAGGAGCTCGGCGAGAATAGGGCCAACAATGGCAGCGAATTGCTGGTTACGCAGGTGGCTGAACAGTCCAGAATCCACAAGTGCTGCAAGTCAATGCACTAGAGTAAAGATAATACGAGGATCCTTATACTGCGCAGAAGCAATCTCCAGCTTCTTGCAATTGCGAAGCAACCACTCAGGAGGCATTCACAGGGACAGATTGTTATCAGCATTGCGGTGCATGGAATGCTCTATATTTCTTCTGTCAACATAATCAAGATTTGCCGGACCTACTTGGACGTAAGCACTGGGTCTCTGGATAGAACGATATATATAATACTGCCATCTAGCTCTAGTATGATCTGCGGTTCCAGGCGTACGGTCTGTTATCACTATAAGGCTGTCTTCCTTTGCTTGGTCCTTGTCGCTATAGCCGGCCAGGCCAGCTTTCATTGACCAACAACCACATCATGGATCGAACCTGCAAAGAAGTTGGATAGTAACACATAACCCACTAGTTAACTACTTAACTAGTTAACTGATTAAATTTAACAAACACTCGTATTCAATCTCTCCGCCGCGAGTCTACCTCGATACTCATGCACACGTGATATCAGACCTGTTTCCCGTGATTTTGCTTGGCCTCCATCAACATCGAACCAATTCATGCTCCGGATACACACAGCCTGATCTTTCTGCCTCCCCTTCCTGTCACCGTTTGCTCTATCATTATTGTAATTGGGGTTTCCATGTGCCCTGCGCCCTGCCTTCTTCGTTCGCTGCGCGCCATTGGTCGATGCTCAGCCTGCGGAGTCCCCATCAAAACACCTAGCTCGATCTCGACCTCTGCGCTCATCCCCACGCCCCCTCAACCTTTTCCCCCGCCGCGGTGAACCACCGACACTTGAAATCATTTGCTGCCATATATCATATCGCGACGATTTGCGCTGACAAAGTGCTCGATGCCTGACAACTCCAAATGCTAACTTATATTGCTTGTGCTTCCCACCGGCGAACCGGGGAACTAGTAGGGTACTGCTCCTACTAGGCAGCACAGTAGATGGAGACCCATGGCGTCGAATTATGATCCTGCTTCCTCGGCGACGCCAACCCAGCGCCGTGTGCTGAACGACGGCAACCCATTCTCAAGCCAGGAAGATGCCTCCACCGATGGAAGCTGGCACGACGCCGCTTCCAAATCCTCGGGAAATCGTATCGGAAGCAATCCTGCCCCGACCGCCACCAGCAGCAACAGCAGCAGCTGCAGCAGTAGCAACAACAATAACAGCAATAATATCAACAATACCAACAATTTTGGGCCGTGGAGCGCTTCTTTCGCCCCCTCTGGACCTCCGCCAGGTAGTTTTAGCTCGGATTTAAAAAGTATCAGCTCGACGCGCGGTCCCACCACGTCTACACCACGCCCTGAACCTCCATTCCCTTCCCGTATAATTGCCATCGATGGAGTTGACGTTCTTGCTCGTGCGGAGCAGCGCCAGGCTGTGCTTCGCGGCAAGATTGCCAAGGAGTTGAAGATCAAAAGCGGAACGGAAAATATGCTGGAGGCCCTGTTGGTCAAAAATCTTAAACAGACGAAAGAGCAACGCTTGAGGGTTGAGTCGGAGCTTAGTTCGTCCAATATGAAACTCGCACAACTGCGACATGAGCTTGAGGAGGAAATATTACGGGCCCAAGCCCAAACTTCGCCTACCGCTGGCCGGTTATCTACCTTGTTCCGTGGAACTCCCCTGCGATCTCCTTCTCGTGCGTCACAGGGTGGGGACGCGGGGATGGGGAGTGGGGATGCGGAGACGGAGTCGCCAACTTATGTCCTAGCTGAGACTTTGCAGGAGCTGGAGACCACAGACATGCCGTCGGATTACTATGTGGAACGGGCGAATAACCTTGTGGACCTCTTCAAGCGTCATCCAACGTTAAAATATGACTTGGCTTGGCAGGTCTTTGGCTTGCGTGTTCAGACAATGCTGCTGAGCGATAGCAGGGACGTCGTCGCTGCTGGCTACCGATTGACACGACATGCTATTGCCGATCGACGTTCTATTCAAATCATCAGATCATTCCATACGGACGAGATGGTGATGATGTCGCTTGTGAAGGAAACTAAAGCGACCATAGAACGCGAGCAGGCGCTGAAATTCGTCAGGGCTTTTCTTGATGTTAAAGATGGAGTTCGAGAACTGTCTCGTGGGGTTGTCCGGACGCTTGTCTCCATTGCTGACCACCGCGATGATCGTCTGAGAAATATTTGCATTATGACTCTCGCGGAGATCCTGGTCAAAGACCCAGGTCTCCTGTTTTTTGCCGGTGGAATTGGCGTTTTGAACGATGCCCTTGGAGAGGGAGTTTATGGCGCTTCGGAGAGTCTGGCAGCAGGGTTTATACACATTCTAGACACCCCCCGCAACAGGATATATCTCCGAGCAGGGTGTGAACTCGAAGGAGTCTTCGCCACTTTTACAGATCCGTTGGGGGATAGCAATCACCATGCAAGGCTGAAATCTTCAGCCAAAACCATTTCTTCCATGCTCAAAACTTGGCCTGGCCTACTCACGCTCTTACGTAACAAAGCAAAACCCCTTCAGTCCTTGCTGAATTCTCTGCAATACCCTGAGCCCCTGGCAAGAGATCTGATCCTAGAACTTTTGTTCGACGCTCTCCGTATCAAACCTCCGTCATGGTCATCGTCATTCCTTGCCGGCCGGAGACTTACTACGTATGGCAGGGTTACGAACCTTAGATCGGAATCTGATACTAAACACTTACGTGCATTCGACGAACATGAAAATAATTCTTTTGACCTCACCACTCACTTCTCTGCCCTGGTCCTTGCTGTGCTGATTGAGGCAGGACTGATTACGGTATTGACCTATTCTGAATTTTTATTCTTCGCTATTTAACCAATTTGATACTGATCCGCCTTCTAGGCTCTATCGAACTTAATCGAAGACGAGCCCGACCTGTCCCTGAAGAGGAAAGGCACATTGCTGCTAACAGAAGTGCTGAAACTCGCCCATCACTCTCTGCCGCAATCTATGAGCGCCAAACTTCAGGTTCTCCCTCAATTGCTTCCGTGCTCTACCCCACGGGATACTGAGACCTACCATGTGTCGACATCAACCGTTTATCAAATGGAAAGCATTAACCGTACATTGACCCGGTCAGATGGGATGCAATCGTCACGCGGCAAATATACGGTGCACACAGATATATCCGCTTCGTTGCTGACTACCGAACAGGGGAAAACCAAACTAAGCGCCAGCATGGACGAGGGCCAATTCCGCACGGCCGTTCTAGACACCCACGTCCTAAGTTCTGTGAATTTCATGAAATGGAAATGGGACTTGATCCACAACATTATTGAGGGTCCACTGACGAACCCAAAACGCCTGGATGAGGCTATCCGAGGCTCGAAATTCATGAAGCGTCTGATGGGATTCTATCGACCTTTCAAATCCAGGTTTTCTATGATTAGAAATACGAAACCGAACCAGCGCTATGTCCGGACGGGGTGCGCGTTGATGCGGACCCTTTTGCAGACCCCCGAAGGAACGAAATACCTGGCGGAGAATAAGTTACTGCGGCAGATTGCTGAGTGTCTTGCGCAAGTTGACCGCATGAGCGGCCTGACGTCGTCATCGCCTGTGTTTTCTCGGAACAATATGAGCGAAACATTGAGCGGGGGCTACTTTGCGTTACTGGGTGTATTAAGCAGCGAGCCAGGCGGACTTCAGATGATGGAGAGGTGGCATATGCATAACATGTTCTACCATATAATAGAACTCAAGGATCGAAATGATCTTATCCAAACATTGCTAGGGAATATGGATTTCTCCCTCGAGAGCCATCTACGGATCATTCTTTCTAAGGCGTTAACAACAGGATCAAAGGATATCCGCATATTCGCAACGAAATTACTACGAAAATACGTCGTGGGCAGCGTTTCATTTCCCGCCCCGATGGTAGACATAGGAAATGGGGAGTGGGTTGTTAAACTGCTTGTCACACAGCTATACGATCCGGAAGTTGCCGTATGCCAAGTTGCTGTGAAAATCCTCGAGGAAGCCTGCAACCAACGCAGCTGTCTCGAATACGTGGTCAAATGCCGGCCCTCGCTCGACCACCTAGGAGAAATTGGCGCGCCGCTACTTCTCCGTTTCCTCTCAACCTCAGTCGGATACCACTACCTCGACGGCCTGGATTACATCACCCAGGAAATGGACGACTGGTTCCTCGGCCGCAACGATGCCTACGTCGGCCTCGTCGAGGCATCGCTGACGCGCGCCTACGTTGACCAGCCGCGGCGCAACAGCTTTGCCTTCGACGACATCGTCGAGATGCAAGACATCGGCCTCGTACCGCCCCATTTCTACAGGGAGCTGGCACGGACGCACGAGGGTTGCAAGTTGCTGGAGCAGTCAGGCCATTTTAACGAGTTTGCGCATACGATCCGCGACTTCCGGCTAGACGAGGAGGATCCGGAGGTGCTGCTGAAGGTTAAGGGATGTCTGTGGGCGGTGGGCAATGTGGGTTCGATGGATCTTAGCGCGCCGTTTCTAGAGGAGACGGAGATTGTGGGGGCGATTGGGAAGATTGCTGAGAATGCGGGGGTCATGACGATGAGGGGCACGGCATTTTTTGTGCTGGGGCTGATTTCTAGGAGTCTTCATGGGATGGAGATGCTCTTGGAGGCTGGCTGGGATGCGGCGGTGGACCAGAAGGGGCGATCGCTCGGCTCGTGTATCCCTGTCCAGTTGAGTAGGCTTTATTCGGTACGGTTTCACCCCTTCTCTTTTCTTATTTGCTTCATCCTTTTCTTCTTTGAGTGAAATTGTTGCACTGTTCACCCCGTCTAACTCACCTGGCCGGACGGAACACTAGGTTTCCTTCCCTGCCTATGAACCTAATATCGACGAAGAACGTGCCGAGAAAGAAAGATTTAAAGCCGCTGCTACGGATTCCGATCCTGTCTGCCAGAAGATCCTGGATCTGATCATTGACATGGGTAATACTGTTTTGTCGAAGAGGGCGGCGTCGGATCTTAACACGTAAGCCACACCCCTACATATTATCCATACATATCGATATATATTCTGCTTCACTGCAACTCTCAGGACAAAAAAATGGAAAGATAGAAAGAAAAGAAAAAGAGAAGAAAATAACACTAATCATTATCCCCCTAAACAGCCTCAGGACCAAAAAACCCGAATACTTTCGCCAAATCCCCCTCTTCCAGAAGACCCTCATCCTTCTTGAAAGCCACCATTTCCGCCTGCCTGCACGCCGCTTTGCTCTTGATCTCTTTGATAGGAGTGTCTTGCGACGCATCGTACGTGGGGACTGGGATGGGGACGGGGACGGGGCCAACGCCGACATCGATGCCTATGCGGATATTGATGTTGACATCTCTATCGATGGAGATGGCGACATTGACGGCGTCCCCGCTTCGAATCTGCAGCCTGATGCCGATACGTCGATGGGGAACTGAAACCAGCGCATCTGAATTATGTATATGTATATGTTGTTCCTTTCCTATATCCAACGTTGCCGTTCGTCTCCTCCACAAACCCGGCTTTTGGCGTTCTTCAACCCCTTCGCCCCAATGTGAAATACACATATTTTTTCTCCCTTGTTATTTTATCACTCTCCTCGTCTCACAGCGCCTTACCTTCTACCTTCATGCTAAGTATTACATATTTCCGACTCTCCACATCCTATACCTCTATTTCATTTTTATGCATCCGCGCCAAAGAAATCTGTTTCCAACTGGGCTTGGGAAAATAACATCTCATGGATTTCTGGATTTCAGTTCACGTCTTTTAATTGCGTTTCAGCTTCACTGGTTTCTTCATGGAAACAAATAACCGGGCGCGGAGTTTTACTTGGGCTTTTTCTCAACTTTTTTTTCTTCTTTCCTTCGTTTGTTCCTTTGTCCCATTCTCCTTACCTGTCTGAAGGGGCGAAAATAAGGAATGGAATGAATGTATGTTACATGTTTAAGTGGTATGGGCCTTTTTTTTTTTTTTTTTTTGTAGGGAGGTTTATTTGTCCTTTGTTTTTTGGTTTCGTTATCCATTGTCTAGCTCTTGATTTTGCCTTTTTTTTCTTTTTGATTGCCTGCAGGCGTATTTTGGGTGCATGATAGTTCTGGTCTTCCTGGTCTTTGTCCTTTTTCAGTTTTCATATTTGTAAGTATAGTATGCATTAGAAAAACGATTTCTTTTGCTTATTCTATTTTAAAACTCGATTTGGTAAACAGCTTTCTTTGGCTTTAGGTCTCCCCTCTCTGCCAATGTCAATTGATCATCCTAATTCTCTAGCATCCTGACATTATATGACTCTAATGGTTCCTTTTTCTTACTCATACTAAACCAAACTTTGGCCTCAAATGCTTTTGTCGATTCAATCCAACACATTAATAGTAGATTAAAAGAAAAGATAGTACAACAACAGAGAAGCTACGAGGAGAAGAACCAGCAGCGGAAAACAAGTGGATATTGAAATACAGCAAAATCCTCATTTATATCTATCCAAAGGTCTGTCAAACACAAGCGCAATGCTAAGATGTTGTTCTCCTATCATGGATCAGCCATCTCATCATCTTCATCATCAACGTTCCCCCGTCTCCTCTCCCTATCCATCCCCACTCCATCACCAACCTCAGCTTCCAACCCTCTTCTACCCACCGGCGTCTCCGCGAGTACTTGCTCCTTGCTCCCCTCGTCCATATCCCGCTCACTTGCAATTTCACCATCACCCTCCTCCTCGGCTGGCGGAGGTAATGTTTTCGCAAATCTTGAATCTACCTGTGCTCGATGAGATGCCCGTTTATACTCCTCCGCCTCATCCGGATCGCGCACAACAACCTGAATCTGATGCACCTGGTCTTCCTTGGCTTTGGGTCGTGTCGGTGCCAGGCCCGCCTGCGCGATTGTACGGGCCCGCTCGGGCTTCAGACGCGTCTTGCCTAGGATGGGATAATAGTAGGCGGCTTTCTGCTTGAGGCGGTGGGGTATGGCAGTGGATTTGAGAGTTGTTTCTGATATCGCTTCGTCCGGGTCGAAGAGGACGAGAGCGACGTCTTTGTATTTCTGTTCTGGGTTTAGAGTTTGCGAACTTGTTGCGTAGGTGCGGATGCGGTCGTAGCGGTGGTATTTTAGGATTGCATCGTCTGGGCCCGTGGCTTCGTGGGTGTAGTTTTCTGCATCGTCGCGGTGTGGATTGGAGACGTTCAGGCTATCTTTTATCTGCGGCGCAGCACCTTCCTTCGCTGATAGGAAGAGATCGTAGTCCCAGGGTATCGGGCCGGGATCTGGGTATAGGGATGGGTTGGCTTTGTGTAGGGCTGTTTTACTGGCATGTTCTTGACAGACACGCTCTTCAGGGGCTGAGGGAACAAGGATCCCGACATCCATGCGCTCATCCCGTCGTCCCTGTGCTGCTTGGATGGGTGGTTTGTCAAATTTGAATTGTAGAAACCCGCCAGGGTCCGGGAAACCGCCCAGGTCTGGGATTATGGGGTAGAATCCGACAGGTTTTAGTTTCGGATTATCTGGATGTGTTGGATGCGCCCAGGCGTCGATTTCCGCTTTGGCAGCTGGCAGTCCCTTGATTTTACTAGGGGTATCCTCGCCCTTGTGTTTACTTTCTGGGTACGCAATATCGAATCCCTTCTGAATGTATTTCTTAACGTGCAGGGGATCGTCACGGGAGAGTTTCGCAGGCTTCGCCGCAGCGGGTGCAGCTTTCACAGCAGTGGGAGCAATAAGAGGGGCTGCTTTGACGTTTCCGTCGACTCCTCGCGCAGCAACACCAGCAGCAATGTACTGAGTGCGCCGCAGAAAACTAACGTTTGAGTTCTTCGGGGCAGGATTTCTAAGTTGGTCAAGAGTCATGAGGAGGGGGAGATCGGCGGGGTCGACTGGAGGAGGGTTTTCAGGTGCCATAATAGCTAAAAACAAGAAACACAAGCCATATTAGTCGCCGTCTTTAAAATTATGCTAATTTATTACAAAGGAAGCAAAAAGGGCATGCATACATACCACTCTCATCACCCAAATGCAGGCCGGGAATGCCGACCAGGTCAATTGGCATACCACCCTCTGCATCCACATCAATATTTGGCTCTTCGCGCCGCGCCATGTTCGACGCAAACCCCGGCGTTAGAAACCGCTCCAGACCTTCGTGTGGGATTTCCAGGAATTTCGGCGGCATTTCGGGCGGTGGCAGATCATTGCGATACCGCAGCGAGGCGATGTATTCCTGGTGATAACTCTCACCGGAACCATCTTTAGGCTTTGACATTTTTGCCGCGGGCAGCAGACAGAGAGGTCCGGGGATACAGTAGAGCACACGGAAGCTAGGTGGGTTTCTGGCTCTCGGGATCAGGAAGTTTGCGACAGGGGAGTCGTGTAGTTTGAGCTCTGATCCTGGGAAAAATGATGCTGTGGAGAACGCGAGATCTTGGATCCGTTCTGCCGCTTGCTACCGCCGACAGGAAAGGAAGTTTTGAAGAAAGCCGCTGTCGAGGGATACTATATCGCAGCAGTAAAAATATTTTAATATATTTTCAATACTCAAAAATCATTAAACTCAATCAACCTGCATAATAGTGATAATAGATGAGGCCATTCCTCGACATCAATGATATATTCACCTGCCCCTTTCACCAAGCCCACATACATTTATAAGTCATAACCCGGCTGCCCAACCTATCATACTCCAACCTGCTAATCCAGCTATCGTTCGTGGCATCCAACTTTGCAAACACACTCGCCCCCTTCCACACCACAACTTGCGGGTCCAGCTCGCGCGGGGGCGTGCCAACCAAAACATACGAAGCTAACTCCGGCCGACGTAATTGCATCCGCTCCTCAAGAAAAGAATGGAAACCAGCCACCAAACTCCCGCCACCAATCACTAATACACTTCCTAGAAAATCAGTATATTTCCGCTCGTCAACGCGCGCAACACCGCCGATGGCGGTGAAGATAGCATTATCGAGTGGGAATATGGGGAGGACGTCGTCACGTTCTTCGACGGCGGGTCGGCGAGAGCCTGAGGTTGTAGTTGGCGCTTGCAACGTCGGGGCTGGCGTTCCCGGACCACCTTGTTGCGGCGTATTTATCGCATCGGGAGCTGGGGAGCTCGCAGCAGAGGAGCGGGGCGTTGCGTCCAGGTCCTGTACCCGACTTATAGCGTTGATCGCTTGAGAGCGGCTTGGTGTGGATTGGATCTCGGCAATGTTTGCCTGGGTGTTATTCGGTGGTAAGGGGGGTGCAATCGCCATTAAAATGTCGGACTGAGCTGTGGAGGTGGGGTCGTTTGGCTGTCCATCGTACAGGTCGTATGAAGGGCTGATGAGCTTCCTCCGTCCTTTTAATTTCTGAGAGACGTCGAATATTTCGGGTTGGAACAAACCCATAGGGGCAAGGATGACCTCATCGTAGGCTTTGAAAGTGTATTTGCGTGTATCCTGGCCTGAAGCTCTTAGATGGAAATCAAACACTTGGACGGAAACGTTGGATTCATTCATGGTGCAAACATTCCTCTTCAATTCTTCAGCCAGAAGAAAGTCGTAGCGGCGATTCAGGTTGATTTCGTCGTATGGGAAGTGATCAAAGAGCATCATTTTAATGAAAGACTCTGTCACATCAGCACCGCCATATTTGAGGTTCACACGGGAACTCTCAATGCACATGCCTTCTTCAACACAACATATGGAGGTCTTTTGAGCACCAATGTCCACAACGCAGGCGGACGTGTACCCAGCCCCAAACGTCCCTGAGAGACTCTCCTGCACAAAACAGACTCGCGCAAACCCAAACTCTCGCATCAACATCTCTAAAATCTGAGTGACGTAGGCGCGTTCATAGAGGTCGGGAATAACAAACACACACGAGTACTGGCCCCAGTCCTTTTTGCCGGACAAGTTAAGTTGGGTTTTCATAGCATCCTCAAGGATGAGAGCGATATCTAGAAACAATAAAGTCTTGTTGTTATAATCATTTTCGTTAAGCCATCCATGCCTGATAGGCCAAAAAAGCTTATATCGAGGGTTGGAATAGTCTCGTATTCTCAGGGCAGCTTCCCCAGTAAGGTACTCGGGGGCTTGCTTCGGATCAGAGGGAATTTCCGTCCAATCTATACGCATTGGGTCATTGTGCTCAGGGATGGTTTCAGGTACGGTTCTACGGTTATAATTGACCACCATTTCCTTGGAGTTCGGGAGTGTTCTTCTTTTGTTTGCCCGCATACGCGCTTTGAGTTCCGCAGACATCATAGTGTATTGCGATGCGAACTGGTCACAGGGATTTTGTCAGCGACAGCTCAGATATCCTAGAGAGATCTGGATATAACATACCTCTGGACCAAACATCTTCTCTGGGTCCATAAGCTGGCCATCATCAAGCTTCAACCGCTTTGGCTTAGGTTCACCACCATTCTCTTCTGCCTCATTCTCATGAGACTTTCGTGCGAGGACCATAGGCGTCGTCTTAGGTAACGCATCGCTTGCGAGGCCGATTCGTAGGTTCTGGCTTCCCACATGCATAACAATAGTTTTCGAACCCGCCAGCTCTTGCGCAGATTCCCCATTTGCGTTCTCCATCGTGGTGTCTCCATCCGCATCTGGCTCAGGCTCCGGCAAAGGAAGCTCAGCCTTTGCCATTGCAAGTGATCTATCTCTATCTTTCGCGTTTTTGGCCATACGATTGCGGTTCTCTTCATTTTGAAGTCGGTAGGCGAGGATTTGATCATCTCGCTTGAGGTACTCTCTAATTGTACATAATTCAGCATTGGGGGCACAGATTAGCAAAAACCCTTATTTCCTCAGTGTGTAATAGTGTTATGGAACTGGTATACACCGATACAGGCGATACTTACGTGTAGTAATTCTTCTGATTAATAGCAGATACTTGTGGCCAACTCGTGAGTCCCATGTTATTGTGGAATCTCGCCAGTCCTATTCCAACCAACATGCAAAAGTCAGTGCCATAGCAGCTATAATGATCTCTCGATTCACCTCAATAGCGGAACGGTACCTTCTTTTTTCAGCGTCTCCCCACTGGCCCCCGATTTTTTGCCCGCCATCTTGATATGTGGGCAGTTTGCCTGTAGCAAGTTAGCGCTTCGAATAAGAGGACGGATAGGCGGGTTGACGAACAAAGGCGAAACGCCAAATCCTATAGCTAGACGTGTATTTAGTTACTTCAGGATAAAAGGAAGCGGTCTTACCGATGCGATCGAGTGGAAGCTAAGAAGTGAAAACAGCTGGCGCAGGCGTACAAGCAGCCAGAGAGGTTCCAATAGAGCTTGAAGGGATAGAACGGCCTCCCAATCTGCCGTGTTCTGGTGTGTGTGTGTGTGCAGAAGAATCAGTGGAAAAGTATCCATGGATGCATTCTCTCGGCCAAGCCAAACTTGCCTTTGTCAACAACCGACCTTATGTTAATATAATTGTTCATAACCTCAGACAACAACAGTTCCTCGTTTACATCTATGCTACATCTATTTCCCGTGCATAGCGTATTGCCTAAATCCCCCTTTCCTTAATAATACCTCATCACCTCTGAACATCCGCTCGAAGCCACTTTGCCGGGTCTCCACAACGTCATTCCATTAGCACTTCCCGTCGTTCGAGCCAACTTCCGCAATTACCCAAGGCCACAATAACTTGACCGAGATACATAGACTGCCGTTCTCTAGTTTCAAAGCGAATATTCTTTCCTCGAGACCTGTCACTGGGTTGGTCTTGTGAGCCTGCGTCTCTGGAAGACGACAAATATCATTCTCCTATTCCGCCTCGTGCTCCGCTACCACTCTGTTCTTAACCACTCTACATACATTTTTATGCGTCAGCAGCCATGGGTGGGTCGATATCGAGAATATTGTCAGGCCTGTTTTGGACAAAGAAGGAAATTCGGATTTTGATTTTGGGGCTTGTAAGCTATTAAATTCTTCCCCCGCGGCCCGGTGCTGTACCGGAAATATGTGGGAATACATTTATTGTCTTTGCATGTGAAAGATTAACATATTCTGGGTTTTATTTGTGTAGGATAATGCTGGAAAAACAACGTTACTCTATAGATTAAAGGTATGTGTGTCCATGTTCTAAACGTAACTGTTTTTGAGGCCGGCATGGCTCATCTTTTATCTAGATCGGCGAAGTCGTCACAACCATCCCAACAATCGGCTTCAATGTTGAATCCGTCACATATAAAAACCTGAATTTCAACGTCTGGGTACGTTTTTTTACCTCTGCTTGCTACTCTCCAACCTTCGCTGCTCCACCACCTTCCACCCACCCAAAGATAAATCTGACTCGAGAAAACAGGACTTGGGCGGACAAACCTCCATTCGCCCTTACTGGAGATGTTACTATGCCAATACCGCCGCCGTGATCTTCGTCATTGATTCCACAGACATCGAACGGCTAGGGACCGCCTCAGATGAACTAGCCACAATGCTGAACGAGGAGGAACTGCGCGATGCTGCCTTGCTCGTCTTCGCGAATAAACAGGATCAGCCAGGCGCCAAAGGTGCGGGAGAAATTTCTGAGGCGTTAAAGTTGGGTGAGCTGCGGGATCGCAATTGGAGTATTGTGGCATGTTCTGCTATTGATGGGAAGGGAATCGAGGAGGGGATGGATTGGCTGGTGGTAAGTACTTGGTCCTTTGACTTTTTTTCTCCCTGCGGAGGCGTGAAAATGGGAAATCATTACTATTCTATCAGGTGGCTAATTATCGTTTCGTTTACCATATAGCAAACGGTTCAATCGGAAAATTCATAAACTGACGAGCATTGGCGCAGAACGGAACATGTGGACGGCGTTTCAGATTCCGAATCTTTTATTCATGCTATATAAGTTCCCATTCCTGCTCTTTCTTACAACATTTCCCTTGCTCTTCCTTATAGCCTATTCTCCGTGTCCCTTGATACCTATTTTATAGAATCAAGTCCGAGCACTCTGATCGTACAAAAATCCAGCCAAACCAAGTTAAGTTATCATTCACCACTTAGCCGCGATTTGGTAGGACGCACATTTGAAAAATTTATATCTCTACACCCACACTATCCAGAGATCTGCTTGAGCGAGCTGGCAGATATGGCAGCAATAAGCATTGGGAATAAACTTGATCGAGTAGTCATTTGACCTATAGCCTTCGCAAACGGTTGCTGGTTAACTATAATGAACGGACATCGTTTTCTTAAATAATAACTGCGTAAACATATGATGGCTAACTACGTTAACAGTTATATACAAGCATAAGAGACAAAACACAATTGAAAACAAGATATGTAGATATGCACCTTAGAAACAGATGATATGAAAAAAAACGGAAGTGACAATATTAATTATTATGGCCATGGTATGAAATATGCAAGAGCCACCAGCCCCTTGTGAAGAGTACAAAGAAACCCACCTTTGATACCAAAATGACTTGAGTTAAATAGGAAACAATATTAAAAAATTAACAAAGCATTCGGAGCAGTAGCATTCCTTCCTTTTCGTAAGGCTCTTTTTGCGTGTTGTTTCTCTTCACTTTTCTCAAAGCCCATGTTTCAACGTCCCTTTGCTTGCTCGGATGCGTGATAATATCTTTCTTCTCTATGGAAGACAAATGAAGATAATGCAACTGGCTATATCATCATGCCGACGTGCGAATAAGGATTCAAATGAAAACGAAATTGCGAATATGGGAATATGGAAGCCCAAGAGTACGCAGCAAAGAGATGCACAACTAGCTACCGAAATCGAGGTTGGTCGCGAAAGCCAAAGAATTTGCAAGAGGGTGGAGTGAAAACAAAAAATTGGATATACGCGCCTTGCACCTTGCTCGGATAAAATCAAAACTGATAAAATTGCAGGACGGAAAAAGCGAGAGCATGGATATATGAGAAAGAAAGATGAAAATAGGTATTACTAGTACAAGATGACAGTTGACTTGAATGGAGGGAGAGAGCACGTCCCTAAAGATACCTTAAAATTTTGGCTGTAGATTCGCTTCGGTGGTGCATTCGTCGGTGTTCATATAGGTGTCAGGTAAGCTGATCAAGTCATCTGCGGCGAGTGCATGAGCATCTAGGGATTGCAACTGGACCCTGACTCGGTACGTGTTGCGAGCATGCTTGTAGCTGGTTTCTCATCGGCATTCTCGGAATCACCGTTGTCACTGAGGGCATCGCTACCTACACCGCGCGCAGGGGTGTTTCCCATTCCAGCATTCCGCGTCTTTCTGGTGCGCTCAGCAAAGGTATGCTTGGCCTCGACCTCGCCATGCTCAGCTGCAATGGTTTCCTTGGTTGTGACGTGAGTTTTCCATGCTGGGGTACGTGATTTGAAAATCTCTTCTACGGCTTCGAGCGATTTCCCTGCGGTTTCGGGGAAGGCGAGGAATACATGGATGGTCATTGCGGCGCAGAAGGCGCCGAAGACTAGTTATCGGGTTAGAATTTCTCTATTTGGACCCGGGGGGGG